CGATCATCCCTTATATTTGCCTTCACGAAACACTAGACTGCATACGGCGTATTATATACGTCTAAATACGTGTGTATGCATATCCGGCTCCGCAAAGTAGATGCCGCGGGCAGTATCACGGCCCCCAATATCAGCACTTACATGTCTGTTGCCGTTTATTCTATATTGCGAGTCAGCTAGCCCCCCTAGGTAACCGAAATAAGGTAGACGAGGTGAGGTAACCAGAGGTTAAGCGACAGAGGTGAGAATTGAGTTATGAGGATGGCTTCAGAGTCTCGTTCCTATAGGCCTGAAGCAAGCGTATTGAGCAGGCTTAGCTTAGCGATATTGAAGAGCTCGGCTATCTATTCGGTAGAATAGTCGTGGCAACGTACGACTTAGACGCGCTAGGCGGGTGTTGTGGCTCGCTCTTCGATATCATTGATCCAAATGCGAGCGGCTTAATGAAACGTCCGGCTATAAATATACGGCAACGTCGGCGCTAATCCATCCCCAGGTTTTATCGAACAGTGCGTCTGTGATGCGGAGTTTTGCCGCCAGCCTTGGGCACGCGTACGTCGCGTTCCGAGTGGCGATGCTGTCTCCTTTCGAGTAGCGTCCGTTTTAATCCTTGATATGATATTCCAGCCTGCATGTATGCTATGTATGTTATCTCGTATCTGTACGAGATACTTTGAATCTAGTTCGCAATAGTTCCATGATCGTCTTAACTTTACCTTTGGCTGCCTCACCAGCAGAACGACTTGGATCACGAATATGGAATATGACGTAGTGAGATCGAAGACCACGGACCACTTCTACACAACCCGAAACCTCTCCGTGCCCTAACGTAAGACATGCAGACCTTGGCGTAGATTAGGTCTTAGATGAATTCGACGTTGTTGATCTAACGTCCTCGGAATCACGGGAGGACCCGTAACTCCACGCTTCGCGCCTCATGGCCTAGCACTGATTAGACGGGGTTTGAGTCGAACACGTTGAAAAGGCTTAGTATCTAAGATACGTAGCAAGGAAGATACAACGTTGCTTTCACATAGAAAAGTCTTTTTCTACCAATGAGATAGAGACTTCTTGGGCTGAGATGTAAACAACTCTAAAAAGGAAGATGAGGCTCGAAATATGTAACTCGGAGCTAAAGATAGCTACAGCAGCTGTATCGCCTCAATCGCCTCGTTTTGGTAGCTGAGCCGCCTTAAGCTAAGGTAGGGCGACGGCTTCGACCTATGCGGAAGGTAGAAGAAAAAAAAGATAGAAAAGATAGAAAGGGTATAGCGTAAGACCCTTCTTGCGTATTGTCAAGCTGAAGCGAGCTTGATTTAGGTGTGAATTAGGTGAATTAGAGTAAAAAGTGTTGTCATCCCGACGCACAACTAATCGATATAGTATTAGCATAGCCTCTAAGAGGGTTACATGCAGTAACTCCCGGCGGTAAATAGCTGCATGCGTGTGAGTGGATGAGGTGGCTGGATGGCACTGTTAACCGATACAACCGATACAACCGACAAGCTACACGCTATACCTTACTTGAACATTGACAGCACGTTATCAGACCGTTGATTCGCAGAGACAAAAAAGTCCCGAGTAGGTATGGCGGTATGATATCTATCAAGATAGGGCTGGTATTTCCTGGTCCATGCTGTCCCGAAAAAATTTTGGACCTTGCAGAAGACGTGGTAGAATATTGCGGCTGTGCTGCTCGGCTTCACCTCGATTGGTTCCTCCACACATTCTTTTATCCCAAGGACCTGGGAAGTGTCTAGGGACGATGCATGTGGCGTCTGTATGAAAGATGAGACGAAATTCTCTGACACCTTGACACCTTGATACCTTGTACCTGAACCTTGTACCTGGATGATCTACGGTAATGATTTTTGTTTGGTATTGTTTAACTATTTGTTAGTAGGAAACGAAACTTTGATATTCGGTGATTGTGTACGTAAACTGTCTTTGATTCCGTTGGTTACCTCTAGTCTTCTAGTCTCTGGTTACCTCTGATTATTAAATTGAGGAACGTGTCAAATTTGACTAGCGGAGATCCCCGTTACTGTTACCAAGACTTTTACATACGAGTAAAATAGGTAGTCTTCCAAAAATCAAGACCGAGAATTATTATTCTGAATATCCGCGGAACTGAATTGTTGATGGATGCATCTCCGGTAGATATTCGGAATTCCGGGTATGATGGCATTTTTTTACATTGAAGTCATAGCCTCATAGCCACGATGATTCTGCAGTTTTGCAGTTGCTTGCATTCGTTTGCATTTGTTTGCATTTGTTACGTTGTAGTAGATATGCAGGCTAGGTAACGCATGCGATGCGTGGTGTAAGGAAGCGAAACTCGGTCCAGATAACCGTCTAATAAGATCCCCACGTATTGCAGAATCTGCGGTGTCCATGCATTAGGTACCTACCTAGGTATGTACTTTACAACCTACGTAAGGTTAGGTAGGTACAGGTAGGTAAGTATAGGTATGTATGCATATGGCAGCCACACTAGGAAAGTATAGGCGCGGTTAAACTCTGGGCCGGAGAAGCTGGAAGTTCTAGGTTCGGAGCTGCTGCACGTCAGCCACCATGTTCGGGTATCCCGAGCAGTTCCCATGTTGCAGGTGCATATCCTAAAATCGCGGTCGGCTTGTAAGGTCCGGATAATTCATAATTCCCTTGCCGTTCCGTATTCTCAAGACCCGTCACTGATAATCAGATAACCTAACATACATCATACCTCATACATCATACATCATACATCATACCAAGATATATGTACAACGTAATGTACAAGGTAATCTTCATGCATGCCATGTATGTATTGACTTTCGAGGCGGCTTACGGCGTTCGACGCTGGTAGCATGGAATTCGCTTAATGTTTTGATATGTAGGTAGGTTATGTAGGTACCTAACTTAACCCAACCTATACTTACACTTACACCTACACCAATATGCAACGCGGCTGATGAACTTTAGTAATATGACGGACATCGTCGTAGTGCCATATAACGCCATACAAGACGGATTTCGCCGGTGAAGAGCTTGTTGTATAATCCTGATTAAAGACATAATTGTAACTAGACTTATGACAAATGTATAACTAGAATAGTGAAATGTTTGGGTATTTGAGCTTATTAGGTCGCCGATTGGGTTTGCGGTAACAAGGTAGCCCAGGATTCTCATTCGCCCGAGGAAGACGCTCTAAAGAAATTGCGTTGTAACAGTACTGACGTGTTCCACTGTACCGAGTGCGTTTAAGAGCCGCAAAGGCTATAGTTGCTATGTTAATGCCCAGACACATTGCCCAGACATATTCTATTGTATAACGGAAGACGGCGATGCAATCTTGGACTGTCTTCAGCTCCGAGCTTGAACGTCGAGGATTATTTTCACCTGATGGCCTATAAGTGTCGATCATATAGCAGGTATCAAGGGTTTTTTTTACGCTGCTGAATAGTAAATAGGTAAAAAGAAAAGTCTAATCCTTGATGAAATCCTTGGTGCTGTGAATCCATTGTTAAACTATTGGATTTTGTTGGCTATAATGTTGGCTTAAAGGACGAGGGGTACGGAATATACGAAAGTACGAAGATAAATTGATGCTGTGGATGGAGCTATGAAAAAGAAGAGAGAAAAAAAAAAGAGAGAGAAGCCGCGGTTCAATCGCCGAATTGCTTTTTTCCTGTCCATTCGGTTTCTGTTTGTTCTTTCGAATCCCTGCGATAGCCTATTTAGGGTTAGATCTTACGATTATAATATACTACCCGCGTATGTAAGTAAGTATATTATGATGTATTTCCATGTGGCTAGACCCTTGATGACGATAGCTTATTACTCCTTACGGTTACTTCGCTAAGTACCTAACTTATACCAAAATACACTATGTAGAAGAAGTTTGACACAAAAATCAACAACGACCAAGAAAACCCCACACTTATCGGCATGTCGGAGTTGGAACAAGCGCCAAAGTTTCCCCAAGCAGTCTAAAGCTAAACCATCTAAACCACTAAATCAAGCCAAAAGCCTATGACCGCACTTGAGTAATCGTTATATCGTTATCCTATGGTCCATATCCTTATCTACTAAACTCCGCACATCTTTAGGGTCGCTTTCGTCCGTCTCCTTGTTGCATTCAAGACCCAACTTTTCTCAAGCCCACGCCATTTCTACGCTTCTACCTTCCCCCTGCCTCTCTTTTTCTCTTACACGGCTACTCGGGAAGGTTACTTGGAAGACTTATCATTTGCGACATCTCCGATTATTTAAGTACATACCTTATATTTGGTATATTTTTGGAGAATATTAAGCTACCTTAATACCTAATCCCTGCTTGCAGGTGAGTGTGTCTGTGTGTGATGCGCACTTGGCTGCTTGATCAAGGTGATCAAGGTTCCCTGCGCCGCAACGCTTGACCGCTGTGCTGGTATGTATATTTTCTTTCCCTTGCTAGTGTGTAAGTGTACACATATTAATGTATATGGACATTTATAACTCAACTTGGTAGTTCTTGGCATTACCTATAATTCTTTTTGAAAAAAAAAAAAAAAAAAAAAAAACAACGAGGTCATAGTAGTATCTAAGTTACATGGGGCTGCGCTTACATCCTTACATTCATCCACAATAGATACATAACTACTTTCTACATAACTACTTTCTACTTTCTACACTAACCAGCTCCGATCAATAGGTACATACATCATACCCAATTATCCATACGCGAGACGATATACAAACGATATAACATCGTGAACACATCCCGTTCCTCTCTTCATGAGATTGAGGTCTTGCCTATAAGAACCTACTACCTTGTCCACCCCCCTCCAACGGCAAAATCCTTCACCTGCCTATACTCGCCTATATACACTCCCCCCACGAGTTCATATCACGAATTCCTTATTACGAACCTAGCCTACCAACTCGCAACCCGCAACTCGTAACTCGTTCGCTCATCTCGCTAACTACTCGACCCGACATTACGGATAGTTATACACACAGCAGCTTAGCTTTTTGATATGTCAGGTTACGGTTACCCGGGAGGATACGGTCCGCCGCAGCAACAGTATCACGGCAATTATTATCAACCGTATGATAGCTCACCAATTTCTCATATCCTACGGTCACGAGCATCGCGACGGCTGCTGACATGGCCCTAGTCCACCCCAGCCATATAACGGATATCCTCCTGCCCAAGGAGTTCCTCCCGTTCCCTACGGATACCCACAGCAACAACAACAACAACAACAACAAACCCCTCCTCAACCTTACGGATACAACCAGGTGAATTTATATATTATATGAGTTATAGGCTCGTTTATAGAGCCCCATGCTGACATAGCATCGTCAGGGCCCACCGCAACATGGCGGCTACGGCCAACCTCCGAGTCAATATGGTAGACCTGGTAAGACAGCTTCTAGGCTTGCCTTTCTTAGGTGTGACTTTAACAAAGAGGTTTAGGACTACCTACGGCGAACTCGAATTCTTACAACCATGGAAATTATAGCGCTCCTCCTCCCCCGCCCTCTGGGCCCCAACATTTCGGTCACGGTGCCCCTCAAAACTACGCGTTTCAGTATAGTAACTGTACCGGTCGAAGGAAAGCTTTACTAGTTGGCATAAACTACTTTGGCCAGCGCGGCCAACTTCGGGGATGTATCAATGATGTCAGAAACATGTCGCAATACTTAGTTGAACACTTTGGCTATAAGCGAGAAGATATGGTCATCCTTACTGACGACCAACAAAACCCAATGAGCCAGCCGTCAAAGCAAAACATTCTACGAGCCATGCATTGGCTCGTGAAGGATGCGCGGCCCAATGACTCGTTATTCTTCCATTATTCGGGTATGATGACGCTCGGGTTAGCTGTGTGGTGATATCTAACAGTTTCTTAGGACATGGCGGTCAAACCAAGGATCTGGATGGCGACGAACCTGATGGCTACGACGAAGTTATATACCCTGTCGATTTCCGGCACACTGGTCACATTACCGACGATGAGATGCACCGTATCATGGTTAAGCCGCTGCAATCGGGAGTACGGTTAACGGCCATTTTCGATTCATGCCATTCCGGTACTGCGCTCGACCTCCCGTATATTTACTCCACTCAAGGTATTCTCAAGGAACCAAACTTGGCCAAGGAAGCTGGCCAGGGCCTTCTGGGTGTCATATCTTCCTACAGTCAAGGCGATCTCGGAGGCGTTGCGAACAACATCATGGGTTTCTTCAAAAAGGCTACCAGCGGAGAGGACGCGCACCACAGGGCCATGGCGACCAAGACCTCGGCAGCAGACGTTATTATGCTTTCCGGAAGCAAAGATGACCAAACTTCGTTCGTCTACCACTTTATTTAGATTATCCCTTCTTTTTGTTTCGCAATTGATGGGCAATGTATCATGGAATTGCCTAGTGGCATGAAATATGTACACTTTATCATGTATTTTTTTAATGACGGCTTGGTTGTTGGTGGGGTATGAGATTTATACATTGGGGTCTGAGTCTAGAGGAGGGGCTATTTGTATATTATTTTTTCCTTTTTTTTTTTTTTGAACGCTCTAGATCAAAGCACAGCTATTAGTGCTGTGGCTTTGCATCTGGGGCGGCGGGTTACGTTCGATCGGCTTATGAACACCCCCTCCCCCCCCTTTTTATATACTACCAGTCTGTTATTATAGTAGTATATGGGTTACTAACTAAGCTTATAGGGCCGATGCAACAATTGCTTCTCAAGCTACCGGTGCCATGTCGTGGGCCTTTATTACCGCCCTGAAGAAGAATCCTCAGCAAAGCTATGTACAACTGCTCAACAGCATCCGGGATGAATTATCTACACGGTACACCCAGAAACCTCAGCTCTCGTGCAGCCACCCTCTGAGTACGTCTGGATTTTTGGTCTCCTCTTTTCCCAGGCGATGACCACCGCTATCTGCTAACATACTAAACTCTTATATAGATACTAACCTGCTATTTGTGATGTGACAAGACGGAACGGGACGTTGACGGGCGTCTCCTAGGCAGACACCGAAATGAAATGAAATTATGCATGGGGGTTTTCTGACGTGTAACTACGATTGCGTTTGCGTTGCGTTGCGTTATTTTATCTATTACTACTACTACTACTATGTAGTTACCGCGTTTACGGTTCTGGTACAGCATCCTAGGCTCTTGGGGGAAAGGGCCGTTTCTTCTTACTCGTTCTTCGAATTTTTTTTTATGACATAAGGCTCTACAAAAAGAGGGAGAACTGAATTGGGTTACGTGGGTGTTCTTGGTTGCCTATCCTTTTTTTTTTTAATGAAGTTGCCGAAATATGTTCTATCGCTTAGGTACTTAGCTGAATTGATACCTGCGGCTGTATGTACATCTCTGTTGGGATTTTGTGACGTCTGCGGTGCGGGTTGGAATATGGGTTTAATGGTTAACCTATCCTATTTCTTGGATCGTGAGATTTTTATGTGATACGGATGATAGGGGTTCGGTGATGGGGAAAGAAAAAGAATAGTTTTTACTGACTGGTTCATAGTGGTTAAATTGAGTCTGGTGATTGGTTATGGTTAGGAGTTATGCAGATAATAGTATAGAATGTGTAGAATGTGTTAAATATATCAATCTAACGAGTTAATAGCCCTTTTGACTCACGTCCTTTTTACTAGTTCCGTGTATTCTTAGAAACTGAAGAGTTACCTAACCTACCATCTTAGATATACGTACATCAGGGGTTACTTACCTACTCTACTCTCAAGCTAAAGATATATCGAGAAATCTACTCGTACTATTCAAGGATAAATTATACGGTAAATTATACTAGTTCGACTACTTCATCTATACGGATTAGGAACGTATATATATAACTGAGTGTTTCTCTACTCGAGAATAGATATAAATATAGATATAGATCCCTTTATTATGTGTGAGTATAAATACAACCCGGACAGGACTTTAAATGCCCATCCAACCTTCTCGCCCGATATGTATCTCACGTCAAAGCTTTTCTGGGCTATGGATTTACTTCCTGTGGAACTAGGGAGAATACTATACCTACCTAACTATAGCAGGATGTGTTTAATATAGGTACCTAACCTATGATTACTCGTATCGGCTGATACGAGGAATAGTCCTGTTGGAAGTTACTTCTGTATCCTTCCTATGTAATAACTAAGATTAGGTAGTTATCTACCTAGGTATCTAGGTAAGAAGTACGACCCCTTACCATAGTATTCGTGTGGATCGAGTGTATACACTCTTGGCTCTTCCCTATTACTTCAACTGATATACGATCGCTGGATAGACCACATTCGCAAACATAAGGGTATCAACACACCCCGTAAACACTAGCATGGCTAATGTAACAGTCCTCAAAGACATCTCACACAACACTCACAAATCACACAGATAAACATACAACAGACAAGACACAAGGAACGTAAATTCCATTTCATTCATTCCACTCTCCGTCCCCTCGCTTGCTCATAAAGCTTCACTTTCTTTTATCTAGACAACCACTCCATTCAAAACGATCAGAAAACCAACCAATCGCACATATCATATCCTTAGAAAGGTGCCTGCCTAGGTATTCAGGACCGTCCCTCCCTCCCTATGCCATATAACCTTCCCCCCTCCCCGGCTCCTTAGCCCCTATCCCAGAAAAAAAAAACACACAGAAAGGCAGATGATAGGTATCAACGCGCAAACGCCCAACCCGTGCGTACACGAGCTATGCTAGCTAAACGTAACACAACGTCTAGTCCAATCCCACGAGAAAGAGGAATATGCATAAAATTTGGAGCCAACATCAACGAAAGCGGGTATAAAGCTTATATCAGCTCGACCTCCTCCTCTTCTCTCCTCTTACTCTCCTCCCACGCATTAACCAGCTTCTTGCGCGTCTGCTCGTGCTGGCCCCATTGCTTAGCGCCGATCCGCATGCGCGCCACGGCTCGGAATACGCTGGCAAAAACCTTTAGTTTGCTTGGTTCCTTCTTGGCCGATTGCTCGCGTTTTCGGGACGAGAGCAGTGCGTCTGGTGATTTGATGCCCAGCTGCTTGTGGATGTTGCTCAGGATGCGTAGGTCTGCCTTGTTGCTATGGGATTGTTAGTTGTTTTATTCATTTTTAATATGGGGGTAAAGGGGTAAAAGGGATAAATAAACTTACCAAGCCTCAGCAATCTCTAGTTGTAGTGCTACGAACTTCTTGGCGAATGCGGCGTCATTTCGTAGCTTGGCCTCGCGCTCCCATCTTGCCTGCATCCACTGCATTTGCAATGCTAGGCCACGGATCTCCTTGGCATGTCGTTTCTCTGCCGCGTCCGCTGCGCGGATCACGGCCTCGTGGTCCCGTTGGTCGACCACGTCCATCACGATGTCGCCGTACCGGAAGCTGGCTTTCGTGCCCCTCTTGTTTATATGCGGTGTGTAAGATATAGAAGAGCCATTAGGCTCAGAGTTCTTCGCCTCGATCCAAGCGAGTGCTTCCTTTGCGCCCTCCTGCAGCCGCTCGCAGTCGGCCCGGAGCTTTTCGGTCGACGCTTTATAAGCGGCACGTTCGTTTCGTGCTCGGTCGAGCTTTTGGCGGAGTTCTTTGCATAGCGGGCTAGCGTAGTCTAGATCCTGCTTTGCTAGTTCAAGTTGTTCGCGTAACTCCTCGCACAAACGATTCGCCTTCTCTGACTCCCTGGTTGCTCGGTTCAGATCTCGCCTGAGCCCTTCGGCAACACGATTGGCCTGCTCTACTTTCTGGTCCGACTGTTTAGACTCGTGTCGAGTAGCACGCTCCGCTTGCTGCTTTAGACGTTCGCATTGGCGTTCGACGTCGCGCAGCTTTCGATTCGCGTCTTGGAGTTGATGTCTAAGGTCTTCAGAGATCCGATTCGCTTCTTCCAGCTGTTCCCCGAGATCCTCGGCTCTCTCTGACTGATTACGTCTCGCTAGTTCAAGCTGCCGTCTGAGGTCTTGACAAACTTGGTCAGCTTCGTTCAGCTTTTGGGCAGCGTCTTCCGATTCCTCGTCCAGAGTAGCTTGAAGAACTTCAACCTCATCCTCTAAGGCCTCGACCTTTTCAGCCTGTGCTTGATAGTCCAGCTGACTCTGCCGAAGGTCCTCGCGAACAGCAGCAACCTCGTTTCGTAGTGCCGTTAGAGATGATTGCCGTGTTTCTAAGTCTTGTCGTAGATCGTCTATCTGGCGGCTGAGTGCGGCCTCCTCGTTCTTATGGCGCTGCGCTTCGCTGTTCAAAGCGTCTTGTAGCTTCATCTCTTTGCTAGAGAGCGTGCCCTCGGCGTCGCGTAACCGGTCGATAGTCCTTTCAAGTCCAGTGGCCCGCTCCTCGAGGCGATCTCTTTGCGCCTCCAGGTTACGCCTCTCAGACTCCCACTTTTCGCTGTCGTTGTTATAGAGATTATCCTTTTCGCGAATAGCGGCGTGAAGTTCGGAAATATCATCGTTGAGACGGTCAATTTCAGATTTAAGCTGGTTGCGGACATCCCGCTCAATCTGACGACCATGACTCCTTTCTTGATCTAGATTGAGTTCTAGATCGCCAACTTGGCTCCGTAAACGAGTGATCTCTCGTTGTAATGAAGTGGATTCATCTCCAGAAGTGGATTGTCGAACTCGAGCATTCGCCTTTTCGTGATCAAGATTTGTCTCAAGTTCTTTGACGCGCTTCTGCAGACGCTCCATTTCTCGCTCCAACGATGCAGACGCTGATTGACCTCCCGTGGCTTCCCTACGGACCCGGGTGATCTCATCCTGAAGGTCGGCAATGTCTTCGTTAAGGCGGTCTACTTCTTCTTTATGCTTCGTATTGGCTTCGTATAGATTCTGTAGGGCACGGGCTTTCTCTTGGCTTAAATCCGTCTCTAGTTCGCTTATGCGTTTTTGCAATCGTGAAACTTCTCGCTCCAAAGAAGCCGAAGCTGACTGACCACCGGATGCTTCGTCACGGACTCGTTGAATCTCATCTTGAAGGTCTGCGATATCGTCGTTCAGCCGGTCAACTTCGGCTTGGTGCTTGCGGTTCAAGTCGCGTTCAATCTGTGACCCGTGCGTCCTCTCCTGATCCAAGCTGAACTCAAGCTCGTCAACCTGCTTTTGGAGTCGTGCCATATCCCTTTTTAGAGAAGTCGATTCGTCTCCTAGAGCATCATGACGCAGCTGTAGAAGGTTTTTCTCATCCGTGCGCATATCCAAGTCTTGCTGCGCGGCTTCTAGTTTCGACATGAGAAGTTTCCGTTCGTGGTCCCAGGACTCCCGTTGTTGCAGTAGTTGTTCAGCCCTGGATTTTACTTCTGTGCTGAACCTATCCTTCTCAGCTACACCCTGCTCAAGAGCTTCATACTTCTCCTGCCAACGGTTCACTTCGATCTGCAGGCGGGTAACCTTCTCTTCAACTTGACGAGAGAGCCCTTTAGTGACGAGCGACTTGTTAGACATTTCTTCCTGGAGTTCCTCGAGGTCTGCTTCGGCTCGGTCTTTATCTGACACTGCAGCTTCAAGTTGTTCTTTCATGTCGTTGAGTTGCTGCTCGAACTGCCGGACGTCAGATTCGAGGTCTCTGATGGTGCCTCTCGCTTCGTCGAGCTCCTCGCTCGACTGGGCATTCTCCTGAAGCTCAACTACTCTTTCTTGGGCAGACTTCCATTTCTCTTCTGCCTGCCCTAGCTTCTCTTCTAAGTCGTTCAATTCTTCGTCACGATCGTTGATTTCCATATCCTTTTCTCGTAAGTCTGCTTCTAAGTCGCGAATCTTGTCCTGTAATTCTTCCAACTTTCCTAGGTCTTCAGGGGACTGCGCCTGCGCCTCAAGGTCGGCAACCTTGTTTTGTGCAGACCTCCAGTTCTCTTCCACCTCTTCTAGCCTATTTTTTAATCCATCCACCTCCTCTTCGCGTTCGTTAATTTCTCGGTCCTTTTGACGTATATCCGCCTCGAGGTCGCCGATCTCGTCGTGTAACTGATCAATTGTACCTTGATCCTTACTTCCTCTTTGCAGTTGTCGTTGTAGGTTCTCGATCTCTGCATCCTTGTCCTCTAGACTTCGCCGTAATGCTTCGATCTCGGCTCTCTGGTTCTGATCCGCATATTTCTTTTTGGCCTTCTCCTGAACTTCCAATATTTGTTGCTGATAGGTCTCGAGGTCCTTTTCTGCTGCGGCAAGGTGTTTCTTGTACTTGTGAAGGTCCCTCTGCATCGTGACTTTATCGACTTTGAGTTCTGTGTTTTCCTTTAAGGCGGCCTCACTAAAACCTGGTCCAGTTTTCCTCAATGCTTCCTCGAGAAAGTGAATTTTCAGCTTCAGTCCAAAGTTTTCCTTCTCGATCCTATCGATCACGTTCTCTTGCTCTCGAAGCGACAATTGGTTCCCATCCTGCAAGGGACCCTTGTTTCCACCGCGTCGCGGTAATACGGCTAGTGGTGTGGATGCTGCGCTGCTATTTTCTACCTGAGGTAGAGGCGTGGACTCGACGTAGGATTCTCCTCTCGAAGGACCATATAAGGAGGTCTCGACAGGAATGTTAGTCATGTCTATGTCCTCGTTTATCTTGCTTAAGGTGGGCGTAGATACGCCATTCGTATTCTCCTTGCCGAACCGACGTGCACTATTTCGCGTCGCAGACTTAAGCATAGGTGTGAACTCTGCGCCCGCTATTCCAGCTGGTAGGTTTCTCTTGTCACCTAAAGGCGCACGACTGTTCCCACGTGGTGTTCGCAAGTTGACGCCGCGGCCATTTCGTAATTGTTGTACAAGATTATTATCTTTAGTTGGAGAATGAAAAGAAGATTCCTGTGTCATATCGAAGTCGGGAGGTGCCCGACTTAGGTAAGTGGCATCACCTAAGTTGGTTCGGGGAGTATCCATCTCGACGGCGCGAGAGGTGGGATGAGTATAATAGTGCCGTACAAGTGGGATCGAATATCGTTATGTGCCGACTTGCAAATTTGATTAATCATGAGATAGTAAATAATAGTTAATCAGGTATGATATCTGGAAGAGAGCATTTGAATTGAGAGTGGAAGTCGAATGTTGTATTGTTGTATAGTACAAGATTTCTTTAAAAAGAAAGGTTGATACTTTCCCTTCAACACGGTAGTTTTCCTTAACGACGCGTTTTGGCCGTGTTTACTTTCGTAGTAAGGTTCAAAGTGGTTCGGAGCTTAAACAGTCAAAGAGCTTAAAAAAATACTTAGGTACCTGAGGTACTATGCTAAATGTACCAAGATTCTCTGATGAAAAATGAAAAGATTAAAATACACTAAACTATAACCGCGTTAGCCTCATGCATTATTGTGTGATAACCTTCTTTTGGACTAGCGCATTCTACGAGAACCCTGAGGGACCAGTGACTAAAGGTGGGGGATTGAGACATGGATTCCGTAAATGTACTAGCGTCACGTGTTCCACTAGAATTACCGCCTCTTGCTTGTTATTGACGTATCAGACCCATTGAAATTCACATTACATCTTTCTCTCATCGCAGTTGGTTCGTCGCATTAAGACTCGCATTACTTTCCTTTTGTCTATAAGTCTACACAAATTCCAACTCGGCGCAAACTTGTTAGCTTCCCCTCCGTAATAACATATGCGCCACTATTTAACTATATTTTCTCCTCTCGAAGACTTGAACAAGTTAACTTTCTGCTTGGACGGGATCAGACCAGACTCATAGTAAAACATGGCGTCTATTAATTCTTTACCGGACGAAATCGTCCACCATATTTTACTTTACGTACCTCCGGAAGAGACTTTATCTAACATCGCACACTTATCAAAGCGTTTCAACCGAGTCGCGCATGAACCTCTTCTTTGGAGATGCTATTGCGAGCATAATTTCAAATACTGGGAAGCCAGTCATCACTTTAAAGAGAGGTTGAAAGGCTACTTACACGATACTGACTGGCGCCGACTATTCCTGTTGAGACTTGGACGTAATGCCTATATCGCACGCCTCCTTGATGGGATTGTCGCATCTCGCGTCTCCCGACTGCAGAAGATGGAACAGATCTGTCTATACGGTTACGATGCAAAAGATTATCTTTTAAGTCAGTGCCAAGCTCCAGATTCGGTTGAAGATGTTTTGGCGCGAAGGTATGCTCGTTTAATCTACAATGCATATATTGAATTGTTGAGTCTAATAGAGTCGCGTTTAACCCAAATTATAGATATTATTCGTGCTCTGTTCTGGATAGCATACATCGGAGCCTTGCGATAGAAGAATGGGCTAAGTATCAAAAGTTTGCAGCACGTCGCATTGACGAAGATACTCCGTATAGCGAAAGATTAAACTGCGGCATGCGCCTCGAGCGCGCTCTTGGCGCCTTTGATATGTTCATGCTTCACGATAATGAGGGTGATTTGGATGAGGTTTGTTTAACTATCCTATCTTATTTAAGTATGTGACTGACCCTGTATACTTGTAAGATTACCGAATTGCTAGATGATATTGCAGACCGGTTTCGAAGTGCACACCCTTACTTTGACGAGTTGACCACCCGTCAAAAGGCTATCGCTTTGACTCGATGGTTGCGCTCGAACAATATGACGGGCTTGAACGATCCCACAGAGCAAACGTATCGTTATCTCCGTAACTGCTTAATCGGCAGGGCTCTTCGAGATGAGCACCACCCATCATTGCCAATCATCTCTGCTGCCATCTACTCCGCTTTAGCATCACGACTCGGATTAGAGGCGTATCCCTGTGCTTTGCCTAGTCACGTCCATGCTACAGTTTTGTCACGACCGGGCATGACACTAGATGATCAACCCCTCGTCGAAGAGCTGTCCCAAGTTCAAGATAACATGTTCCTAGATCCTTATACTGTAGAAGATGAAGTGCCTATGGATCGAATAATCGACTTCCTATATAGGCTCGGCATCCATACAGGCCATGATAATTTACTAAACCCTACGGCCACGGACCTCATCGTGATGCGCACGGCGCAAAACATACGGGCGTCATTCACTAGTTTTCGAACCCACGAGAGACCTTTCGCCCAGATCATCCCCATGATTGAACTTAACCGCGGCGACTGGGCCCGTAATCTGCAGCCGGCCTTGTACAGCATGATTTGGGCGAGCATCATGATGGTCCCCGTGCTGCCGGAGAGCGACGAGATCCGTTGGGACTGGCAACAAGACGTGCGCGACCTGCTCTCGGCCTTCTACGAACATTTCCCCGAGGATGCGTGGCTCGTGGAGAAGTACGTGTGTCCCATGTACGACACCTTTGCGGCTCCGTCGCGTCGCCGGAACAACTGGGATCTTCCCTCTAAGAGCGTCCGGGATCAGATTAAGAGTATGAGACGCGTGGATGCAGCAGTGATGCCCGCCCGACGGCGCAGCGAACTCGCCAAGGGTGTGGAGGTCAAGTATCGCGTCGGCCAGGTGTTTAAGCATAAGCGCTACGAGTATCACGGCTTGATCCTGGGCTGGACCCTCGAGGGTTCTTCTCTCGACGATCCCTTGTCCCCAACCCAGAGGCCATGGTGTTATTACACCCAGCCGTATTACCGGTGCATGTGAGTTTATTCTTTATTTAATTTCTACTATACTATGTCTATCTTTATCCTAACACAAACGCAGGTCTGGCACCGATGGGTTAGACCAACACCTCATCGCAGAAGACAACATTGAGATAGTCGATTTCCGTGGCGGCCCTGAGATGCTGCCGCCGGAGATCAAAGATTTGATGCCCATGGCAGGCAAATTCTTCAAGCGCTGGGATGGCGAGCGGGGCGTCTTCGTCAGCAACATGAAGGAGATGTACCCCGAAGACTAACGGATGATGACTTACTATTACTTACGTTTTCGATCGGCTGCTGCTGACTTCGTATATTCCTAATCCTGGCTATCGCCTATTCCCCACAGTATTGGGGCACGGCATCTCCAGACGCTTTTACATATTTCTTTTTTTACGACTTAAACTCTAATAATGCTCAAGCCCTCAACGATACGGCTTCGAAGATACTCCCCCATTTTGCGTTCGAATTACTACTACTCTCACCTCAATACTAATATGTACCGATACGTTGGAATGATAACTACCTAGTCTGCTTGGCTTGCCGTAAACGTGCGGGCGTTTTACGGGAATGCTGGTATGGATTGAAACAATAGTTATGATGTACGATAGGAATGATTTTTATTATACGAATGAGTTTGTGAGCATTTACTACTTATATTTAATGCGTTTTCTGATGGTTGGTGATATATGATGATGTGAGTTTACCTAGGATGTGTCTAGGCTAGGCTGGGCTTTGCTAATTCCGAGTTTGTCGGCGCCGAATTACATATCGGGCTCGGCCGTCGATTTCGAGGTTATTGGGGCCTGGACGTTTGGGTTATTGCCTACGTAAACTACATGTAGGGAACTGATCTTACCAGCTAGTCGTATTCCTATGTACTGTCATGTGCCGAGGTAGTTGTAATATGATGTCTAATCTTGACTGACTGACTGACTGACCGACCGCATACATAGACGGAACCTAAGAGTATATAAAGGCCTATAGCTAATTGATTTTCTGACGTGACCAGACGAATATCCCAATCTACCTCCCTTCTTATATTAGTTCCGTTACTTAAAACTAGTGTATCGGTAATAGAGGTATGTAATTCAAAGTCATTAATAGTGGGAGACATACCGTTAAACAAGCAACATAAATCAAACTCATCTCCTTCTCTTTCCCTCTACCACTTAATGTAAAAGCACTATTAATAATCCACAACTTCCCACGTAGAAACCTATGAAAAAAAAAATACAATCACCGTCAAATACATCAAATCAACAAAGCGCATGCATGCATGCATGTAAAACCTATCCAGACACTCCTGGTATCATCCATCAGCATTAACGCCCATCTATATGAGTTACCTAATTTCTATATGCAAACCATACCTAACCTAACTCTCCCGCCACTTCACCTTTTTACAACAATGCATAGGCTAGGTTAGGTACCTAGTTATAGTATATGTCAACTACCTAGGCTAGGTGTCCAAGTTACAAGCCAGCTAACTATTCCCTAACCACCTCAATCTTCTCAATAACATCTCCCCCCACCCGCGCGACCTCCGCAAGAATAGCATTCCTGTTAACCTCGTACATCACGTTGCTATCCCCATCAGCATCGCCAGACGGCATAAGCGAACACGGCATATGCGCCGTAAACGCGCGCGCATGCAGCTGCGGGTTCCACAGCCCCCCAATCACCGTGTCGTCCGGGCCGCCGTGGAAAAATAGCAGTGGGCTGGAGTACATCGCGTTGAGCTGTCTGAGAAGACTCTGAGTAGGCGGTTCTAGCAGTGGGAGCGCTCTCGTCCCTGTCTCCCCGTCGAGGTTCTTGTATTGCGAGCGCCTGGATGCGTCGCCTCGAGAGATGTTCTTAAGTGCTTTCGAGGACAGATGCAGTAGGACGTCGTAGTCGCGTAGCGGGGATTGGAAGAGGCTTCGCATGCCGAGGTCGACTCCCTTCTCCTTGACGGCCTTGCACGCGGACCGCGCTAGGCTGGTCATTCGTGTAGCAACGACCTTGGTCGGGCCGTCGTGAGTATATGCGACGCCGCTTACATCGTGAGACGTAGCCACGAAGAGGATTGTGCGGTTCATATTGGGATCGATTTTTCGCCATGCCTTTAGCCGAGTACCGATTTCTAATCGTTGCGAGGTAGAAAGGGATCCTGCCGAGTCGACAACAAGGGGTTCGTCACGCCAATCCCATCTCGATAGCAACAAGAGCGTTCGTAGAAACCCGGTTATCGCGCTGGAAGGGGATTGCCAAGGATATGGCTTAAGGAATGCTTGTAGAACAAACAGCTCTATTACCTCTTCGTTAAAGTGGCATGATAGCTTGTGAGAGTTAAACCAGTGCTTGGTGAGGCGTATGGATGAGGATAATGCAGGGAATCTAGTGCAGAATGTAGATACGGTTTGATTGTGGAGTGGTAAGTTGGTATACATCCGTTTGTACAAGGCGAGAAGCTCGGCAGCTTCAGTACGAACGTGACGCTCAATTGCTTGATCCTTCGTGCGCCTGTCAAGCAGGGCCTCCTCGAGATCGCTGAATACGCGGAGTCTAAAAGAGGCGCCATCTTCGTAGACTATGTCCAAGAATGCTAAGTTTTCGTCGTCGCGGATTGTATTCTCTAACCCGAGATGTGTCTTGACATCTTCCTTGACTTCTTCTAAGGAACTGGCAATTTTCAACAAGAACGCAATCTTGGCTCTCTGAATAGCCGCTAAGTTTTCAGGCCATTTGCCGGATACCTCAAAAGAAACCACAACCTCCATTGGCTGTAGTAAAGGCTTTCTGAAGTTGAATTCTGGTGCGGATAGTGATGTGCGCCGTAAAGCTGTGCTGATAGGTGCTACTTGCTTCACATGCAATGGCAAATCCTCCAGATTGCGAATATCTCGCTCAAGATTCTCGAACGCTTGCTTAGCGGTATCGAAGGCCACCTTCTCCGAGGGCGCAAACGATATGACTTTGGGCATATCTTGTCCGTAGAACTCAAGATCGCCATCGCCTACCTGGAGCCGTAGCTTCAGGATGTATCGTATAATAGCCTCGCATATTCCGGGGAAGCCCAGGTAGCTATATTCTGTCCAGTCAAGGCTCTCAACAATATTTCCATCAGGAAATTGCCAAAGATCTGCCTTTTCACCCCAGAACTCACGGAATTTAGTCGATTCTTTCTTCTGTTCATACGGTGGACCATAATCACGACCCTGAGATGCCTTCAGGGGATCTATGATAACCCCAACGAGGAGGCTTGCCTTTTTCGTCTTCGGCATACTTGCCGAAACTGGCCACGTCGCCGTCTCTGGTATGCTAACGTGAATCAACTGTGCTCGCTCGCCTAACGCCTTTTTTATCGTGTTATATAATTTCGTGCTGAAATCACAAACAAACCCTTTACGATCGACCGATTCAACCCCTTCCTTCGAGGTAGGGAGTTTGACGCTCAGAAGTATATCGAATGTCTGCAAAGGTTGGTCGGCTTTAACAATGAACAAGGGATCGAACTGGTCATTTGGGGTGTCGTTTATTGCAGATAGTGACCACTTGGCTTGTTCGGTTAGCATGGCTATAGACCATGGTGTCATTTTGTAGAGGATGTTTATTCCACGAGCTGTATCATGTAGGACCGGCATCGCCTGACGAAGAGAGTCTGTATCGATAGGATCCTTGCCAATAACCAAAGCCTTTTTCTGCAAGTTCGCCGAAACGATGTATTGCAGAGTCGCTTTGAATAGCTGCGTGCTATGTAACGAAGGAGAAAGTACTGCTTCTCCTTTTCGGCCTCCGCCCTGCAAGAGAAGAGCCATCAAGACTGCCCATTCGAAATGACCAAACCCGCCACTGCTGATATTACCGTTGAATCCGCGCTGCTGGAGCCATATACGCCCTAGAACGCATGCATCTTTAAACGTAGAACAAGACTTCACGGTTCGATATAGTAACCGCAAATAAGAGGGGAATAGGCCCTCGGCTTTGAGAGTTGTGTTATAAAAAGGTGTAGGCGTCTTCTTCTCCTCATTTCCTTCGGATTTTCCTGGCCGTATAGCATTGCTGACTGCCGTGAGTTTCCCTGCTGGGAAGTAATCTTCTGGAGCGCATGGGATTATACGAATCGCCGGGATCGATTTTCGACGGGAATTTGACTTCTCTGAACCATCATCTTTGCTCGTAGTGTTTTTTGGTCGAGCAACCAGTATAGGTAATAACATGTTCCCATGCATGTGATCGAAAGTAAATTCAATAGCGGTACCCAACTCTTCGCGAAGATCAGCGGCAATATAAGCCAAATAATACGCCCTTTTATAGAAATATCTCATGTTCAAGTAGTCTTTCTCCTGGAATATGGAGGAAGGCATAACGACGATCATATCAACTGCCATATCCGGTTGGGATTTTATGTTGGTCTTCAGAATCCAGCTGCCGGCTACGTTGACCTCAGCTGGTTTGTCGAAGGATAGCTTATACGGGGCATCTTTCGCTGGTTGCGGATTGGGATACGGAATGGTAATTCGATTTGTCTTTTCAAAATTCGCTGACGCCTCACTAATCTAGAGGAGTGAAATAGGCATAGAAGTTAGATATGCACGATTTAGCTAGATGGTCTCTGTAAGGGATTGGACTTACGGGAAGGGGCTCGTGAGGTTCTGAAGCTTCAATGACATCTTTAAGCTGTCGCAAGATATCCTCGACATTAGAAGATGTTTTGCTATAATCAAATTTCACTTCCTTTAGTAATTCTTCCGTCTCTAAGACGAATGCGCTTGCGCCAGAAGCACCCATGGTTGAAGCTGTCGCATTTACGGCTTCAAAAGTTGGACCACCGTCTGCATGTTCCAGTTTGCGTCGCTTTGCTGTATTGGGCTCCATTTCGTATTCAAAAGGGTCCGAGATCCGAGAAGTGAAAGCGCACGGATCTTGTCGTCGAAGTTAATTCTTCGTATCCCCTGACCAATTTTTGAGATTTTGACAGCACTGGCCCATTTTCATGTTCAAGTTCCCATCCCAAACTTCAAAAAAATTACTATAATTTCCGTATCGATAAAGACCCACGTTGTGGCTTATTTAGGTATTACCTATTGATTGTGGCTAAATATATTTGATAGGTACCTATGTACATGTACCTATCCATAGATCCTACGGTTGACCAAACAGCTTGTCTCGAAAAGTAATGGCGCAGTCTTGGCATTTTTTTCCAAAAACAACACCATATAATATATGTAAAAAAAAGCACAAAAGAAGATAATGAAAAATAGAAAAAAATACCTATTGACTTTTTAGCTTTTATTGTTATTATAAGTATTTTTTATAATTTTATTGTTTTAAAAATAATGGAATTATAAATATATTTATATGGTATATTAAAACGTTATTAAAAATATATTTTTAAAGTTATTTTTAATGTATTATTATTTTAATAAAAAAATTAAAATGATAAAAAAGTATAATAGCCTTTTGTAAATAAAACGATATATATTATAATTTTATTATTATTTATTTTATTTATATAATTAATGGTTTTTTAAAAAAAATTAAATGTTAAAACCGCGCTATTATTTTTCGTTTTAAATTGCCAAATAAGTTATTATATTAAAATGAAAAAAAAAATCGCACATTAAATTAAAATAAGTAAAAAGTCACGGGCCACAATTTAATATATACTTTTAAACTTTATACGGTTATTTTTATAATATAAATATTTAATTAATTAAAAATAAACGTATTTACATATATTTATTTTTATATCCATATATAAATTTAAAAATAACTTTATAAATATTAATTTAAAAATAACATGATATATATCGTTAAATAGCTTAAATTAATGCGAAAATAATGATATTAATTGTAATATTATATAATACAAATTAAATATTAAAAATTGTTTTATTAAAAAATATCACGTGTTTATTTACGAAATAACATAATTTAATTATATTTTATTTTTATAAAAGTTTAAATAACATGTATTTTAAGTTATTAAATAACATGTATTTTAAATTATTATTTTTACATTAATTAAAATTATTTATTAATAGTAATTATATTATTTAAAATTAAATAATAATAAAATTATTTAAATTTATATATATTTATTTAAAATTTTTTAATAAAGTTAAAAAAATTACGTGTAATATGTTAAAAATTAATCATTTTATTAATATTTTATATTTTATATATACATTTATATGTAAAAATATTTATTAATTATATTTAATTAAACAACTTTATTTAACATATTTAATCACCCTTAAAATAGTCACGTGATACCTTTTGTTAAGACAATTTTTAACATAATATTATTAAATAAATTATATAATATTTAATTTGTACCATATAATATTTGATTCGTACCATATAATATTGCAACTAATTTATTTTAATGTGTTAAAACTAAAGATTTAAAAAACGGCAAACTTTGTTTACCTCCGTTTTTTGCCATAAAACTTATGGTCCGTGTGTTTATATTTGTAAATTATAAAAAAAACGTTTTTTAAATTTTAATCTTAATTAGTTTTATATAATATAAAACAAATTAATAAACGTTTAAATTTTTATTAAAATTTTTAATAAAACTATATTAACAATAATATAATAAATAACAACAACATATAAAAAATATTTTATTTTAATTATTTGGGGTTAATCTTTTGTTTTTATTACCTTTTTATTTTTTTTATATGTTTATATGATATCGCGTTATAATATTATAAGTTTTAATGTTTAAATAACCTTAAAACGTTATATTTACGCGTTTACATTTACAATTACCTATAATTTATCTCAGTTAATTTAAATTAAAAATTTAAAAATAATTTGAAAGTTATTTTAATATATTAAAACTAAAGATTTGAAAAGCGGTAAGTTTTACCCGCTTTCGCCTCTTTCATTAACGCCATAAGCGTTATAAAACCTTTAGTTTATATATTTATATTTGTAAGTTATAAAAGAAACGTTTTTTAAATTCTAATTTTAACTATTATTTAATATTTTAACCATACCTAATATACATTTTAAAAGTTTAATAAAATTATATTAACAATAATATAATAAACAATAATAACGTTTAAAATACCTTTTATTTTAATTATTTGAAACTAATTTTTTACTTTTACTACCTTTTTATTTTTTTTATATATTTATATAATATTACGTTATAATATTGTAAACCTTAACATTTAAATAGCTTTAAAACGCTATATTCACGCACTTACACTTACACGTTTATACTTATACACTTATACCTACGCGTTTATACTTATAACTATTTATAACCATATTTAAAATACCTTATATTCTAATTATTTAAGGTTAATCTTTTACTTTTACTACTTTCTCGTTTTTTTTATATATTTATATAATATTACGTTATAATATTATAAATTTTAACGTTTATTACGATTATTACGTTACAACCGGCGTTACAACCGGCATTACAACCGATATTATAATTAATCTCGACTTTAAAACGTATACGTTTTATATATAATAACCTATTTAAATAATTAAATTAATATTTATTTCTTATATAAAAATTTTATTTACTTAAAATTAATATTTTTAATTAATTTAATTATTAATATTTTTAATTAATTTAATTATTACTATACTAAATAAAAAAAAAATATTTAAAATCACCTTAAACTAAAAATTAAAAAATGGTTTAAAAGGGTATACCAAAATGTAATTAATTGGGAAAAAATATGGTTAAAAAAGGTATTTCCCTTTAAACCATTTTTAATTTCTAGTTTAAACTCGCTAAAATAATTTGAAAAAAAGTACCTTTTTTAACCACAACCCTCCCCAACCAATCACACCTTAACACACCCCCCCAAAAACATTTTTCAATCTTTAATCTAAAACAACTTTAAACATTTTCCCCACACATAATATTAATAATAATTAAATCAATTAAAAACATAGTAAATAAAATCTTTATATATAAAACAAATATTAATTTAATTATTTAAATAAATTATTATATATAAAACATATATGTTTTAAATTAAAATTAATTATAATACCAATCGCAACATTAATCGTAACATAATAACCGTAATAAACATTGCAATAAACGTTAAAACCTATAACATTACAACATAATATCGTATAAACATATAAAAAAAACAAAAAAGTAATAAAAACAAAAGATTAACCTTAAATAATTAAAATATAAAATATTTTAAACGTAATTATAAATAGTTATAAATATAAACGCATAAATATAAACGCGTAAATATAAACGCATAAATATAACGTTTTAAAATTATTACATATTTTTAAAATTATTACGTATTTTTAAACGTTAAAGTTTATAATATTATAACATAATATCGTATAAACATATAAAAAAAACAAAAAAATAACTAAAGCAAAAAACTAACCCCAAATAATTAAAATAAAAAATATTTTAAATATTATTATTACTTATTATATTATTATCGATATAATCTTATTAAAAATATACCAAATACGGTTAAAAACCCTAAACGTCCTTAAGACTAAAATTCGAAAAACGCCTCCCCCACGCCTTACAAATACAAACACACAAACCAAAGGTTTCGTGGCGCTTGTAACGCCAACGAAAAAAGAGGCAAAAAACGAAGCCCGCTTTTTAAATTCTAGTTTTAACACATTAAAATAACCCATAACCACCCACAACCATTTATAACTACGTTTAAAATACCTTCTATTTTAATCACTCGAGGTTAACTTTTTACTTTCGTTACCTTTTTGTTTTTTTTACATGTTTATATAATATTACGTTATAATATTATAAACTTTAATGTTTATTATAATATTTATTACGGCTATTACGTTACGACCGGCGTTACGACCGGTGTTATAATTAATCTTAATTTAAAATATATACATCTTTATTTAAATAATTAAATTAATATTTATTTTTTATATAAAAATTTTACTTACTTAAAATTAATGTTTTTAATTAATTTAATTATTATAATTATTATTATATAACCGTTTAAATAAAAAATATTTAAAATCACTTTAAATTAAAAATTAAAAAATAGTTTAAAAAAGTATGCTAAAATATAATTAATTAAAAAATCATATAGTTAAAAAAAATACTTCTTTTTAAACCATTTTTAAATTTTTAGTTTAAAATCATTAAAATAACAATTAATATCATTATTTTCGCATTAATTTAAACTATTTAACGATATATATTATGTTACTTTTAAACCAATATTTATAAAATTATTTTTAAATTTATATAAATATAAATATATATAAATATAAATATAAGATTTTTAAATACAATTATATATATTACGTATAAAATTATAAAATATGTATGTAAAGGGTATAAGGCTTTTTGCCACCTTAAATTATAAAGTACCGAGCTAAATGGATAAATCCGTGTTTAACTACCCGTTTAAACTTAATTTTCATATTTTTTTCATTTTGGCACAGTACCCTGTCTGGTCAACCGTAGATCCCTCAATTCTTACATGATCTTCTAACGTCATCTACCGAATTACTGCTGTACCCTGTGTTTACATAATCCTTAAATAGCAATTGTTTGCCGCTGTTTTCCGAGCTGAAAATAAGCATCGTAAAGCCGCAGAACCTAGTTTCTCCAGTCGATTTTCTTAGGTATAATATAACGATACTAATATAACGAAGCTAATATAACAATGCTAATATAACGATGCGATGCGCGTAGATCCAACCGGTTTCCCCACGCTCCGCATTGCCCGCATTGCCCGCTTTGACCTTGAACTGCCGCTGGTTACCTCCGGCGCATACAATCGCGGAATCTTATTTACCCCATCGGAATACGCCTCTTTTTCTTCATAACTAACCGTAAGCGCATACAAAGATGATTAGCCCGTGGATAATATCGAGTAAACCGTGTAACTATCTCTGTTAGTCGTGAGCGGCGTAGTTGAGTTCATCCCTAGCCGAGCACTGCCGAGCGTGGAGACCAAGTAAAATACAAGGGGCGTGCCTTTTCCGCTTAGAATAGAATATTCTTTTAATTCTTTCGTTTAATTTATTATAAAATACTATTAGCGAGTTCGGCGATTTTGTTGCTATATGTACCTCTCATTCTGAGCCGTGTTCGACGTTGCCCGTTGTTCATATCGCTGTCACGTAGACGATCATACTGAATACTTGTTGCAATGCCTTCCGCAGCTATGTGCATGAGAACGTTGAGAGCATATTCTCGCTACGGCTCGAATGTTAGTGAAGCAACTTATCCAATATCTTATAAAAACATCGATTAATTGGTCTCTTAGCATGCTAGGATACTCGCTAGGACCTTCTCGGCGACGTCTAGACGCGCCGAGATTAACAAGGTGTATCCGTCTGTCACTGAAGCTTTAAAAGATATGAAACCGGATTCTACATTATTATGTGGAGGGTTTGGTCTTTGCGGTGTTCCAGATACATTAATCAATGAGGTTTTAAATAAACCCGAAATCACAGGCATTACAGCAGTCTCAAATAATGCCGGAACTGATTCTTCTGGATTAGGTAAACTCTTAAAGACTAAACAGATTAAGAAGATGATCGCCAGTTATATAGGCGAGAACAAGACGTTCGAGCAGATGTACCTTACAGGTGAAGTTGAACTGGAACTCACGCCTCAAGGTACTTTGGCCGAACGATGTGCCGCTGGCGGTAAAGGTATCCCGGCTTTCTACACTCCTGCAGCTTTCGGCACCGTAGTACAAACTGGCGAACTACCCTTGAAGAACAAGAGCGACGGAACTCCCGACGTGTTCTCGTACCCGAAAGATGTGAAAGTTTTCAACGGCAAGTCTTATCTTCTGGAACACGCTATTGCCGGAGACTACGCCTTCGTGAAGGCTTACAAGGCAGACAAGCTCGGAAATTGTCAGTTCCGCCTTGCTGCTAACAACTTCAACGGTGCTATGGGCCGAAATGCCAAGATGACCATTGTTGAAGCCGAACATATCGTCGAGCCTGGCGAGATCCCGCCCGAGGCTGTCCACTTACCGGGTATCTACGTCAAGAGAGTTATCCAAAGCACCGCGGAGAAGAACATCGAAAAATTCACCTGGACGAAGGATGAAAACGACGCAGATGCTAAGAAGGCGCTGGGCACAGGTGACACGGCAGCTAAGAGGGAGAGGATTGTTCGCAGGGCAGCTAAGGAGTTCAAGAATGGAATGTACGCAAACCTAGGAATAGGTATGCCTATGCTTGCGCCCGGATTCGTGGGCCCCGAAGTCGAGGTGCAACTCCAGTCCGAAAATGGTATTTTGGGTCTTGGACCATACCCAAGGCCAGGCGAGGAGGATGCCGACCTTATCAATGCCGGGAAGGAGACCGTAACACTAAAGCCAGGTGCTGCCGTCTTCGGTAGCGAGGAAAGCTTTGGTATGATCCGTAGCGGTCGTATCAACTTGACGATATTAGGAGCTATGCAAGTTAGCGCTACGGGTGATCTTGCAAACTGGATGCTGCCCGGAAAGGTCAAGGGCTTCGGTGGAGCGATGGACTTGGTTAGCAACCCAAGCGCAACGAAAGTTGTTGTCACAATGGAACACACAGATAAGAAGGGTAACCCGAAGATTGTTAAGCAGTGTGCTTTTCCCTTGACGGGTCGGGCTTGCGTGTCTAGGATTATTACGGAATTGGTAAGTAACTGGTTTACATCCCTAATTCAGGCTGTATGGTTTTGCTAACGTTTTTATTAGGGAGTATTTGATGTTGATTTTGCACATGGCCTTACGTTGATCGAGATCGCGGATGGCGTGACGGTGGATGAGATAAAGAGCAAGACTGAGGCGCCATTCCACGTTGCGGAGGATCTTAAACCGATGCTATGAAATACGGGGATACATGTATAAGTGTAAATATTAGTGCAAAATGTATACCATGGATTTCTGCAGAATATCTCTAGATTAAGTACCTCTGAATAAATGATGGAAGTAACGATTTGGGCTTAGAAGGTGGGGGCGACGTGAACTTTACTATATATACGAAGTAGGTACCTCTTAAAACGCGTATGCAATTGCATCCACAAACCTTTAGGAGGTAGGTACCTAACCTAAACAAAACAACAATATTCATTTCAATAGCCAGTTTACATTATGGCCATATATGTGTTAGGTACGCAACTACGGCTTTAATAAAATATTGGTATACAATACCAAATTCTTGTCATTGAATTAGATACATATTCGGTATCTGATTACGTTATCATTGCTGCACCGGTAAACACTTCATCAACATCAACATGTCTCAACTTACAGGGTCTGGTCCTGCGTATACCTACGACAACCAGGCTGGGGTGGGATTTCGTCATTGGGAAATACGTCCACTAAAGCATGTTGGTATCGAATGGCACCGCCGTCCTCCTGGCTCAAGGTTGATTGGAACGACATCAACTAGAACGAGGTCAGACAGTAGTACAAGTAAAAAGGGGATCCGCAGTTTTCTTGATATGATAATCAGAGTCGTCGCGGACAATGCCGCTGCTCTCGAGATAGGACAATTAGATGACATCCCTTTTCGAATAATATGCCGCATTTGGGACCTCCTTGTTCGAGACCGCCGGTAAGTCTACTAAGTTCGGTACCTAGTTATGTTACGCTTCTCTAGTTAATGCTAACTACTCATTACCCTAGGCCTATACCGTTGCAATCATATATAGTCCTCGCAACCTGTCTTGCTAAGCAACACCGGGAGGACGATATATCTCGGTCAATGCCGGGAAGTGTTTTTCGCTTCAATCATGCCGTGTCATCTCCGTTTGAGTCCTTTCACTCCTACTTAAAACCACTTACGTCCAACTCTTTCGACTTCATCGTACATCTTACTTTTTCCCATTGTAACACCTCGTTCTCTGAACATGATTTCCTATCGCTGACACTTCTTAAAAATCTGGGCGTGCTGGAAATATTGCAGCCAAACCTTTCGAGTATCCAAATATTCCCTCGTATAACTGACTCCATAATCAGACACTGGTCCGAGGTGCCAAACCCGTTCCCCGTCCTTCGGGTCTTAAGAATCTGGGGGTATGATTTCACCACGTTTAGATCGTTAACTTACCTCTCAAAGTTCCCCTCTCTTGTCGTTTACGACGTCGCCGGTTGGCGTAGAGACTGGGGCCGACAACTTCAACTTCCAAACTTTGATTGGCACTGTTATAGAAATTGGTACACTGCCGAGCCACGCGATTACGTTTTTAAATACTTGAATGCGCATTACCCAAGCCCCATCCCACTCAGAGAGCTTCATGATGATCCCGAAACGGGAGGTTCTGTACTAGATCATGAGGTGGGAAGTTATGGGATGCTAGACGACGACGACGACGACGACGACAAGAGGGTTGAGGTTTTAAAAAGGGATCATATACCGTCTCGACCCGATACTCTGGTATCAGGAACGCATAACCTAGGCCCAAATATTTGTCTTCACTATTTAGCATACGTGCTTTATTGCCAGATTGGCCGATTATGGTCGGATAGGGACTTGGCTGCACAGGGCGTGAGCGATACTGATAAGGCCTTTGTTATAGATAACTTTCGTCTTATTCCACCCAGGCCTTACATCTCGATAAAATTTGATTCGTGCTGCAGTCATATGAGTAGGCAATTAGGGGAGGGGCCCTATCCTAGCCTGGATACATCATGCCGTTGCGAGTGCGATGTCTCTTTATTTCAGGCACACTACACTTTTATACGAAAGAAGGATGACATGGGGAAAAGCGAGCATCAGTCTAGCTCAAGCCACGAACTATCCGGTAACGACGGCCCATCTGGTAAGCCAGCTTCCAATCCAAGGCTACGAAAGAAACGGAAGATATTTTCTATGGAGGATCTTTAGGTTAAGGTACGCCTAGACCGAAGTAATCCCAAAGATCAATGAACAGAGCTCTAGCATTATTTGATGATATTCCCAAGAGATGGAAACTATACGGCTAAGATGGGGCTTAAGAAGCTATTAGCTATATGCATTAATGCCACTAGATAGGCTATAGATATATAGTGCTATTGTACTAGGTATTTATAAAATTTAGGAAAACGCATGCACTCGCAAGCTCGCGCAAGCGTTTTCACGTGCTCGCAGGCTCGCACGGTAGAATCTGTCGGAAACATCTAAATATCTTGATGAATTTCAACCAATTATTTTCTTTATTAGCTTATCAATTTCTTATCATTTATTGAAGAATTACTTATCAATTACTTATCAATTACTTATCAATTACTTATTAGTTTCCCATAATAATTTCCAAAAGTTTGAGCGTAAAAAATGTCTCCGACGGATAATGAAGCCGGTGGGTTATAGCTATTGTGCTATCAGAAGAATACATTCATAGTCCAGCATGTGAACTAATGGAATGTATTAAACAACCACAACTGAGGACTTTTATCACTATTTCCCTGTGCTACTCTTTCATCTCATCGTATTTTTGCCCTTCTTAGTGTCTTCGTTTCTAACCTTTTTAACGGCTACCTAAGTTTTGGCAAGAAGAGACTGGAAACATGTATTATACTAGTTATGCTTCATTTACTCAAGTACATATTATCTTCATATACACACATAAGTCAGGTCAGGTATGATATCCCATATCAAGAACCAGCATACTCAATCATCAGCCCAACACTCGTACAATTCCACCCGTCCACAACCGCCGTCCCGTCCCCGTCGCTCGTGATATCAAGCCCTAACCCGCAGCCAACCCAGTACTCCTTGGCTCCTTGCGCACAGGCCAGCGTCGAAGTCCCGTTAGACGCAGACGCAGACGCGGACGCGGACGTGGAATTCGTCGTGGTTATGCACTCGAGAGGCGCGTACCATCCCTGTCGGTCGTTGTCTATCTCCGCGAGCACGTGCGGCTCGACGAAGTATACGGCGCTGCCGGAGAGGTCGGGGCGCGCTTCGGCGATGGCGATGGCGATGACGGCGGTGGTGGTGGCGTTGGAGGATGTGTTTGTTATTTCGGCTGGGGTGTCTGTTTCACTGCTGCTGGGTGTTGAGCAGAGGTATTGGTGGTGTTGGCTAGAGGATGAATTCGTATTGGAGCTGGAAGAGGAGAAGGAGAATCGAGAGGCGAGGCTTGATGTAGGGGTGAAGAGAACTCCTGTCCCGCTGATTTGGAGGTACCAGCTGTCGTATATGCTGCCGGGTTGGGAGACGCGGATGGTGAAGGGGGAGGTGGGGGAGGAGCAGAGGGGGGGTTGAGATGGGGTGGGTGTTGGTGTGGATAGGGATGTGGGAGAGGTGGTGGTTGTGTTGGCGAAGAGGATGGAACTGGTGGCATTGAGGAAACGTGGGGGAGCGGTGGTGCTGTTGGTGCTGTTGATAAAGGGGATGATGCGCGTGGAGTTGAGGAATAATGGAGCGAGAGTGGTGGTGTTTAGGGTGGGGGAAGGGGTGCTTGTTATATTCATAGACGGAGCTGAGATGGTGGCGTTGGATAGCTTTGTTGGGCCGGCTGTTATGTTGGCGGCTGCGGTGTGGGTTGAGTTTAGGAATGGCGCTGAAGCGGCGGTGATGTTCGGGAGGGTGTTGATTGTGCCGGCTGTGCCGCTGTGGAAACCCGTTACGCTTGCTGCGGTAGGTCGAGGTACGGTATTGGTTGAGTTTAGGAATTTACCGATGCTTGTTGTTGTATTGGAAATAGATGAGAAGTTTGTTGTCTTATTGAGTCCGATAGTGCTGTTGATAGCAGCGAGTGAGCTTAATGCGGCTGATGATGTGATGGATGCAGCATTGACTCCGGTTTTAGTACTTGACGTATCTTCCGTTACGGATGGTCTCTTTAGTCTGTGTTTGTCGGTAGATGTCGTCGAGTCGATAGATATAGACGAAGAAGCGGTGATAGGTAGTGAGATGCTCGAGCTCGGAAGCAACCCTGAGCTTGTCACGTTTAGAAAAGGTGCCGTTGAGTTTCCAAACTTTACACTTGTTGAATTTCCATGCAACGATGAGCTATTGACGTATCTTGTAACGTTGTAGATAGCCGTAGCCGTTGCGGTCTTCACGATCCGGACTACATGTGTAGTACTTGGTGTTGGTACAGTCGTCGTGACGGGAGTGACACCAAGACACGAGCACGCTGACTCGTAGGCTGCGGACGAAGCGCATAGAGAAGCGTATTTTGGGATTGAAGTAGCCTTGGTTGTACTTGGACCCTTGTTGCTTACGGCTCTACCGAGTAGCACATCGACTACTTCGTGTCGTTCCAGCCATCGTTTTGACGGCTCTGCGGAACTAGTTATAGTTTGCGTAGCTGTCCTAGTTGTAGTCCCAGTTGTCGTGACTACGACAGTACTGGAGATAGTACTATTTCCATCGTTAGTCCTCAGCTACATAGCTTACATCTCCTTTGGGTTGGTAATAACTACCTAATAGCTGGAGTTACTGTAACTCGTATGAATGACTTGCAATCATCTTCTTGCAGCGATGGAACTGCCTCCTGAACAGCTAAATTGTTAGTGTTAGTTAATATGATATAAGTTGAGGGCATCTAAAACACTTAAGACGTACCTTGGAGACAATCGTCAACTGTACATTTTGCAGTAGCTCCCGTTACTAACGCCACCGCGACGAAAACATCCAAGACACGCATCTTCTATCATTTATCTACCTAGATTTTGGTCATCAATCCATGTTCGCGTTATACATACATACACGAGAAGAACGTCGATCATTGTGACTTTAGCTAAGACCCGCATGACAGCAGCTATTCCTCTTTTTATGTAAGGTACCTAAAGTTCTCAAACTTCGAAAAAACTTGGAAGACAGCGTCGCATTTGAAATTGGACTTTCATGCGGAATGACGGTCTCGCTAGCTTCCCCGGGGCCAATGGTGTGAAAGTCTTACCCCTAGTCTAGGCTTAGACCCTTGCGACTTATAAGTGATATGTTATTAATGAGACTCGATCTGTTATTGAGATCGGAACTCATCGCAGCACTCGTCATTCTCATTTGAGATATCTAACATGGGCAGTTTTATGAATTCTGTAGAACACCAAAAACTATTGAGTCTTTGATTTTGCGGAATAAAAAGTAATTAGCGGCTTATAACAACTTACCATAATTTATTACGATATTGAATAATAGTTAAAGCCCTGCTATACTCTTTTATAAGAGAATGCTTATACTAAAAACACCACAACGATATCAAAATTGTTTCCATCAGAAAATCATATAGGTACTTATATTATAAAGATTTATAAATGAACATATCTACAAGAACTTGACCTAACATAAACAAGGTATCGGCCTAAGTCTCACAACGAGACTCATCATCATCATATATACCGTATCTCCATCTACCATATATCACTTCCTCATCTTCTACCTATACCTCTCCTCGTAGTACTTCACACACACACACACACACACACACACACAGAGACATCACACCTACCATTTATATCTTACCTTACCTTACCTTACCTTAGCGAAAACAGTCCAACCCCTAAATCTTAGTCCTCCACCCCGTCCCCATCCTCCTCATCCTCGCAAACCGCGCACCAGACAACAACATGGCGCCCACAAGCAGACTCGCCCCCGTGAACCCCTGCGCGCCCGCGTACCTCCCACCCATGCTCCCGATGATCGCCCCCGCGATCGGATTCCCCGTGAGAACGGCAAAGCTCACGATCGTAAACGCCATCCCCATGCGCGTGCCCTGCTTGCGCAGGTCCGTCGTCAGGCTGCCCAGGCCCGCGGGGAACAGGCTCTGTATCGCGCCGGCCACGATCCCGTACGCGACCGCCCACCCGTACAGCTGCGACGGCGTGCGCACCGCCATCCACCCCAGCACCGTGATCCCGCACCCCACGCACGCCGGGACCATGAGGTTGAGCGGCCCGAAGCGGTCCGCGAGATGGTTCGGCAGGAGGCGGCCTAGGATGCCCACGCCGTTCAGGATGAGCAGCAGGTTGAGCGAGTCCGTGTAGTCCAGCGTAGGTGTGATTTCGGACCGGCTGAAGGCCGCCAGGTAGTAGAAGCCGAAGTACACGCCCCAGAAGTTGAAGAACATGCCGATGGCGTAGAGCGTGTACTCGGGTTCGCGGAACGCCGCCCATTCGACCAAGCTACCCGTGCGCCGCGGCGGCAGCCGTGACTTCATGAAAGACACGGCGAAGATCAGCGTGGTCAGCTGTACGAACCCGATGGCGCGGACGGCCCATCCGAAGCCGACGGTCGGGAGCAGCTGGCGTGCCATGGCTGGGAAGACCAAACCACCGGTCACAGAGCCGCTGGCCGCGAGACCGATAGCAAGGGAGCGCTTCTTGCTAAAGTAAGTCGACACGGTGGAAATGAACGGACAAAATACGCACCCGCTGCCGATACCCATGCATAAGCCTTGCGAAAGGATGAGCTGCCAGTACTGCGTCGCGACGGAAGTGGTGAAGATGCCGAGGGTCATGAAGACGATGCCGCAGATAGACACGGGGCGGAAGAACCCAGCGTCGGTGAAGCGGCCGGTGAAGGTACCGATGAAGAAGGTTAAGAATACTTGGATAGAGCCGATCCACGATATATCTGATGGTGGGCGCCCGAGCTGCGCTACGTAGTACGCTTGGAACACGCCGAACGAGTTGATGAAGCCCCAAGTGTTCATGATGGCGAAGTGCCCGCAGAGACCTGATTATAGTTGACGTTAGAAGATCAATCCCAAGCAATTAGATACTCTAGTAGCTTAAAGGTGAGAAATAAATAGCAAAGGAGGCTTACATGCGAGCCACGCGACTTTACCACCATCCGGCGGCGGCCCAGGATTCCAGCTCGATTTCGTCGACATCCTACTAAGAACTCGACCTACGGCTCCGGCCATGCCATCGGCATCCGGGTTAAGAATATCGGGCTCGGGCTGTATCTGCCAGTCCTCCACCCCCTCGGCAGGACTATCAATATTTATTTCTTCATCCTTGTTGTTCTGACTAGGACCTTCAATTCCCGCAGGAATAGGCATCGCCTGCTTCTCGACATCTACCGGGAGCTCGCCCTCGCTGGAACTAGGCGACAAAGAAGGCGCCATTATCGCGAGCGGGCTAATTGACGTATCGATCGGTATGAACTAGGATTTACTTTGTCTTGCTGTAAAGTCCTTATATGCAGAACTCATCTTAAGACGAATAAATATATTAAATAGAACCCTTAAGTTACCTCATGAATAGATACCGTATATATTTACTTTCCTAGATCGCTAGCTAGGTACTTTATGTATAACATAGCAGCAGCCCGCGATGAGTCAACCGATATCGAAACAAGAATCAGAAGATCAGAGGGCACCAATCGCACTGAAATCTCGGTAAAATCTACTTAACAAGAAGACCTTGTTCACCCGGGCGCCGCCGGCTATCGGTCTTACACCGCTCGGGTAGAGGAGTGAGTCTTATACGACGGGGTCTAAAGCGGAGATGGCAAAAACATTGCGCGCCTGTAGACGGCGTAAAATTAAAATTTTAAACTAGGCCTCGCCCTTGGGTCGGCAAGGGAGCGGCGGCGGAGAACGGGAGAGCCACCGAAATATAGCTTCTTTAAGATAAGCTTCAAGTAGAGTCCCGAGCTTTGGTTCTCTATGACTACAACATATATATTTCCGCGGCGCGCGGATACGCTCGACTCAAAATCCTTCAAATAGTATTTATAATCCAACTTTATTCTCCCCTACAATTTTACGTGTATCACTTACGATAGAGCCGGCCTCCCGAATTCCTTACAGTGTCCAATTATCCTGGTAGTCGTATATGGAAATAGTCTACCATCTCGTCCAAGATTGTGAATTATTCCCGAAAAGTCTATCTCACCCGCCCCGCACTCAATTTCCCTCCACTTAAATAACTATAGGTACCTCTCGGTATGTCATGGAAATGGCCTGAGACCCGAGAGTAAGCTAATGGTTAGTGTAGAGGCTCAAACGATCATGAACATAACGTGGGTCTATTACCCTATTTTCCTTCGTACTACCTACTACGTAAATATTTACATATCATTATACACATATTTTTCCGATGTCGCTGGTGATTCGGCTATACGCGTACCGAGGTAGCTTTGAGTCTATGGCTACGTCTTCTATCATTCTAACAAGGCACGATGTTCTCATCTAAATCGAGGTTGGGCATCACATCATGCTCAAAGGAATAGCTCATTCACTACATAAGATAAGCGAGCAAAGATGGATAGCGACTGAGCACATGAAACTGCATTTGTTAGCCTCGTATCTAGGCGAATATGTCTAGTGACATTCCTCCCATCTAATGTAAATGATTAAGTCATGATAGTACATGAGGACAAAGAACCGACCAAAAATGCCACCACGTTGGACTTCATCTCTTCCATCTCCTCCCACATACCTATTATCCCATAGACTAGGGCAATAACCCCATCTACAACTGGGCTCCTGTTACATCTCAAGAAACCCTCCTGGCAAGTAGCAAACTAGGACGAATATTTAAAGGGGTGCCCACCTGTGGCACCATAGTGCGGCGATTCAACCACGGAACAAAGCAAAGTCTAATAGCCTCGATCTTGGTTTTCGACTACTAGAAAATCCGTCACGTTTGCCAATAGAATCGCGGACTTTCGATCGGCAGATGGCCTTGTCGCACTGGTTATCGGACCATCCAAGGGCGAGATCATCTGCCCACCAGACCTTGGCCTTCTCATCCTCCTTGAGGGCGACTTGGACTGATGTCAAGTTGTCAAATCCCTTGAACACAACTGGAACAAGTTCGCAATGGTCTGTGCTAGTACATGCTGGGACATCGACCGTCAACCAAGACACTTCCTTCTCCTGCTGGGACTCTTGGTCGAATCGCAGTCCCGTGAAGTTGAAAACGCAAGGAGAATCCTTGGAGTCGCAACCAAGACTGAAGCCGTTAAGATTGAATGAGAAGCAGGCGGACGAGGCTTGGGGTCCAACACTAATCTTCGCTGTGTCTCGGGGCACACCGGGGTCAGACAGGTTCGACATGGACGATGGTGTAAATTGGAGCATCAGATTTCCAGAAGATGGTACAAACGGAGTGGGAGGTGGGGGGAGGACGCTGAATCCTTGCGAGAAGTAGAACCGATGGTGTGGGCTCAACATTGGCATCGGGCTAACATCATGAGGGTCTACACCAGATCCGACTCCAAGGGGTGGGAGATCATCAAACTAGTTACAGTGTTAGTCATTATGTGACACCATTTGAAGATAGGATACTCGCGACTTACATTGAGCGTAAAGTCTCCCACATCAGCTTTGTTCCCGCAAGCAGTTGACGAAGGAGCCTCACTGCCAGCGGTCGATCTGGGGGCTAGGCTAGGCGACCTCACAATGACTGTTGACAACGTAGAGGGGACAGGAAGTTCAAAGTTATCTCGGGCAGAAAAGGCGTAGCCTCCAGAATTGGGAGTCTGGGTAGGGGCCGCGTTTGGCTCTATTGTTGCGACCTGAGCACACCATGAGAATGTCCTCGAAGACATCGTCAGCGTAGTCATTGATATGCATTCGACAGTAGCACCGGTAGGGAGCTCTGATGCAACCTCAGAAGCTGTCGCGGCGGGAAATGACTCCGGTGGTGCGGAAACAGGCGGTGGTAGATTGGGCATGGGCGAAAGGGACACCGTAGGGACGGACTCCGACTCGGTGCATGACGTCGAAATGGCTACAGGAGAGTCAGCGCTAGATGCAGTTGCGTTCCACCCATTGGTTGGCACGATGGACCATGGGGTTCGTGAAGAGGTGAACGTGCCAGTTGGAAGATCTCCCGACCTACCAGTGCCAGAAGTCTCATCGCATGGAATGGAGCCGCTATGGGCCAGAGGAGTCCCGGTTTCTATAAGTAACATATTCAGCCGTCATTCTATTTTCTGTCCCCAGGGGAGCTTGAGAGTACGAAAAGAAATATGGGCATGATCTTACCTGTTGCTGATTGTTCGGGAAGTGTCACAGTGTGGGTTAGGACGCCTGGTTTGGTTGATACCTTGGTGATAGTCTCCGAAGGACTTGCCCCTGCGCCAGTGTTCGAAACCCCTTGTCCTCCGGCTCCAGCCCCAGCTGATCCGCTAGCTTGAGGCGTAGGATGGCCAGCTCCGTATCCCCCAGGCGGAACTGAGTCAGTGAGTGTAGCAGTACCAGAACCTTGACCGGCACCTTGACCAGCACCCTGACCGGCACCAGAACCCTGACCGGAACCAGGATTGACCGAAGATGCACCAGAACCTGCGGGTGGCTGTGCTGAAGGGTTTCCTCCATAGCCTCCTGGGTTTGTAACAGTAACAGTAACTTCACCAGACCCGACAGGAGTGGCATATGACAAAGACGGCGAGTTAGAAAGACCTTGGCCCCCCGCACCACCATTCGGTCCTGCTGATGGGGCGGTCACGGTAATTGTAGGCGGAAAGCCACTGGCTCCATTACCTCCATTGCTGCCGCCGCCGGCTGCAGAGGACTGCGGCGATGAGCCACTACCACCATTGCCACTACCAGATCCCTCCGATGGACTTCCAGGTGCTGTCACAGTGATAGTTTGGGGAATACCCTGGCCACCCGCACCTCCTGATGGACTTGCGGGAACAGTGACGGTGATTGCTGTTGGTGAAGAGCCAGCACCTCCATTGCTTCCACCAGGGCCGATGTTGGTGCCGGTGATAGTGGTAACATACGGGTACGAAATTGAACCGGATTCTCCCGTGGTGCATGGTGTTGTACCCTGGCCATTGGAACCTCCGGGAGAGCCTCCAGGATTACCTGCCGATGCGCCTGGCGCTGTCACAGTGATGGTTTGGGGAACGCCCTGACCACCTGCACCTCCAGGCCCGCTTGCAGAGCCGCTTGGGGAGTAACCTAGCGCTATTAGTAGGATGTCTTGCAGGAGGAACTGGGTGGGTGGTTCTTACCTCCTGAGCCTCCGGATCCTTCGTCAGTGTTGCTTGGTAATTGTCCTGGTGTTGTCACGGTAATAGTGTAAGGAATACTCTGGCCACCGGGACCTCCGGATCCACCTGCAGGGTTACCTGACGGTCCGCTGGGAACTGTAAAAGTAATGGTTTCTGGAGCACCTGGAGTAATTCCGGTACCAGTGACAGTGATTACAAAGGGAGCGGAACCTTCTCCTGTACCTGATGACTCCCCAGGAGCTGTTAGAGTGATAGTATGAACGTTGCTGCCGCCTCCTGAACCTCCAGAACCGCCAGGTCCACCAGAAGGATTGCTAGGGGATCCTCCGGGGGCAGTGATGGTAATCGTTGGAAGTACCGTTGAAGGGAGACCTTGCCCACCTGGACCTCCAGCGCCACCACCGGGAGCGTTGCTTGTGCCGGTAACTGTAACGACATTCGGGTTAGAAGAGCCGGATCCACTTCCCTCTGGGCATGGAGAAGTTCCAGAACTACCAGGCGATACGCTCGGGACTGTTACTGTAATGGTTTGTGGAACACCTTGTCCACCAGGACCGCCAGGACCGCCAGGACCTCCAGAGCCTCCAGAGCCTCCGGAGCCACCTGCGGGGCCAGTTGGTGATGCTACAGGTGCAGTAATAGTGAGTGTATCGACAAAGCTTGGGCCACCAGAGACTCCAGGTAGGGTTAGGGTAACCGTTTCGACGGTGCTTTGGCTACCAAAGCCCCCAGGACTTCCAGGGCCTGACCCGCCGGCAGAGTTGCTGGGTGATCCGCCTGGTGCAGTCAAAGTGATGCTCGGTGGAATGCCCTGGCCACCTGCGCCACCGGAACCGCTACCAGTCTCAGAAGGTGCAGCCCAAATGGTGGTCTCGGAGGGGACGCCTTGACCTCCCGGGCCACTTTCGGATCCTGAACCTCCAGCACTGCCAGTTGATTCACAAGGGGTAGTGGTAGCAGCTGTTGGTGAGATACCTTGGCCATTTGGACCACTTCCGGAACCAGAACCAGAACCAGAACCAGAACCTGAGCCTGAGCCCGAGCCCGAACCTGAACCGGAACCACCGGGACTTCCGGCAGTCTGTGAAGGGAAGACAACAACAATTGTCTCAGAACTTTCTGGGCCATTTGGTCCTCCCTGGCCGGCACCACTTGGTGAGCCCCCTGGAGCTGTAATTGTGATCGTAGCAAAAGGAGTATTCCCAACGCCTCCAGAGAGAGTCTCAGTGTAAGTGGCAGGATACTGGCCTGGAGAAGAAGAGATACCAAATGGGCCCGGAGGAATAGTTGAGACTCCAGGGCTGCCTCCTGTCGATTTCCCACCTTGTCCGCCTTGTCCACCAGCACCACCACCAGGGCTGACAATCGTGTAAGTAATGGGAACGCCGGGAACCGTGTTGCTAGGAGCAGGGGGTAGAGTGATGGTGAGGAAATCAGTAGACCAGGGAACAGTGCCAGACAATTCAGTAGAACAAGGGATAGTGATCGTTCTAGACGGAGACCAAGCCACAGGTGAAGTAGATTGAAAGACATTGGTACCAGAACTCGAGCCAAAGCCACCAGGACCACCTTGGCCAGGAGTGACAGTAGAAATAACAGTAGAGATGACAGTAGAGACAACAGTGGGAAGATTGGCCGGAGTAACAGTCACGAAGATAGTATGAGCAGGACAAGTTCCAGCGCCATTCCCACCTCCATTGCCAGTTCCGCTTCCGCTTCCGCTTCCGCTTCCGCTTCCGCCTGCAGCGGTTGAAGAGGGTCTTCCGAGACTTGTTAGCATCATCGACAGACAAATAGACATATCACCAAGCTAGTCAATCGATCAATCACTCACCCGTTTCCGTACTCTTGGGCCGTGGCTAATCTCGTGAGCCCAGAGGCCCCTAGGACCCCAAGAAGGGCGTTTCTTCGCATCTTAATGTGATCTGCAGTTCAGTTTATGCTGGCTAGGTTGGTAAAGTGGTGGTGAATGAAACGATTGCTAGTAGAGACACAATGAGGATGAAAGATAGAGGCGAGTTGAAGAGACGAAAGATTGAAAGATTGAAGGGTGAGAGAATAGAACAGAAAGCTAGGAGAGTAAATTGTTGGGTTGGGTTGAAACACTACTTCTGGTGTGCCTTCCCGACTAATATGGAAATCTCCCTCCTATCCAGGAGAGGGAAGGAAAGAGCTGATGGCTTAGCATCATATTGTGTGTCATAGTATGTCAACTTGGCAGTCTCGATGGCAAGTGGAAAGTATGTTCGGCATGTCCCATGTTAATATATGTCTGTTGGGCTTGCTTCTATACTGTACTTGCCCTCACATATACTCGACTGCTGAGGGCATGTAGTACTCTATGAGACAAAACTTTGGTCTAGATGTAAGTAAATATAGTAGGAACATCTAGAGGTGATCGATGTTTACTTTAACACTTCTTAATTACAAGTGTCTCTGAGTGCTCTAACTTGTCACATAGCTAGGTAGCTATATATATATATTCAATTTAGATGCCCAATCTGAGTCTGTGTATATATCTGAATCGTATAGATAACGGGTTGATGAGAGAATATGAGTAGTATAGGCAATGGGAAGGTGCCTTCATCTCCACCCAACATTTCTGTTTGAGTGGCGTGGATATGACGTGATAGCGTCAATCGTGACTTCCAAGATATCGAGGTTTTCGAGGCATAGTTTCTTCAATTAGGAAGGATGCCGTAATACTATACTATGTAGACTTGCTTAGGTAGTTGGTATGTAGGTCCTTTCCCAAAGCTCTAAGTTTGAAGAAACTTTAGCAATTGGTATGACCCCACATAGTGCGGAACGAATAGGGAGGTGCGTAGGTAGGTATAGTATAATTGGTGTAGTATTCTTCAGGAAGTTGATACCTGTCTGTGTGGAGAAATGAAAACTTGGTGGAATGGAATCTTCGACAGTGAAACTGTTGAGTTAAATGCTGGACATCAGCAAGCACCAATGTACATACTACTGGTACAATCGGACTGGTGAGTTCCACTGTGCCATCTCTTATTTCTAATGCAGATATATATGTAGAATATAATATTGGATATAATAGTAGACACCTAAGTTGGACTGGTTGAAATGAGATATTTTAAATCCGAATTATTTTCATGAAGCATATGGCAGCTAGGTAGTGAACTCAGAAGAGAACTCGGGGGTACTTTACATAGATACCTGTCACGCCAATGTAAGCTGGTAAAAGCCCTCTTATTCTATATAGGTACCTAGAAAGCGGCGCATTCTTTAGGTGCTCTATTGAATAGTTGCAAGGTAGACATAGCAATCTTAGTTAGGGTTAATTAAGCTTTAGTGAGATCCTCAATATGAATGAGTTGTACTTAATGTCTATTACCTCTAACTACAACACCAACTCAAAAAGAGCAAGGTTAAGCGTATAATTCCTCATAAAATTATCATTAGTCAACGTACGCAAGTCGCACATAATCATACAGGGTTATCCACATAGGGTGGAGGAGGCTCATCAGGATCGTACTCCTGTGGGTCTCTCGGCGGTGCTGCAGTAGAAGAAGTTGAAGTAGCCGCAGGGTCAGGGGCAGGTAGTCCTCTTGCCTGCTGTTCGAGCTTCGCTGTCCAGATCGCAGCACCCGCTGCCGAAGTAAGGAGGAAGAAGAAAGATAGAATGGGTATGAGCTGGAGTATCATCGCTATGGTTCCGAACCATGTGTACTCCCACCTTCTACTCCTAATCTCTTGCTTTTGTTCTTTCTTCGTCAAGCCTCTTAAGTCAAACCATCTGTAATGCGCGAATGTTCCTAACCGGGCGCCCGTGATTATAATGAAGGCCGGGGTACCGACCTTTGGGATGAGATTGAGTGGTAGGAATATGATTAGCTCGACGATCTGGATTAGACTCCACGGCTGGTATACGGCAGAACTTGTTGGTTTCCCCAATTTCTTGACGGAGCTGGGTGCATCTGGGAATAGTAGTCGATGCGGCGCAACGAGGCTCTCGAGATCTTTGTCGAGAAGGGTTGCCTGATAAAAGTTAGCATTTAACATTTCCAGGTTGACAATAAATATCCATGTGAATCTATGCGGGGTATATCAACATACATCAAATACATCTACGCGACATTCATCGACGAAGAAGCCCTCGAACAAACCCTGGATAATGACTAGACCCTCGCCTAGCACCAACACTACAGCATTGATCCACGCACTCCAACCGTGGAAAATGGCTAAGAATGCATACTGAGGCAGAAATGCAAACGTAAAGAGGATCGTATAGACTAGGAACGAGATGATTGAGAGAGGAAGTAGTCGACTGAGGAATAGAGGATAGTATGCCGGATGACGTAAGAAGTAGTAGATGCCTTGAAGAGGGTATGAAGCCGCAATTAGCCCTCTTAGAATATAGGAACCAAACCTTTCTAGTGGTCGCATAACTCGGGGGGGGCGATTTTGGGACTCCATGTCATCGTTATTCGAGGTATTGTAGGATGAACAGGCTGAAAGGTGATCAACTCTACTTGGAGTTTCACGTCGTAGACCGTAAGCTAACTATATGCAATAAAGCGAGAGCTGACGACACTGCTGTGACACACGCTAAAATACACTTATCGCTTATCGATAGCACACTTGTGGGGTATCTTACGCATCTTATGGTACCTGCATCCATGCTTCATGTCATCCCCTTAACGTCAGCAGTTTATTTGCTAATAACTATACGAAGTTATCACAATCTCTGGTAACTCTGAACTTTTTCCATTTTATCATTATTTAGGAAAGGTACGATAATATTTAATCTAACCTGACTTCCAGGAAGAAGCCATTTCTTACAGCATCGCCTAAATTTACTACCTAAAGCATAGAACTCATCAAGTATCCCATACGAAAGTAATTTCATAAAACAGAGCAGTTCTATTGTCAGATATGTGTGGCTAAGAACCCTAACTAGCATCATGACGAAATCATTGTCAGCAAGACTAATTTTGAAGTCATACTCCACGAAACAAAATGGCCTTTTCAAGTAACTATCGTATCCATCTGTTTTTCGGAATTTTTTTCATAATCCCTAACGCCATGCATAACGCGAAAACTCAATTGCACATCAACCTACTAAAGAGAAAAAAAGGGGAAGTACCTCAATTGGGCATATGCTCCCACCCCCTATCCCTCAATTGATTGGGGATTCGCAAAAACGTTGTTCGGATCTATAACCCTTTTTAACTGTTTCAGCTTCTTGTGAAGTTCTTTTCCATAGTATAGATCATTTGCTTCTTCTCTTGGCAGACTCGGATCGGTATAATTAGAGTACGCTCCGTAACCCGGGAGGCGCGCTGTCATGGCGCCCGCCAATCCGTTGACGAAGTCAAGACCTTCCGGTGGAAATACTTGCTCGTTGTCAACATAGCCGTATAGTTGGGTGACCCACAGAGTATTACGGTGTGCAAAGGCGGAGAAGCTCAGATCTTTGGCGTTGATCTGGCTGTCGGCACCACCGTACAAGTCGACTAAGATGAAGTACGAGATAGGTGCTCGTGCGCCTTTATCAAGGAGGTATGTAAAGAAGTCCGTCAGCGATTCGGTAGTAAAACCCGGCTCGGGTATGGTAACGCTCTTGGCGAAGAAATTGGCCTGCTCTAAGGAATCTGTCGGAGAGTCTAGTTCTCGGCCTTGGTTGAGTAGCTTGAGAGACGTTGCCCAATCTACCTGCTTGACTTCGATGGTTGGAAATTCGGGAATGCCTTCTAGCAATGCTGGTATGACCTTTCGTACGAAATCATTGCGAGATCCCAAGTAGGCACCCCCTACTGCGAAATAGTCCGATGACAGAGTCACATTGAGCCCCAGCTGGCGGTCGACGACAGAGCTATCGTGAACAAATGCTTGGATATGCTGAAAGGCTCTGATGGCACTCTCGACGCTTTTCGTTGCATCGCTGACCTTAAAGTCCCAATGTATGACAGATTCGGGCGTAGGCACTGTATTAAGATAAAAGGATACCGCGATGCCAAAAGAGTCAGCCGCGCCTCGCATCGCCTTTGTTCAAAGTAACATGGTCAGTTAAAGCTCACCAATTAAGGAGGGAAATGCATCAAGGATATTAGGACTTACATAGAACAGTTCAGGATTCTGATTTTCATCAGCAAGAACCAATTGACCGTTTGCTAATACCACCATGATCTTTGCTATGCGATCCATAGCAAGTCCCCAAGCACGGGAGAAGAATCCATATCCTCCATGCGTGAAATGCCCGCCGACTCCAACGCTTGCGCAAGTGCCATGAGGAAGAGCGCGTTTCCAGCCCATACGTTGGTCAATAGTTTGAGCCAACTCGCCTAATCGCATGCCGCTACCAACTATAACACAGTTGGGGTCCTCTGAAGCCGAGACACTTCGGAATTGAATTTCCCTAAGGTCTATTACCACAGAACCATTCAAGCCTCCATTGCTGTAGGATGCATATGAGTGCCCTCCAGATCGGACCTGCACTTTGAATCCATGTTTGCCTGCAAATGTAACGGCATTGCTGATATGTTCGATCGTGGATGGGACAACGACAACAGCAGGAGTGACCGGAAGGCGTAGATTATAAGTTGATGAATACGTAGCCCAATCAGGATCTGTTGGTGTTTTGAATGGAATGCCTGATTTAGTTAGCTGTCCTATGAAGGAAGCGACGTCGGCAGAAGCCATCTTGGCTATTATGAAAGGCGACAAAGAAGTGGTAGAAGATGGTTCAAAAGTGTAGAATAATTGATATAATTATTTAGTTATGCAAGTCGTATCCCGCGACACGTTCCTACCTCTTTAAAGTCTGCTTGGGTCGCGATAATCATTAAGCAACAACGCGCGATTTGGGGTGAAAAATACTCCTACTATTTCACTAGATTAGATTTAGTCGGCCCAGTTCGAAATGGATAGAAGACAAACACTAGGTACATTTAGAGTGATTTTGTGAGGCCATCCGGTTGGATTGCTGCGGTATGTTTGGGTAGGTGCCAAATACCTAGACCTCGTGATTTACTTACCTCTTACGTCTGCAACAAGCATCTTGAAGTTGACGACTTTTTCATAGTTAGATTCCGTCTACAATGGTTCTAGCACCTGCCGTATGACATTCCAACTCCATTCACGAAGACTGGCAAATAATTGAGTGAATTTAGTTTAGTGATATATGCAAACATCATGAGATCTACAACACAGGTACCTAGCCAATGACCAATGATCAATTTACCTAGAAAATTGTTATTTATATGGTAAACTCAAATAATCGGATGGTAATTATTAGACAGAAGCCGCTTGGTTATTTAAAGACAGTATCGTTTCAATCGAACCGTCACGTCTAAACTTACCCCTATCTAGCCCCTTTTTTAACGTTATCGCCAGCTCACGTAAGAGTTGATTATAGATATATGTAGGTATGTATTACATAAATACGCCCTAACTTTTTATTCTCTCGTGATGAGGTAGTTTATTTATTAAACCCGACCTTTGGTTTCACAATAGTTATTTAAGTTAAGTTTTGTACAACTTGCAATGGGTTGCGCGTGTTTTACTCGACGTTTTACAAAACGGCCCGGCTTATCAAAGCTTAGACTAACAAAACCCCCTGTGCCATTACATTCACCTGCAAATTACCTAGAGATATTGAATGAAGTTCTATATTTGGATGTCATCTCTACTTTTGTTTCGGACTGACCGAACTATAATCTATTGTTGCAGTACTAACCATAATCTTCTTCCTAGTGTTCTGAGATTGCCTAACCCTATGATACAATCTATCTAAATAAATCAATGATACAGTTGTAATATTATGTTCGTCAGCCTTTCTCAATAGCTCATTTCTTCAGCTTGGCGCCTCCTGCGTTGGGTAGGTCCCAATAACGCCCCGCGGATTAGTGTTCTTCCATGTTCGTTGTTGCTGTTACCCTGTTCAGGATCAATTGTCCTCAGTCGCTTGAGGGATTCAAATATTCCTTTTATTTCCTGGTATAAAAGTTGGCCGGATACCGCAATGGTCAAGACGATGGCGACGAGTAAGAAGACCCACCAGTGCCTCCACGCACTTACACCACCTCCGATTTCTTTCTTTGCGAATTCGAGCGCGTTACTTCCAGAGATTGTCTGTGGACGCGTGTTATAGTCAGGGTTATGATCTGAGATGTGTACATATGAGACGATTGGGGACTTACAGCTACTACGGTAATAGGAAGGAAAACCATTGTGACTACAGCTATCTTTCTGAGTGAGATGCTGTCATCTCGAGTATTCTCAGCAATATCGAGGTTGAGTTTAGTATCATTCCGAGCAGCGAAGCTACCAAGCTATATTCAATCAGTTTATTGTTGCCCTCGTCTATTATATATGTGTTGATCTGGAAACACTTACAATTTCCACATATAATGCTGCGCACTTTTCCACTCCTTGTCGTCTGTTTTGGCGTAACCCGGCTGCAATTTGTAGGTCTTTATTCCTTTCGTGGATCACTTTCGACTCGGCGTGTGAGCACTGGGGCATATACTGCATGTCCTGATACGCCACCATTGTATCCCGAGTAAAGCGAAGTGCCGATAATTCAAAATTAAAGGCGTAGTCCAGGTTTACTAGTTCACGTCTTACCATATTAAAGCCATGAACCGAGTGGAATACAGAGAGGTTACGATCAGTGTAGATAGTATAACGGTCTCTGCAGAAACCATCCATCTGATTTTCACAGATCTGGAAGCTGCGGCGACGCTCGTCCCAGTACATTTCATTAAGCCTGTCTAACTCCCCGCAGAATATGTTCAGCACATGGAGAGGACAAGTTCTTATCAGCCAATAGTCACGCTGGAGGGCCCCGGCAATGGTATTGGCTTTGTCGAGGTCGCTTGTAATGATAATGCATATTGCTGAGTTTGTCTGCGCTGATATCCCTAGAAGTAGTGAGAAGGGTGCTACTATAGGAGACTTAGTCTCTAAAGACGGGGTCTGCATGGATATATCTGGAAAAATAATTAGCTATATCAAGATGACATATATGGTTCTCTTACATAACGAGGTGGGAGGCTCTTCTGGAACATCATGGGAGTATTCGACTATAAGGGAATGTCGGCCATCTCTATGAAATAGAGTTCCTACGGAGGATATTGGTATGTTGGCCCTTTCAAGTAACCATAGAAAATGTGTTTGTTGGACATTTAGATGTGTGCGTCCGTCGACATCAATTTCCTCGGCTTCTAGTAGTCTATATTCTATCAGCGTTAAACTAGCATTGCTCGGTTGATAATTGCGTACACCATATCAAACTGAAAATCGTGCGATCCTCTAGATTCTAGCTGGTCCTACAAGGCGTTAGTGGATCATACCATGAAGGACATTTTGATCGTACATTTCTCCTTATACAATTGACTAGTTGGTTGTCGACCCGCAGCCACCCATCCTTGTCGTACCAAAGGGCTTCGGTGGACTGCTCGAAGTTAATGTCCGCCAAGTACTGCTCGTTAGATTGGTCTTGACTCATTATTAAATCTTGATCTGATGGATCCTCAAAACTTGACGACTGTGGGGGGTGATGTCTCAGCAACTGGATCCTCGTTCTGGGATGGGAATTTATACCAAATGAATATTATATGTTAAATGGTATATAGCAGGTGACTGGGATATTCGTTACCGGACGAGGCTGAGGGATTGGGGCATAGTAGAACCCTGGACTTTTGATGTTATTCGCATGCTGATCCATTCTCGATATGTCATTTCATCGGTAGGTAGCTCATCGTGGTATTCCAAATAACCACCGGACAATGGGGCAACGTATTTCATGTAAATTATGCCTAGTCTGCTAGTTTAAATCGTATCTTGGTTGTTGTGGATTAGATCGTGAAAGAGACATGGGGGTTTTCTGGTAGCGAGCGTAAACTTTCGAAGTCATTGGCTAAGGTAGTGGATACAATATTTGGCCCATGTCCGGCTGTCAATGGGATACTACGATCTCCAATTCATAGTCCTGCCACGTTAAATGGACATCTACTATGTAGTTCTTAGTGTAAGGCTGATGCACGTCGTATTGCTCCAGAAGCATGTATTGAAGCATTGTTTTCCAAATCATCGCTTTATGCGTTCGTGCTGTTTCTTGTCGTTGATATATGGAAGGAATATGGCAATTCTAGCACAGCCTCAGTACTCTTAAAGCTGTTACTTTGGGTCATGGAGGTGATTACTGGAACTAGAAGTACTCGGTAGAGGTATATACGCTTTTATGAGATGTGTAGTAGGCGGTAACTAGTGAACCCTTAAGAAATGGCTGAGTTTGCGGCAACCAAGGGATGACCTCTCGTGGATCGGGGGCGTCAGCTTCCTCACCACCGAACCCTTGAACGAATCCCAGAATGTTACCTAGTACAAGGAGCGGAGAGATATTCTATAAGGGCACGATGCTAGTAGTTAAAGGTTGAACAAGCCATTGGTAATGTAAGTTCGTCATGTAAATATGCAGGAATATACTTATGCAGTAGCCAAGAGTAAGATATGAGTTGTCAAACATGGATTAGCGGGAGGTGACAATGCAGAGTTACGTCGAATCGCTTTATTTCCTAACTGTACATACCTATTCCTCGTTGCAAGGAGAGGCGAGGATTGTGTAATATACAGCTTAATGCCGGCAATTGCGAGTGAGCTGAAACAAGGCGGTCCTATAGAAGGCATTTGGGACAGCCACGTCGCGTGGTCCAAATAGCATATCTTACCTTGCAAGTTGTATTACGTGGTCTATACTCGGTAGGGCTGCGGTTCTTACCATAGGGGAAAGTCTCACTAAAGGTATTTCTTTCCTAACCCTTTTTGGACCGAAAACCCGCCCTTACCGAAAGCTGTAAGTAACTCTTATACTTGAGGTGATGCTATCGTTATTGTTTGAAAGGAATATTCCGAACTGGGCGCGAATTTCTATTAAGACTTCTTTAATTGGGTACTTCGGCCATTCTCAAATGTATATTTTCGGGGTTTATATTTTTTCTAACTATGTATATAACGGAAGTGACCTATCGTAAAATTGTCCAACGCACGGCTTTATTTCGTGTCAGCAGATGCTCGGTAACACCGATATGATCTGCTTTTAGAGAGTATCATTAAGGGGTAAGGTTACACACATGCTCCGTCAAACAGTTTAAGCAGATTCGACCAATGATTAGAAGCATCGCATGCAATAGGTGCCTAGTTGCTATCTTTAAATTAGGCTTCATCTACTAAAATATTAAGTAATCTCATCTTGTCATGGTAGTTGCTGGTAAAAATCACGTAGCCTTGCTATCCTGAGGAAAAACGAGAATATAAGCTTAAATTGAATAGCTTTTGTACTGGAAGATGCCGTATGAGGCTTTAGTATCTCGCAGAATATTACCTGATTTCTCTATTGCCATGCCCCCTGTACATCCGAGATATATATAAATCGATTTTATTTACAGTTCGAAGTTTAACCATTCTTGTGGGGTAGCATTATGAGATACGCGAAAGAAGCTTATAATCTGTCAACGAGTCCTTGGGCAGCATTATCAATATTCGCCCCCCAAGTTTTAGCGGTACACTGTCGGTAAGTTAGCATGGATCTACAAGGTATGTAATTCTTTCGACAGTGTTCCGGCCGAAGCCAAGAAGATCCATGAGTAAAGAAGGGACTTACTTGGAGATATAAAACGCCGTCTTCGACCTCACACTCGCAATATGAGTCATGTTTAAGCGCGTCTACGATCCGGAATGCGATCTCGCCTTTCTCAACAGCCTCGTGGAAGCCCTCGCGTAGTAGCTCATCCTCATCAAACTTCTGGTACTTGAGCTGGTAGATGAGGCCCTCCCAGTAGAGTCGCGTGAATGAACCTAAGAGACCATCCCAGTCTGACCGAAAATCAGCCTTATTCGCCTCACTTGCTTCCCGTAGCTTTGCGAAAGTGTCGTCGAAATTGGGGCTGAGTTTAATATCAGACTTTGACAAGATATTCGCAATCTGTGCCCTAATATCCTCGGCCTTAGGGTCATATTCCTTGCTGATATCTGACCGCGCCGCAAAGCTTAGGGTCGCCACCTCTTCTGATGCAGGGGTAGGAGCCTCATTCAGTGCCTTAAGAAGGACTTCGCGGTCGAGTGCGTAATCAATGTTGGTTCCTAGTTTGCCTGGGGCGAACAGGATGCGTAGCTTGCCTTCGTGGATATCCGCGCCGCAATATAAGAAGCGGCTAGCATCATCCAAGTCAATGGTTATAGTGTGAGCGTAGCAAATGGTGTTTAGCTCTTTTAAGCCATCTTCCCCCGCATTATCTTTGAATTCTTTGAGCCTATATATCGCACCGTTTATATATCTGAATAAGAGTAAGCATAATATTAGATATAATACCTCCTTTCTTTAACACTTACTCTGCGATGCAACTGCCAAGGGACTCCTTCGCATACCCTTCTTCGGCGTAGGCATATAGTTGATTAGGGTTCACATCAACAGTCCAAGGGGCTGTTAGAGTATCTGAGAGCTTCTGTTCAAGATCCGGCTTCTTATTGTCCCATTCGTCCCGAACTAAACAGGGTCAGCTTTGATGAAGGGAGGTGGATAGCATGCCGACTCACTGTTCTTGCGTAAGACAAGAGGAAGCTTCTCAACAGGCGGTAGCTTAGACATGTCGAATATTGACAATTGGTATTTTGGAGAGTTTAAGAGAATTTGTGAGAGAATATGGTGTGATGAATTGCGTGATATAGTTCTTAGGAGACAATAAAATCAACTGGGTGGTAAGGTCTTATATAGGTAGTATTAATTATCACCATCTACTCCTCTCTGTTATTGTAGCCTATTAGGAGTTCATTTTCGACTAGGTTACGACTTGATTAAAGAAGTTTCCTTGGACTAACGCTTGCAACGGCTACGCTAGTATCGACAGCTTTCGCGTCACATACTTACATACCTCGGCAATACGACACTCGTAAAGTATAGATTCAGCCCTGAGGCATCAGGGCAAACAGCTGGCCTCCGATACGGAAATGAAATCGAGCGGTCCACATCGTTAGTTGCTTCGCTAAGTACACTATTGACTCTTAAGGTTCGTCGTTATTCAGCCGCAACTATTTACGGACCAGTCCTGTTAATAGTGGATATATGTCAAAAACCAAGAGAAATTTTACATCAATAATAAAAAAACAAGAAATGTTACTATATTCGAAGTTTCAAATCTGCTAGGATATGTGAGTAGATAGACAATTCCTTACGAGTATAGTAAACGCGCATCGTTTTTGAGACAAACGCGTTGAGGTTGTTAAACCTATGAAGATCTGCTGACGTTCAGCTCGGCTTAACAATATCGTCAAAGGTGGGGGTATCTCGATAAAACTGAGATGGGTTGTGCACGTACCCAGATACGTACCGCAAATCTATATCGTATTAGGAAGACAATTGCGGATATGATTGGCTAATAGCCCCGGAGACAAACAAAAAGCAGGGATCATCTCCGTAACTCCAAGCTGCCGCCTACGAGACGCCTTGCAGTAAGCCTGAGCTGTCTTACGTACCTAACATAGGCTTCAAATGGAGAGTGACTAACCCCTATATAGGTGGGGGCGCTGTTAATTCTTGTTCCCCGGAATCCGTGCCTGAAGAGCTGAAATTGTATGACATGAAAATTCCTGTTGATCCATTCTTATGAGTTCTAGGATTGGAGGTCAATGTAGATTTATTCGTTACCTATAACTATTGTTAGCAGGCGATCCACGTCACTTGGCACGATTAGGGTGTTACATGAGTAGGGCACCAGACTTGAAAATAAACAACGCATTTCTCAACCTTTGACCAGTCTACATATATATATATATATTTCATCGAGTCACCATGGCATCATCAAGACTGTAGGTTGATTAATATCCCCACCTACGAAAGAAACTTCCAAGTTATTAAACTGTTCGTAGACCCCTGAAAATTCGGGTTGGCATTCGTGACTACTGGAATAACGTCGATGCACCCCTTCAAGTGGCACGGTCTGCCTTAAAGGAGACTCTTGGGATCGACGTAATACTTGAGATTAACTGGCATGTTATCTTTTCCCATTTAAGTGCTGACTATTCGGACAAGTCTACATTTGTTCCATTGATCGCGGCTGGTGTCCAGGCATTCCTCGACGGACTGCAGGAGATACTAGATGCAGATTTGAACCCAGAATGGACTGATACCCTTTTTGAGAATGCAAATGGCCGCTTGAAACTTTTAATAGGCGTGAGAAACATTTAAAGGTTGACTAGAGAGATTAGTGCTAAGAATTTGAGATTAGGTCTCTAAGAAAGAAGAGCCAACGGTTCTTTGGTCTGCAAAAAGCGAAGGCTTCCAAGTCAACCTCCCCAAGGGCGCAATGCCGTCGGCAATCCAGATGCAGTCCTCATTCAAAACTCAACTCATTAACTGTTTTGATGACCCACAGCCTTCATTAGACGACTGGGCGGACATTTCCACAGAAGCCACAAGGGAACGTCCAGCCATAGCAGATGGGCATCAATCCTTTGACTTACTACCAAATATCAGCGTACTACCATGTCCGGATGACCTACTTCTCAAGCCACCATATCATCTAATTGTCTATGGCGGTGGTAAGACTACAGTCGAGGTCCAGTGTAGTCATAGCCCGACATTAGAGCTTCTTGCAGAATATCTAAAGAAATGGTGCAAGATCAATCATCAGGATACACGACATGTAAGTGCTTTCTCCCAAAAGAGTGACAGCGTATATGCAATGTCTAACGAACAGCGAATTTGTACAGCCTCCCGCGGTCGAGGTCGAATTACATCAGTCATCCTTTGGATTCGGTCTTACGTATGACCGTCTGACAATGTCTGTCCAGAACCGCCACCCACAATTCTTAGTATCGCCTATGATTGTACTGCCGTTTGTTGAAAGTGTACTAGGCTACAAGAGCGTCTCAGTTGATGGGTCTTCTTGGATATTTCGGAGGGATATCGAGTTAAAGAAGTCTAAGAGATAGATATTGTTCACAATATAACCCGAACCCTAACCCTATACTACTACCAACGGTTTCCGCAAGTCAATAATGAAACCCGAATGGCAGAAATGTCTAAAAGATAGGTAGTTACAAATATAGTCCCCAGGTGAGAATTCTGAATTAAGTGTGTATCTCGTAATTTAATTGAGCGTCTAAAAAGGGGGTATCCTTCAAATCAAAAGTGGGTTGGATTATAGTGACACGCAATATGGTAGATAGGTACCTTCAATATCAATAGCTAAGTGACTATCTTAGATCACTGGTATATACGCTCAACCTCAAGCAGATTATGAAGCACAATAGTTTATCCCATAAAAAGAGATCTAGTTTGAGTGCCCAAGCACCTATCAAGTTGCCAAAGTTATTTTTATGTCAAACCTTTTGCACCTAAATCATCAATTAATGCCTGTATTGTAATTTCATCGATACCATAAAATTTCTGCGACACTGACAACATCTCCGCTTCCGACAAGGGAACCCTAATATTTCTCTCCAATTGCGCAGCAACCTCGGGTTCGTTAATGTTCTTTAAGTTCCAGATGCGAAGGACCGAATCCATATATTCAGCATCTGGTAATTTATTCATCGTTTCGTGGAAAACGAGGCACCAGTCATATTCATCAATTTTTCCGATCAAGAATACATAATTGATGTTCTTCGCTCGCTGTGGCAAAGTAAGCGCCACTACGACTGGGAAGGGAAGTAAAGGCCTGTCCCATGTTTTCCATCGATTCATAATACGAATAAGCTTTGTTTTTTCATTGATCGTAGTTGGAAGAGATATAGCGAATAAATGCGAGCGACATAGCGCAGTCATTTCCGGGTGTTGAGATAAATGTAGGTTGATAGTCGTCCAGCTATGAGAGTTCGGGATAATAGACGTATGCCGAGTTTCAAGATATATTTCTCTCCACGTGGCATTGCCTGTGTCGTTGATCTGTGTCATATCGGACTGTCTTATATAAAATAGATGGGGTTGCCTATAATGGGCAACTTTACCTGTGGGTCGACAGATCTGTAGGAATATGAACAATGGGCCATGGTCGTCATCATACCAACACCTGGTCCAAGCTAGGGAGAATCTGTTGTGGACTAACTCCAAGCAGAGGAGAGCAGCGTGCACTCCTCGACTTGTAAGAGCCATAGTTATATAGCCGTTTTTCTCCAAAATCGGACCAGCTATCGGAAGCTCCGTTTGATTGCGGACCTTTCGTAAATCCATTTTGATAGAGTGGTCGTTATAAGTAATATTATCAGATGTGGCTTCATATATGGGTTCATGCATAATCTGGCCGGCGAAGTCGGCTGGACTTTCAGCTAAGAATATGTCCCAGTTCGAACCGTTAGATAGAAGAATTGTGTAGTCTTCATATTGGCGCATGATTTCTTCTTGTAGCCGCTTGAATGCCTTAACGCCTTCTCCATATAGTAAGGGCATGTTGATATCAAAGATTCCCATTAAGCAATATGCCATGTCTTCCGTTCTTGTCGTGAATCTGTTTGCAGCCCATGACATCTTTAAAGCCACCGTGATATCGGACAGAGCAGTATATCCTAGAAGAACACCTTCGTTAATGCCCGTAATTTCTATGATTATTTTTCTAAGAGTTGTTTTTGTTCCCAACCCGATCCAGTCTTGATTGTAGAACTCAATATGTCGCGGTGCTATAAGTTCCTGGAGCGTCCAGCCCCTACGATACCACCTGCTTCTCTTAAACTCGTCGATAAACTTGTTGATACAAGCCTCTGGGACTAGTTGTGTGCCTATTCCTGGTATCAGAGAGTCTGTCGTGATATGAAAGGATTCGGTTGCGCGTAAAACGGCCTCGAATCCTTTTATGTTTACACTACGAACATCTGATAGGTAGACATAGCAAATATCGCTCTCGGCATACCATGAATACATGGAATTGATAGCTACCTATTAATTAGCCTATATATTCCGTAGAGAATGAAAAAATGTATATAATTGGAAATTTTTCTCACCCTCAGATAACTCAGCACTACTTGATTTATCTATACAACATGTATCTATCCAAATCCATTCGTAGCCATCCTTGATTGCTTGATGGCAGCATCCGGTAACCTTTGCATAACCATGCCTTAACGAAGCAAGGCCATCTTTGATGTCTTGGAATAAGACCTCGTCGTATTCCCACATATGGGAAAGGATGGCGTAGCTTGGCCGTTCTTGAATAAACTCTACCACCTGTAATGTGTGCGTATTCAAGAGTCGCATCTTTCTAGGGTCAATATTTATTTCATTACACCTGATTGGTTAAGCATGACTCCTCGTTGAGTAGAACACTTGAAATAAAGTAATAAGCGCGCGTTTTGATAGTAAGATAAACTTCCATTATCAAAAATAGCGAGTATATAAGCTATTCTAGGTATACATATATAAGTTACTCCAAATGTACCTAAGGTATCTCCGTATATTGATCTTGACAGCCCAGTGAGGCTGATATCGGGGCTGTAAGCATTATGAGGGGTCAGATGCCATATAAATCATGCCATCATCGGGAGACTTATCTGTGCCGATTTTTGCCTCCTGCACCCATAGGGTGTTGCGTTTCAATTAAGAAATCGGCCAGTTATTAATGACTGATCTGAAATGCTTCCCCCCTATTTCGCAGTATGCTTAGATGTTTGTAACCTTTCATAAAAGACGCGTCCTTCAAGAATATTGTAAGGTTCGAAATAACCTCTTATTGGCCCTTCTATTTTTTGATAGAATGATCGTCGAAAGTTTTATTGTCAGGGGTCAAGTAAAATTATCGTCGAAGTCAGCTGCATTGATCGAAGAGCATGTCCCAGTTTAGACCTAAATATATAGTAGGATTTATAATCTTTATATTGGCGTAGAACTTTTCCTTGCATCTCTTTGAATATCTTGTAGCCCTTCCTTCTATAGTAGCAGGAGTTAATGCCTACCGAAAACCCCCATTTAATAATATACTTAGTAGGTAAGCACCTATCATGTATTCTCCGTTCTAAATTTAGTTGCAACCCAACCCGTCAGCTATGCCTTATAAGCGCCGAATTTTATAACTAGCCTAGTCCGATTTGGGTTTTATTCGAGCGGTGTCGTGCAGGCAACAAGGGCTGATGAACCTATATCGCATGGTTATACTTAAGGCGCATCACTAGTTAACTACTTGGCATTGTCACAAACTACCTATCTAAGGTATTAAGAGTATGTTGCGGCTATAAGCAGTCGAAGAAGATCTCTTATATTTCCTTTCAAGGACATAAGTACTCCAAACCCCTACTCAAATACGACCCCGCCAACTATCTATCCTCTCCCATATACTTCGGCAATCATGCTATCTAAAACCGAGATACGGATCCTAGACTTGCTGCCTTCTTCGGGTTTAAATAATAGCGATGTCCCGATAAAATGCCAAACTCGAGTTGTTCCTTTTCCTACGGATATTGAATTTGAGACACTATCATATGTATGGGGAACGGTACAGGATGTTACAACTATTAGTGTCGATGGAAAAGATGTTCCAATTACAACAAACCTTGCGGCCACTTTGAAGCGCATTCGTCTTTCAAATGAGATTCGGACTATTTGGGTGGATCAGCTATGTATCAATCAGCAGGATGAGGAAGAGAAGGGTAACCAAGTCGCTCTTATGGGCCGCATATATTCTACGACAACTCAATGCCTGATTTGGTTAGGCGAGATTGGGCAAGATATTTCAATCTCTGATGCTCAAATTGCGCTAGACTATATTTACTATATCAGCGAGGGCAAGCGAAAGCAAGAGGGAACTTCGGAACTGAGTGCTTCCGTCGACTTTGACTCGGTGGAGGCTCTGCGTGAGCCGATGCGAGCGTTGCATTCGATCGGCTTGAAGAATAACCCATGGTGGACTCGAATGTGGACGTTGCAAGAAGCAATTCTCCCCCCTAAAGCCTGCGTCTTGTGGGGTCAATTATCTATACAATGGGAATTACTCGTTTCCGCAGCGCAAAGGTGGGTATCTTTTCCTTATTATGACCCTGTCATATACGCCTATAATGACACTCTCTTCAATATTTTCTCACAAGTAATGGGCTTTGTTTTCGCCAAGGAAAATCGTCAAGGACCTTTAGACACGGCGTTTCGCTGGAGTTTTCGCAACGCATCAAACCCCCTTGACAAGGTCTATGGACTTATCGGGCTTTTCCCAGCCGGAACTCTCCCCCGGGTTCGAACATGTGATTATGGACTATCCAGAGCTACCCTCTATGCTATGTTCACCGCGGATCTGATTGAATATCATCAAAGCTTACATCCCATCGCCTTACGATGTTTACGCAACCTTCCAGAGAGTACGCCGGACATACCGCGCTGGGCTTTAGACATGGGCGTGAGTCATATTCAGTTCTCAATGACTTTCGATGGTAATGACTGTGCCTGGTACTTAATGAGTACCTACGACTGGTATAATGCCTGCGGCGAAACTACCATTGATTGGTCCCGATTCCGATATGACCAGATATCGAATACTTTAAAGTTGACAGGCTGTATGATCGATTCTATAGCAGTGGCTGGGCCGAGGGCACGCATCGATGAGCCTGGCACTTGCAATATTTCACTTGCTGGCGTGGTTCGGATGATTAAGGACTGGTATCAAATTGCCGAAGAATTCTATCGAGGCCAGCCACCGCAAGAGTCAGTCTACGGCACAAATTCATTCCCAGAGTCTTTCTGGAAAGGATTATTGGGTAACGTCAAAGTCGATACGGAATTTTTCCCCGATTGTCCAGCCACGGAGGAGGATATAGCGTTAGCAAAGGAGTTTGTTCAAACCGGTATCAAAAACGATGTATACTGGAGCATATTTGGAAACCTTGCTCATAGGCAAATGATTATCACTAAGACTGGTTTGCTTGGGTTTGGCCCTCATCATGCAGAAGTTGGAGACCAGATTTGGATCTTGCATGGGGGAGATATGCCGTTTGTATTGAGACCAAGTGAAGGGCAGTCGTTGTCAACCAATGAGTTTCTTTTCATTGGATCTTCTTATATAGATGGAATAATGGAAGGCGAGGCAATGGAACCCGTTAAGCCTGCTATTGATATTGTCTTGAGGTAAGAATTGGGATGGTGGCTAGCCTATACTCTGTCATTGTCTGTTGAGGAAAGAAAATGGGAAAGGTGAGGTAGTCATGGTTCTACTCGGGGTATATAGAGAGTTCATTTACAGGTAACATATGATTTCAAGCTTTCTATAGGGGCGGTCTCAACGTTTTTAGTCATTAAAACGAGCAAATAACAGCACGGCTCTGGTAAAAGGAATTCTATTTTGACACTGGTATAATCAAATTAATCTTCAGACCCAGAAATCTATTGTGGTCAGTAATGAAATATTAAGTCTATATACAATATGCTGATACAGTCGTCTAAAATAGCTTCATAATTTCGTACATAGAAGTTGCCATACGTCTCCATTCTGTTTCACTCCAGGGGAGTGTCGTCTATAGAGGTAAACATAGGAAACTTTCCATCTTTCCAACTCTCCTATCTCGCGATCATTCTATTTATGCTAACTAACTGAGAACGCTTTTTATCTTCTTCAGCTTCTGTTGAGATACTTTCGTTGTCGCTACGATTACGAGAGCGTGTAATTGGGAGTGTCGCCATGTTTACAAAAGGGCGGAAGAATCGGTTATAAACGATGAACGTATCATGATCCCCCGCAAAAGCATTCACCGGAGTCGCCATATATATGCTCCTTCGTCTAATTGCAACAGCGTCTTCGGTAATTGGTCGGACTTTCGTGTACTTGTAGATAGCACTGAGAATTGGTATTGAAAGGCCGTGTACTACGATGGAGAATAGGACGAGGAAATATACCACTGCGGAATAAATCAGTTAACTTGTATGGATATGTTAAATAAGAATAACTGACCTGGACATATGGCGTCAAGGAGTTCCCGCTCCCTCGCACTAGCTGCCTTTTCCTTCGGGAACAGCAACCGTGTATGTTGAAGATAGTATACCGCCCCAACGCCTATCGGGCCAAAATATCCCATGAATAATGCTTCCCTCCAGTTTTTTACAACTGCTGGCATCGTCTTATATGTAAGAAGTAAAGCAGGGATTCGTCGAAATAGGAGAACGAGGATACCTAAACCAAACAGACGAGGATAGGTAATGCCAGTAGTAGCGGGTTGATGGAATTCCTGCCAAGGTATAGCAATACCGATATACATAAAGCCGCCAAAGTTGAGCATAACGTCAATGCACGAGTTAACTTCGTCATGGCGACGTTCTGTCTCTGCGAGGAACTGACCGTCCCAGTTTAATGCGCAACCTGCGACAAAGCAGGCAAGAAGATCACTCGTACCGATAGCTCCGCAAGTTCCAACAATAAACAGCTTTTATGCTTCATCAGTATCACTTAAATATAAGATAGGGGGATGTTAGAGGTACTTACACCCAATGCTGTCGGGAAAAGTAGATAGCTCTCTGAATCGATCCATCTTCGAGATAGTGAAAATCTAACCCCCATTCTAGCACAATACCCCACGACAGCCCCGTACACGACAGCCAGCAATACGATGTAGATAAGAGTTTCGATGACCCAGTTCCCCAAGGCAATGCCGACATCACGCGTATCCTCGCCAACACCTCGTCCGCGCTCCACAAGCTTTTCCTCTCTGTTCTCCGTAAGGCGTAGGAGGTTGACAGCAAGCATGAGGAAAGGGGAAGCGAAGCCATCGTTGGCGCCAGCTTCGGCTGAAATGATCTCTCGGAGAGGCCGAGCCACATACTTGTCAGCAAATGGGCCTTTGGCGACTGCTTGCGAGAGGATTGGGTCTGTAGATGTAACACATGCCCCCATAACAAGAGCTGCAAGTAACGAAATCTTCGGGATCGTTGCGAGTACGCAAACGGAGGTTGCCAGCCACATCAATGCCATGATAGGAACAAGGCAGACGATTAACGCTTTATGGTGCAGTTGAAGATATCTGGCAGGTAATTGGTATCCCGCAATAACTCTATAATAGTAGGAATTAGAACCCGGTCAGACAAATGCGCTCGTTCGACTGGGCCGAATACATTTCAAAGGAAAAGCATTTATATCAAACTTACAATTGAATACCAATCATAACCCTCATCACACCAAGAGTTATTGCATCTTGTTGGTCTGGGGTAGCTGATCCCCATCGTTTCGCGTCTAAGAACCTCGCTGCGATAGGTCCCAAGATCGTACCGACGAGAACCGCAGGCACTGATGGATAGTTAGCAGTAGTTAAACATATATATAGTGTATTCTAAGAAGCGCACTAACATGCCTCCCCAAGATACCAAACACCCTTTAACTTGACAGCAACCAAGCCGTATATCACAGTGAAAGCGCCTAAAATAAGTCAGAATTATTAGCCTACAAAGGTTTTTGAGGACTTACCAAGCACAGAAACGACTATATTCAACTCGCTCACATCTAGGGACGGCATCGCGATGTCTAGCGTCGTCGTAGTCGTAGGTCGATCGTATGTGCGTAAAGAAGGACCCAGAGGTTTGGTTCTAACTTGGATCCTTGATATGGAACAACCAGGGGGGCGTGCCAAGGAAATACAACAAAGTAGGCAGTCACAAGCTAGAATGAAATAACGATGTACGTGTAGATCTACGCCCGCTGGTAAGGATAATGTGCGTGCAAGTCAGTGAAATCTCCGGCTTGGCAATGGTGTACCGATCCATTCCAAATTGAGGAATGCATCTTCTCTAGATGGTAGTTCTTCAGCCACCATCCCTCGCTAAGAAGCACCTAAGGCTCTCTGCAAAGACCCGGTGAGCACATATCTGTGTGCTCCCCCTTTTTAGTCTCAGACATGTCTTAGCTGCCCTTAAAAACAAGCATCAACGAGTCTGATCGACTCGATATTCTGTCGAACGACTCGCAAGAAAAGCATGTGTCGCTACTTGGCAAAGTCATTGGAGGGATTTGTGTGTATCGAGCAACTACATCATGCGGAGCGAGTAGCTGACGAAGCAAGTATAACGGCAAGTAATGGTTGTACAGGGGTCATGGGTATTTCCAGAGCAAAGATGCGATAGTTAAGGTCTGATATTCTCAAGGGTCTATAAGAGACAAAATGCCGAGAGTATCACAAGGCGTGCGTGACGGGTGAACAAAGGGGGATACAAGATCATTGTACACCTTTCAAATAGGGTCGGTTCTTGGCAGTACGTGGGGATTTGAGTGATAACTGACTTAGAATAGATCCAGTCAACTGGTGAGCCATAACTTAATCAGTATGGACTAATATGAGTATCGACGAGAAAAGGTGGATGGCGACTCATTGAAAGACTACCACCTCCTCCTGTCCTGTTAAAGTGACTAACTGCCCAAGAGACCAAGTCCCATGTCTATCGTGTCGAATGAATCGGCCTCGTCTACGTGATGACTACCGTTTATACATTAAAAATAAAACTATCAGATGCAAAAAGTAAAATTCTTAGGCTAAGAGATTATAGGGGGAAATCTTCATTATAGACACTTAGAATCAAAGCGGGTACATGATAGACCAAGGCTAGGAGTGATATTGGAATAGTTTATGACCTTTATGTCCTTCGTAGGGCAGCATAAGTAATACGAAGAGGCTTCATATTCTAGACCATTGGGGGTAGACTGTCGCATCGTCATAGTGACCTAACCTACTATACTATGCATCACATTCAATTATCTAATAGCAACCCAACTATACCTAAGTTAAGTAAGACAACTATTGTTCAAACTTACCCAAGCAGCCGGTGAGTTTCGAATTGGATTTTGAAATTGTGAATGCTTTAGATAGTCCTTTGAGGACATCGTTAATACCTATAGCAAATAATTTTATTAGTACCCCCACGACCAATCAGATATTCAGAATCATCTTGCAGTTAGCAACTTTGACTAGCCAATTAGAGGCCAGACTCATATGTGGCGTAATATTTTGTTACAGGCCGGTTCTTTACCTCGTAAAATTCATCCTATACCAGAGAGCATAACCCTTGCAGTTCCTTCTGATCTATATACATATAATTCCAACTTTAGTCACCCTAGCTATCGTGATCCCCATTCCCCTCACTCGGCTGCTTAGACCCATAGGTCTCGAGATTTTCTACAATCGCCAAAAATGCAGTTAAATGACCAATATATGACTATTTCAGCTCTTTCGAACGAGCTATTATTATGCATCTTTGACAATTTACTACCTACAACACTGCTTCAATGTACCCTTTGCTGCAAACGATGGTCACGTTTGGTTTCCTCTATATTATACAAGCACATTGCATTAACCCCAGAGACCTTTTCTAAATGGACCAAGAACCCTTCCGACTCGAATGATGCGGTTATTAGTACATTCACTCTACACATAAACCTAGCTCGAAGCAGGCCAGACGATAAAAGCGATGTATTTAACCAACTACATGACGACCTTCTGAAACTTCCCTCGCGACTCGTGAAAATGGCCAACATCAAATCTTTTTCGCTCACTACGTCGTATGGTGGGTTTGCCAACTTATGGGTACCGAGGAGATTAGTTGCTCCGATCATTGATCACTTGCCCCCTACATGCATAAGCCTGGAAATTGATATCACGAGTACGAACTACGAGACGTATCCCGAAGATGATCAGGTACATTTATGTCCTTCTATTCGTCGAGTGCTCCCTCAGTTACAATTCCTACGACTAAGCTTCCCAAAACTCTGTCCTGAAGCCTTTGGATATGGCTTTGCGACCCGGCCGTCAACGGACATTGAAAACTTTCAGCCTATCCAAATTTTAAAGCTGGAGCAGTGTTTGATCAAAGTAGCGCACACTAATCACACTGTCTCAAAGGTTTCCCACTCTACAGTATGTGATTGTTTTGATGTTCACGCCATGGCCATTTTAACGGATTACTTGACCATCTTAAAGTCTTCAGGAAACGCGCCTAGGCTTCAAAGGTTATGGGTTATTGATGCTCTACCTCCCAGAAATCATTTCAAAACATTAGGGGCATGGGTACGTCGTGATATCTTGGAGGGGAATAGCAAGACCTTACCATGCAAATACTTGATTAGAAATCAAGCCAGAACACGCTATTCGCAGGCATATTTCATTCGTACGCCTAGAGAGGAAGGTGGCCAAGATCTTGTATCAACTAGAGAGGGCGTGCAACTTCTTGCAGAAAATTACGCTTGGGTCCAAACCAGCAATGGGACTCGGATCCCTGGTCCATATATCTCCAAAAGAACCCATCTCAAACCGGTTACACCTGTGATGCGAACGGGAATAGAATGGCTTGGATTGACGAACGCTTCGTGTAGCTTATGGAAATATGAGACAACTATCGGTGTCCGGCTTTTAGATGTAGCAGATGGAGGATTGAACGAAGATCGCGTTCCGACGATTCAGTTTCCCGAAGGCTGGATTGTGAGGTATGATGGCCAGCTTCAGGGACCTTGAAAGATTAATATCTTATTCGAGGATTTTGGTGAACCATTCAATAAGCGTCTGCACTGGTTTTTAAATAACTAAGTGATAATAACGTGAGAGATTAGCGATTGGAATTTCTGCTTTATCAAGTACATGATATGAGATATGTAGCATTGAGCCAAACCAAATATTTCACCTATTCTACAATAAACGTATTATGATACAAATTAGACTATAATAACCATACCGATTCATAGTTTAGGTACCTGAACATTATTGACATGCATTGTCTATCCATATGGCCGAATACTTCAAAAATAGAAAAGCCTTCGCGGAGAGCGATCAATTCCGGTATAGCCCCACATCGGACCGAGATCTGGACCGGGCGTATCGGTCTGGACCCATTTAATTACCGGATCTTACATAGTAGTATAATCCTACAATTTGGATTGTTCTTGTAACTTCTAGTTCTACAACTTCTTTGATCTGCCCAATTAAAGGTATTAGACTAGATTATAGTGCATCTTTGTAGAGTACTAAAAAGTGTGAAGAATAAATAAATAAAAAGCTAGAGGAGAGATTTCTAGAAATATCCGTTTAGCTAAGAATCGGCTTTGTTGAGTGGGAGTAGCCATGGACCAATATAGGACCGAATCGTTAATATATGTAGCTGGGGATCTTTGTTTTTTGCATCTCGGTGGTTGATAGATTCAGCGGTAGACTGATGGACTACCCTTAGGTGCCTCATTCATGAAGATGGAATCATAGACGACTATCACTTCAAAGTCCACGGTGATAGGTAACGTACCGGGTAGATGATGTGTATTATATACAACTCCTCATAAGCTACGACACATACCATAGAAAATAAAAGACAAATGTAACGCGTCATGTGAAGTTATGGTATGTACCTAGGTAGTTCAAGTCCCCACACTGTTCTAAGGTTCTCCGCAACCACATCAGCAAACGCGTTGTCGCTTAGGAAGCAGACTCACCTCGTTGCCCCTCAGTATTACGGGACGCGTCTCTTGCCTGCCTCAGTCCTTTGAATTTTATTTTATCCACCCCAAGTACACACACACATACACACATACACACATGCATATTTCCTTTGCGGACCCTATTTCCTCTACAACCTTTCACCTACAAAACCACCTATACCAATCTCAGTATACCAAACTACGTACGAACGGACGAACATATTTATCAATTCAGCATGGCTAACACTGTTCCTCTCCCGGAATGGGTAACATCCCACATACTCCCTAAAGACCTTGAAGATGCCAAGGCCAGGGTTGCAGCCACACGAGAAACAGTCGAGGTAAGGACTGCGATCGTCCAAAGACAAGTTCTTACTCTAAGCTATCCTAGTATACTAACATTGGACATGATCTACTAGAATATACATAACTTCCTCTGCCACTGCAACACGCCTGCCGATACAATGGCAGTAGTCACCGATCTTGTGAACCTGACCCGTGCTCTTCAATCCACACTCAACGCCTTCGCAAGTATGGAAGTCAGAGCTGCCGACCTAGTGGAGTCAGCTGCCGAAATAACGGATTCTCTCCGATCCAAAATTCAGTATATCATCACGCTCTGGTTGGAATTCGCAGATTTATTCCAGGGACGTCTAGCCGCCCTTCAGGCCCTTGACAGGAGCATGGCTGAATAAAGGGACGCGCTACATCTAGTGCTACATACTTCTGTCATCGTACTTAAGAGCTCAAGATAGGATAATTGAGGCGAAGGAAATAGGCAGAAACTCTAGTTTATTAATGTGAGATAGCATTGTTATATTAATTACCTGGACAAGCAAAATACCAAATTGATTTCCGTCCCAACTGCGATATATTGTTAATGTGCCATACATAAGGTATCGGCGTTACTAGAAATATCCCTACCCCTCGCGTAATACCATCAAAGTTAATAAGGAAGCTTAAACTTGAAGAACTCTTCAACCTTCCGACCATTCTTGTAGGAAACCAGAGCCGGATCCAGCTTATGCAGCCCAGTAGTAACATCTCCAGATTCCTCAATCCTATAGACATATTTCACTCCACTAGCCTGCCCATCCTTCAGCTTATTCAGGCCTAGCAAAACACCATTCAACCCGCCCGGAATAACTTCATACGGGTGTCCCTTCAGCTTCCCAGCTTCCAACAGACGCCCGAAATACCTAGACCAGATAAACCCGAGATCCTTATGCGTGGAGAAGACCTTAAGGGCAACGGCGTTGGAAACATTCACGCCGTCCGGGAACTTGAAATCTTCGCGAGCGTTCGCGAAATACTGGAAAGGTAGTACGGTGGCGATGCTGCCGCCGTTAGGGTCGACAACCCGAGTAGTGACTTCGAACGACTCGCCCTCGCTGATCGCGTCGAAAACAAAAGGGACTTTATTGCCCAGACCTTCCTTGGCGAGGATTTCTTCAACACCTGCGACTAGTGCGTCCTCGCCCTTCCGGTAATCGAGGACGTGGTCAGCCAGGGTCGAGGCGAAGTCGCCGGCGCGGCCAGCAACTCCGATGATAGGACCAAGACCCGAGAGCCGGGCGAGTTGGGCAGCGAATGCCCCGCAGGCCGACGTGATGCCGTATATGAGGAAAGGCACCTTCTTTCCTTCCGGAAACCCCCTCTCGTCAAGGGGAGAAGGAAGTTTCAAGTTGACGTATAAAGCCAGCATGGCAGTGTGAGCGGCAGTAGGGATAGTTGCAGCTTCTTCGAAGGACACATTGTGCGGAAGATGGAAAGTTGTCCACTCCGGGGCTACGGCATATTCTGCAAAGCTGCCGTTTGGCGTCATGACTTCGTGGTACGCTGCCACGCGGTCGCCTGGCTTGAACTCGTAGACATCCTTGCCGACGGAGTGGACGATTCCGGCGATGTCATCGCCGCTGTTCACGGGTTTCCCGCTCCTGTGTAAAAGTTAGCTTTTACCCAATTCCTAAAGATACCGGTGCTGATGCTGGGAAAGTCATACCAGTAAGGATATTTCCAGTCCTTTGGGTTCGATCCGGAGACAATGACTTTAATGACGACATGTTTGTCTCCTGGGGTGGGAATAGGAGATTCGATAACCTCGAATGTATCGAGAGAGCTTTGGATAACTACTTCTTTCATAGTGATATATTAAATAACTTAAAATTTATAGAATTTCTGAATAATTTCGATTTAGTTTTTTGAGATGCTGTTGTGAGATGTCGCTGGTAGAGTTAGCAATATCTTGTTCATGAGCAACATATATATATATACCCCTTTCTCCTACCATTTCCTTCCCATCGCTAGATCGAAGGTCCGCGGAGGTCAACCCTAGTACGCAGCATATTCAGAAGATGCCACCAACGGAGGGAATAGATTATTTGTAATGTCCTTCATCTTATGATTATATATCTCGGAGTTAACCATATACTGGGTCGTTCACCAAGAACATTGATGAGGCTAACCCTAGAAATCTGACTAATGTTGTCCATCTCCCCATATGTCGTGCTCCGTTTTAATCAAGGGGGCTAACAAGGATTCATCGGACTCCGCGGATCCTAAAGCGGAGCTCCATGGACCTCACAACCTCATCCTCTATCTAGCAGTTCTTGATATCATCGTGTTATTATGCAATCAATTAGACAGAGAAATAAGGCGCGTCCAGACCCAGTATCGTGTCAATCATGTCGATCGAAAAAGTTGAAATGCAATCGAATCCAGCCGTGCTCGAATTGTGCTGCCCGCGGCATCAGCTGTCATTTCCTAGTTCCGCCCCAAAGGCGAACAGAGAGGGCTGTTATAGAACACAATCTTGAGGAAATTATAGGAAGAATTGAACGATTAGAATCTATTGTTCTTCAGTCGCCTCCTAGCGAAGCTCGTTCACAACATGCGCCCGATGATAATCATCGTCACGCAAACCCATCGTTATTCACACCCATTTCAAGCCACGTCGTGGAGTCTGACGTCCACCATAATCGAGACAAAGACTCACAGTTCCTCGAGAATATTGGAACAAGAGAAGATGAACTAGTATGTAAAATACTTCCCACGTTATTTCAAGTATGTAGACCCCTAATCCAAGTAGATTTCTCCCTTGTCTTGTGGCCTAGTCTTTAGAATAGGCAGAGCACACGAAATCCATAAACCACGAGTCCCTATCCAGCAGACAGTAGCCACCGCGGATCAACAACCATTGAGCAATCCTATCGTGACATTTCCTACATACAGAGAAGCAACCCTACTCTTCCAGAATTTTGAATCTAATATAGATCACATGTGTCGCATTTTGCATATCCCTACTATTCGGTCTCTTATAAAAACGATTTATATGAAAATTAGCCAAGGTGAATCTGTTCCGCTCGGGCAAGCTGGATTATTGCTTTCTATCTTTGCGCTTTCTGGGTTCTTCTATCGGTGCTCCGAAGATTCTGAAATAGCAACGAATGAAAAAGAGGCTGTGCATATCTCAAAGGCCATAGGCAAGACAGCTTTAGATGTTCTAGACCATTCACGCAGGAATACTTCAGGTACATTAGAAGATGTCCAGGCCTACATCTTCATGTCTCTCCTTTCATTCCATCTTGACGGATTTTCGGCAAGAGGCCGTCTTCTATCAACCACGGCGGCCTCTATTGCTAGAGACCTTCGTCTGCATCGATTGGATGCCGAAGACGAGAACACTAGTGAGAAGGTTCCTAGCGTCCGTGCTTCGATAGATCGCGAGGTTAGACGTAGAGTATTTTGGCATATTACAGCCGAAGACTGGTATGTTTCGCCTCTCATATACTACTCTTTTAGCATTAATATTTCCATAGGTTACAATCAACCATCAGCGGACCTCAAGAGGGCATGTACTTCATTAATCCGAATCATATAGATGTCAAGCTTCCAAAATACCATTTCGATGACGAAATTTCCCTAAGCGACAGTGACTCCATAGATGGTCCTCCACCAAGTGGCATGGCTTTTCTTCTCGAAAGGATCCGACTCGCGCATCTGTGTAGAGAGGTCGCTGACATCGTGCCATTGGAGACATCAAAGGCTATGCAGATGCCATACGAGAATATCATAGCTCTGGACAAGAAACTACAAGATTTTATCTTAAGCCTACCTTTCTTCTTTAAGACTGATCCCGAGAGTCGGGAGAAAAGTAGGAGATTCGAGACAGTATATCCTTACATCCCTCACATGAGATATGCCATCACCAACGCAGCTCACAGTAGGCGGTGCAAGCTGCACCAAAGATTTCTACTACGACAGACTCACGATTCCCGGTATTCCTACTCGAGATTAGCCTGCCTGGCATCAGCATGCGCAGTCATTGAGGGGTACGAAGACCCGACCGAGTTTGATTCTCCTGCTTACACGACAGCCCGGATGGGACTGGCTATGCACTACATGCATCTTGCGTTAGTAGTTATGGTCATGGATTTATGTTTCAATAGACACGAAGTAGACGAGATACAGATCAAGGCTAAGGTGAGGGCGGCTTTTCAGAAGTTTGATGATGACAGACACATCTCTCCGCTTCCTAGTCGTTTCCTACGTTCACTGCGCGACGTCTTGCAGAAGCATGAAGTATATCTTACCCATCAAACCGTTTCAACATCCGAGAATGGTACTGGTGCTCCTGGTGAGATCAACGCTGGTAGTTTCGGTCTTCTTCATGACATACAGATGCAGCCCGAACTTGGAATAGATGAAGGTGGCCTTGACAGTTCCTTCGATGATTTCTGGCAGTTTGCAAGTCAAAGCGAGATGAATCCCGATTCGATAACGTGGGATAACCTGTTCGCAGCTCTCGATACGAGGCCAATATGATAGAACTTGACGAAATAATTCGCCTTAAGGAAACCTTTGAGGAAATGAGGCAACATTTCTTGGGCTTTTTATATCGACTTATACCTTGAGAAAGTTATGGTCGTATTGCTATTTGCTGCAGAGGTTATTACGAATCATTGCAGTCCATGATCCCATGCGTAGGTAGGTATGTATGTAATGCTAACTCTACCTGAGCTGCTGCAGTCGGGACCGAACTTAAACGAGGTAATTTTTACTTCTCCCTCGAATAAAACGGATATATATAAACTTTACAGTTCATGTATAGAGTGGCGGGTTGTCCTTGCGGGCCGTAGCCGATGCCGGCCCAATTATATTATTATTAAAATGCAGTTGAGAAGTTAGAAAGAGGTTAGCTAGGGAAATGATTAGCAGTTGGATATGTGACAGAAGTTAAAATAAATGGTTACTAGATAGTCTATTTCGTAGAGTTAGGATGAATATTTTGGCATAACTCCCTTTACCGGATTATAACTCCTCTATTTCGACTCCGAGGTATTTTCCACTTAATCTATAGTCTGTAGAGCGTTTAGGATTAGCCATTTAGTTCTGGTAACTGTTAGGCAAACGTCATAGAGGTTCGCTGATCTGAATACCGTATTGTTTATGGGATAGTATCAACACGACGTCAAACTTAAAAATAAGGACGACGGGTACGCCAAGTGCTCGGCTAGTTCGGGAACAGCTTATATCTCGTAATATAGAGTTTAACATGGATTAGGGGTAGGGAAATGCCCCTTGAGGGCACCTCAGTCGAATCTCAGAGGAATTACAACAAGGTCAACCCGATGAGCTACAATATAAAGAGCTATTTCTAGCAATATCAGTTAAGGATACATCCTGTAAGGTAGAATGCAATTCTAAGTATGGCTAAAACCAAAAACTTAATTATTCTCTAAATACGGTATTGACGCCAGAGTTCCCTTGTAGGGCCGAATAATACATCCCTTTTAGTGGAGGAGCAAGTTAAGCATCAAGGAGCAAATTTCAACGTCTCATAGGATATTTTAAATGATTATGTAGAGTTTATTTTTAATAGTTAGCTAGTACTTATATGGTTCTATTCTTAGGGTAATTAATCAAACCAATATTCCTTTGGGTAGTATAATTAGGTATGTTGTAGGCATAATTTATGTTTTGATATGTCCGGACGAAACTACACCATGAAACATGTATTTATTCTCCGAAATCATCGGCGCCGTATATCCCATGTATATCACACTATAATCATAATCAGGCACTCGATATCTCAATACAGTAAGAGTTGCTTGCACGACTCAGTCAGTCAGGGGTTGGCCAACGTTAAATACGAGCCTCGCATAATGCACACATCATTCCTCTGTTCGAATTGCGTCAACATATTATATCTCGTCGGAATTCGTGAGATCTAGCAGTGCTATGCGGAGTCATTTTTGCCAATCTCCCCTTTACGAATACCAGGATGTACGTCCCCGTGTCGAGGCTGGGAATTGTGACCACAAGTCTTGGAATATCATCATTAGGCTCTCATGAACATCTGAAATCATCTAATGACATTGTACGTGGTACTTGATATGCCTGTGGAATGATGAGCCGTACCGTGGTTTATCCTATTTACTAATACAAACTTTCATCTCATGCCACTGACTGTTAGTTCATGACGTTGTTTCTCGAATGTTTCTAAAACTAGAACCGGGATCAAGTTTTTCAGTTTTCTCGTATCAATGTCTCCCTTATCCCCGAGTATCTGGAATATAAGCTCGATGGCCTCTCTATCCTTTGCTCCAGCTTAAGTTTTTCTTTTCTTCAGTCTATCGTTTCGGGGCAACTCTTTATATCTGACCCCAAGAATTTTCGAAAAGGAGCCCGAGTGTTTGGCTGCGACAATACCGTTAAAATGATACGGGCAAGCAAGCCGCTTGTTCTGTCCTCCATAGTGAGCGGCGCATATTCTCTCGTTGCGCGCCAGAGCGGATGTAGCTTTACCCTTTCGACAGGTGGCTCATTCACCGGCCAAGTCGGCCAATATGACGGTGGTCAGACTAAAGGTGGACTTCCCGGAACCAGCGTCGTACAGTCTGGGTTTGTCCTGAATGGCGATACGATATCCGACTCCCAAGGCCGCGGTTGTTGGTGGACACCACCGAGTACCGTGCTCCAATGTGACGTCGGCCAAAACCCCGAAGGCGGATTTGCTATCGGTTGCAATGGGGAGCTGACTTATAATGGCCAGTCTTCTTTCTGGCAATGTGCTACGGGAGAGGATGGTGTAGTGATGATATACCTCTGGCCTGGAGGGACCAACTGTAATCAGATTTCCTTGATAGCGAGTGGGTGTCATCCTTCATCGTGTGATTCGGGTTCTGGCGCTTCGGGAACTGCTCCGGGTATAGGATCGACATACCCTGGCCCAAGCGGTACGGCTCCATGGAGCGGTGGTTCGAATATGCCCCCAGGTGGAACAGGAGGAGCTGGTCCTTCAGGAACAGGCGGTACTTATCCTACTGGCGGGCCCGGCACCATGCCACCTGGTGGAGGCGCTCCTCCACCGTGGTCTACTGGTCCCGGAGGCGGCTCAGGTCCGTGTATGCCGATGACAACTACCGTTTTTGTTACTGTATCAAACACGGACTGCGTTTCAACCGTTACTGAGTGTCCTCCACAAACGGCTCCTCCAGGAGGTACCGCTCCCCCAGAGTCTCCAACTACAGAGGCTCCGCCTCCGGGAACAAGTCCGCCAGGAACACCACCAACAGTAATGCCTCCACCAGAGACGAGTCAACCTACTACAGTTGCTCCGCCACCAGTAACTACCCCGGAGATGCCCTCAAATACAGAAGGGACATCTCCTGCTACTAGCCCCCCAGAGACGCCCTCAAACACACAAGGAACAAGTCCTGGCACTAGTCCTCCGGAGACGATTCCGCCAACGACTGTCATTCCGCCACCGGAGACTACTCCAGAGATGCCTTCAAACACGCAGGGGACTTATCCTGGTACTAGCCCTCCGGAGACGCCTACAACGGAAATCCCGCCACCGGAAACGCCCACGACGCAGATGCCTCCGCCTCCACCGCCGCCGCCTATGACAACTCCCATGACTTCTCCGGAGATACCGACAACCACTCAGGAGACAAGCCCCCCAGAAACTACACCGGAAGTTCCTCCTACGACTTCTCCGGGATATCCAACCACGGTTATTCCTCCACCGGAAACACCCACGACCACTCAAGGAACAACTCCTCCAGAGACCACACCACAGCTCCCTCCATCTGAGACGAGCCCTCCTATGACCTCTCCGGAGACACCAACGGTTCCTACCACCCCAGGGTATCCGACAACAGTTATTCCACCCCCATCAAATACACAGGGAACAAGTCCGGGAACGTCGCCGCCGGAGACACCCGTGAGTCCTACGACTCCAATGTATCCTACAACAGTCGTTCCTCCACCGGAGACACCTACGACCACAGGAGGAACGAGCCCTGAAACATCGCCGCCAGGAACTCCCACAAGCCCAAGCTATCCCACGACGATTGTTCCTCCACCAGGAACACCAACCACCACTCAAGGAACCAGCCCTCCAGAGACGACACCGGAGCTCCCTCCACCCGAAACGACCCCCCCTGCAACTTCTCCGGGGACACCGACAATTCCCACCATCCCGGGATATCCAACCACAGTCGTACCACCACCACCGGAGACGCCTTCAACTACGGGAGGAACAAGCCCTGGAACAAGCCCCGGAACGTCGCCGCCGGAAACTCCTACAAGTCCAGGATATCCTACAACGGTTGTTCCTCCGCCAGAGACACCAACAACTACTCAAGGGACAAGTCCTCCACAGACTACGCCGGAAATTCCTACAACTACCCAGGAGACAAGCCCTGTAATGTCTACCACGGAAGTCCCTCCGGAGACACCGTCAATGCCTACTACACCAGGGTACCCAACAACAGTTGTACCTCCACCACCGGAAACACCTACCACTACCCAGGGAACAAGCCCTCATACATCGCCGACTGAAGTTCCACCACCGGCAACTTACCCTACAACGGTTATTCCTCCTCCAGAGACGCCGAGCATGCCTTCGGAAACACCACCGAGTACGCCGCCGACCATGCCACCAGAAACACCGAGCACGCCCCCGCAGACACCTACAACAACCCCAGGATATCCCACCGGTCCTCCTCCTCCCCCACCTCCTCCCCCGGAATCGCCAACGACAAGTGTCCCCGGCACTACGCCTCCACCTGTAGAGACTAGCGAGACTTATCCGGGTACTTCTCCAGGGCCCTCTACATTCACTAGCTCTGAGACAGTCGTAATTCCTACGTGCCCACCGGAATCGAAGTCGTGTCCCGAGATGTCTAGCAGTACTACCCCAGGTACTCCTGGTACTTCAGGCCCTGGAACTTCGCCGCCCACTGAAACTACACCACCCGTTCAGACTACTAATACAGGTCCCTCGACTTACCCAGGTACCACGCCGCCAGTCGAAACGAGTCCTTCATCTACGTGGACATATTCGACGACGTCACCTCCTAGCGAAACCACAAGCCCTGGCATTCCAACAAGTCTGACCTCTCCTGGTGAATCAACCTATCCTGGCACATCTCCTGTAACATCTCCTGGATCATCTACCACGGTCGTGGAGACAACCACTACAAGTTCGTGTCCAACAACCTCTACCTCACCTGGTGAGTCGACAACTAGCGTCCCTGGCATACCTACTACTTCAAGCGAGACAATTCCTCCAGGAGGTTCGACTTATCCCGGGACTTCTCCAACCACAAGTATACCGACCGTACCGCCCACTACAAGCGAGACGACTCCTCCAGGCGGTTCAACTTACCCAGGCACATCTACAACAGTAGTAGAGACCACAACCACTAGTTCGTGTCCAACAACTTCAACCTCACCCGGAGAGTCATCCACTACTAGTATACCAGGTGTACCTACTACTACCAGCGAGACGATTCCAGGCACAACCCCGGGCACGACTTCAGGCACAACTTACCCCGGAACAGCTCCGACCACCAGCGTCCCAGGGGTACCTTCTACCACAAGTGAAACAACTCCAGGTAGCTCGACTTATCCTGGAACATCTCCCACTACCAGCATTCCAGGCATACCCACAACTTCAACCTGGACGACTCCGGGTGGTTCAACATATCCTGGGACGGCTCCAACTACTAGTGTCCCAAACACACTGCCCACTACAAGTGAGACAACTCCTCCAGGTGGTACGACCTATCCTGGAACATCTACAACGGTTGTGGAGACCACCACCACGAGTTCTTGCCCGACAACTTCGACTACACCTGGAGAATCACCAACAACTAGTGCACCGGGCGTGCCCCCAACTACGACCCCGGGTACATCCTATCCCGGCACGTCTCCCACTACCAGTGTCCCGAGCGTCCCTCCTACTTCAAGTGTGCCGACAGAGACCCCTAGCATCCCGGGTACTTCGACTTATCCTGGAACATCACCAACTACTAGTATTCCGGGCGTACCTACCACCACGAGCGAGACGACTCCAGGTACAACCCCGGGCACGACTCCCGGCACTCCTGGCACAACTTATCCAGGCACATCGCCAACTACCAGTGTCCCGGGTGTACCCCCTACATCGACCATACCTACAGAGACCCCCAGCACTCCAGGCGCTTCGACTTACCCTGGTACAACTTCAAGTTCGTGCTCGACTACGGAAACGGAAGTTCCAAGCACGACACCCGGAGTTCCTACCACAACGCCTGTGGTGCCCGGGACGACCTTGACTCCCAGCACGACGTCGCCTGGAATACCAACCACATCGGCTGAGGTTCCTGGAACATCGCCTACAACGCCAAACGGATATCCCACTACCTCGGCTGGAATCCCGACCCCATCGTACCCAACTTCGGGAACGCCTCAAGTACCAAGCACGGCGACAACGCCTCCAGGAGAGTCCACAAGCGTCCCTGGTTATCCAACAGGGCCACCGCCGCCGCCGCCGCCGCCGCCTCCGCCATCATCAGAGACACCAAGCACTCCAGGTTATCCGAATGGACCGCCATCTGGTCATCCGGGGCACCCAACGGGACCACCGCCACCACCACCGGCAGAGACACCAAGCAGCCCAGGCTATCCGAACGGGCCGCCGTCTAGTCAACCAGGATATCCAACAGGACCACCACCAGCAGAAACTCCAAGTAGTCCAGGATATCCAACAGCGCCACCGCCACCAGCGGAAACACCGAGTACTCCAGGCAATCCGAACGGTCCGCCATCTAGTCAACCGGGTTATCCCACTGGCCCACCGCCCGAATCTGGCCCGCCGCCGCCTACATCAAGCCCTCGTGTTCCTCCTCCGCAGCCAACGCCCCCGGCTGAATCTGGCGCTCCCGGCAACCCCACTGGACCACCACCGCCGCCACCACCAGAGGCAACTGGTAGTGTTAACGGAGATAAAAACTCGCCGGAACCGACAGGAAATAATGCCCCTGAACAGTCCAAGGACGCAACATGGGCGGCGCCGTCTAAAATCCCCAGACGGGCGACGGGCCTTTTCAATCTTGCCCCGTCTTCCCCAACCTGTCCCGGCGAGCTAACTGGTCAATGGGAGTCCCCGGATCTAATAATCCCCGTTGACAGTTCGCGCCCGAACAAGGCATACGGATCATCTACCTCGGGCGAGGTAACATCCACAATCTCCAGCATTTTCAAATTCCACGTCCCATCCAGCGGCAGCGGTAAGACATGCAAGCTCGTGTTCTTCTTCCCCGAGAACGAAGACGCACAGACCTCATCATTCGATATCACTGGCTCGGGAGCAGTCGAGTTCTCACGTCTCGACGGCTACGTGGATCTAGACACGACGCAGAACAGCCTCCCGGACATGGCGCAGAGTTATAATAGGCTCACCATCGCACCAGGAAACGCGTACACCATCGAGTCCTTCGCGTGTCCCAGCGGCGAAGACGTGGTCGTCGAACTAAGCAGCGCACCCGGTAGTCAAACGTCACTATGGTTTGATCAAGACTCGACTGACGCGTGCCCGCTTGGCTTGTTCTTAGTAGCGAGCGCGCTGGGAGATGTGGAGTTGTGAGTGAGTGAGTAAGTGGAGGAGATTAAAAGAAGAAGAAGAATAAATGAGACGAAGAAATTGATTGGAATGCATCTCATCTAGTCTACAGCACGGAAGCTGGATTGACTAACAACAGCGTAATAATGAAAATGTCGCCGCACATATGGACGTAGGTATTAGCTTACGGTGTGGGATATGCAATGTATGTAAACATGGCTTATATGAATCAGGGTTCAGGAAATGTAATAGGAATAGTAATAGGTAGCCATCATTAAGTCAGATTATTTCTTTTGTCATCTATGACAATTTTCTTAGGTTTGAAATATCGTGTTTGTTAACATTGTGGATTTATTCCTATGAGTTGTTACGCAAAAATTACCTAAGGCCGCTTCCCTTCAGGGGGACTCACTGACCATCTCTAGCCACTATACCCCTGAATTTGATCAGCAATGTGGCTAAGACCTGTGGCTAGTAAATACATTTTATTCCCATTGCCATTTCAAACGCGCAATCAAAAAGCCAAAATACTTCTAACAAGATACAGGAATAATACCGATATAATAGTCTCCATATTACGAAAGTCTATTATAGTCCATTTCCCCGATCAAGAAATGTCTGTTACAGTCTCTTCTTCTTTATCTTTACGAAATTTAGTTTCTAGTAGCACAAAACGCCCAGGTACATCACATCCCAGTCCATTTACCTTCTTAGGGAAGACGTTATCGCGACCGCAAGCTTTGCATTAGTAGCGTCGGAAATGGCCGGTCAAGATCGACCTCGTTGATTCGCTAGAGATTGTCGCCTCGGCTCGCACTACATAACAGGTACCTGGTAGGTAGGTACCTAGGTAGGTATTTACAAAGACCATGCCGTTGCCATCGCCGAGCGAGCAAGAACCGCTCCTTCAATATAGTCAACTAGAGTCAAGCCGCAGTCAAAATCATCTCGTTATGGCTGTAGCAGAAGATAATCCCATGCCGAATGGTGACGGCGGTGCCTTTAACAATATTGGACCTGATGAAGCCCGCCGTATCTTACGGCGCATTGATTGGCATATTATGCCGCTCCTCTTCCTCATTTACACCTTCAACTTCATGGACAAGACCATATTGTCAAGTGCGTCGGTGTTTGGTCTGAGGGAAGATAATCATCTCGAGGGCTCGAATTATTCCTGGGTATCTAGCGTCTTCTATTTCGGTTACTTCCTCTGGGCATACCCCACGACGTTGTTAGTCGCTCGCCTGCCGATAGGAAAATATCTTGCCGCCAATACATTCGTTTGGGGTGCGGTGGTAGCCTTAACTGCTGCATGCTCGAGCTTTGGAGGCTTAATTACAGTGAGATTTTTCCTCGGTATCGCCGAGGCAACTATTTCGCCGGCTTTAATGTTTATCACGTCTACGTGGTACACCCGAGATGAGATTCCCGTTAGGACTGGTATCTGGTTCGCGGGGAATTCTGTCGGAGGCATCATATCGTCACTCCTTGCCTATGGAATTGGTCACATTTCCGACAATATCCACCCGTGGCGTTGGATGTTCATCGTTCTAGGTGTTGCCACTTTCCTCCTGGGATTTGGAGTACTCTTCCTATTGCCCGATACTATTTCGAGTACCAAATTTCTAACTCCGGAAGAGCGACAGTGGGCGGGAGACCGAGTTGTGATAGCCGGTACAGGTCGCACGGAAAACGCGACGTGGAAATGGGAGCAGATGCGAGAGTGTCTGCAAGATCCCAAGACGTGGCTTATATGGTCCGTCGCACTACTCTGTCAGATCCCTAATGGTGGTACCCAGAACTTTGCAAACTTGGTTATTAAGTCATTCGGATTTACGTCACTTGAGTCGACACTTATTAATATCCCTTACTCCATTATTTCCGTCATAGCCATCTCCGGAACCGGGTGGATAGCCGGACGCTTCCGATCGATGAATTGTATTCTCGTCGGTCTTATTGTTATTCCACCAGTTGTCGGATCCGCGTTGATTGGGAGCCGAAGCTCGATTCCCCATGGAGTCTCCCTATTTGGGTATTTTCTTTTATCCACCGGACCGTCTGCGTTGCCTCTACTTTTGTCTCTTGTCCAGTCAAATTTTCGAGGTGTCACGAAGAAAATGACTATGACCGCATTGTTGTTTATTGCCTATTGCACTGGAAAGTACGTAATGATCCTATCAAGTATACTATTCCTCTTCGCCCTAATTTGCTACCACCAAGTTATGGGCTCTTTAGTTCTGTCTTTAGAGACTGCCTACTGACCTCCTTAGTATTATCGGCCCTCAATTGTTCATATCCAATGAAGAGCCTACGTATAGCACGGCGTTCCGTGCAATTATGATATGTTATGCTTTGGTGATATGCCTCATCGCGACCCTCAGAGTATATTTACAATTAGTCAATAAACGGAGACAACGAGAAGAAGGGATCCAAGGTAGCTCCGGAGCTTCTGGTGCTGTTGGTGGGGGCAAAGTAGTCGACATTGCCGACACACGTAATATGACTGAAGCAGTCAATGAGGTTCAACTAAGACCAGAAGACTACGAAGATACAACGGATTGGAACAGTTTTGGGTTTCGCTACAGACTCTAAAACAACTCAAATTCAGAGAACATGCGTCAATCAGAGAGTCGCTCGGAGTCTGGAGTTTCCTTGACATGCAATCTATTATAATATATAAGGCAACCTCAACTAATACCCAGCTTCCCAGCTTCCAATAATCATCGTCGTTAGTTCCTAATCCATACGAGTCTAAGTTCCAATAGAGAATATACGTTGGCGTAGCTTCGGACCTAATTTAAAGGATGCCTCGAGTGCTTCCTTCAATTGACACGGCATTTTCTCTTCTCTCCCCAACATTCCAACTCTTAATCGATTACATGAACGATAATCAATTATTACTTCAAATTACAGTACCATAATCTGCCACTAGAGACCTTAAACCACCAAAATGGGTAAATATGTAATCGGATCTCCTGAGGAGAAAGCCAAACGGGCTAACTTCGAGTTCCGTGGATCCTGTGTGAAAGCACCAAACGAGGAGAACATTAAGTTATTGCTCGGCGAAGAGTGGTGTAGCAACGACATCAATATTACACTCTTGTCAAATGATTCTCATGCTTATAACTATCTAATTACAAAACCTAAGGAAAATAAGCTTGCGAAAACTATCATACGAGTAATGCTACCGGTCGACCCCTATTTCAAAACGCAAGCCGAGGTCTCTACTATCGAATGGGTCCGACAGTATACGTCGCTACCGGTTCCCAGAGTCTTGATATTCGATCCAACTGGTACTACTCAGATTGGACTTGAGTGGGTTGTCCTAGAATGCTTTCAAGGCCAGATACTTCCTGTCGCGGCCGAAGCAGACGAAGTCAACTGGGCTATGGTAAGCAACGAGAAGAAGCGGTCATTGATACGACAGTTTGTGTCCTTCTACTCCGCGACATTCGACCACCAATTATCGGCAATTGGCAATCTATATATGGGCCGTGCGACCGGAGTCCAGGAAGAAGATGATAAAGTTGGTGTCATCGTCTCACCAGAGTTCTATATGACAGATAAACAAAATAACGATCATGGCCGTGGGCCATTTCGAAACAGTGCCGAATGGCTCAAGATACGCCTGGATATGAAGTACAAAAACTGCCTAGCCATCCTGAATGCAAACGCCGTTCTCAGAGCTAAACATATCATTGACCGCTTGAAGAGATTGAGAGAGAGGCTCTTTGATTCCACACTCTTCGAGCCCACCGTACTCACGAACTGTGACATAGGCCCGACGGACATCATGATGAATCACAATAGACTAGTCGGGGTAGTGAATTGGGAGCATACATCCGCTCTTCCACTGTGGAAAGGGTGCGAACTTCCCAAGTTCCTGCAAGGAATAACGCGTACCAAGGAACCTGATGAGAGAGACTATCTGGATGAACAGGGCGAATGGTTGGCTGGGGCCAGAGACGACTTCGCCAAGCATGTGCTACAATGGTCGCGAACAATGCTTCAAAAAATGTTCCTTGACGAGATGTCCCGGAAGTGTCCCCAGTGGATGGCTATTTATAATTCTCCAATTACTCGTCTAAGGAAGGACTATGACGTCGCCGTAAGCTCTTGTGATAACCCTGCTACCCAAGCTGCGATTGAGAAGTGGCTATATACTATAGAGTCGGGCTTGGAAAATATTCGACTTCAGAACCCGGGAAAGGCTCGTGCGGATATCTCGAGCCTAGGCTTCACCATTCGCAGCCTTCAGGATCGTATCTACGACAGCGCAAACGTATCCGATACAGCAAGACACCCCACCTCAGGGCCAGAATCACATATATGGAATCTATCATAATAGGAAAGGAAATCGTTTACAGACTAGACCTCTAACTATTATTGTATGAACTAGCATCTTTACAATATTCTCAGAGGCTAGCTCGCGAGAGATCCACGCTATATCGTAACCGCTCTTGAACCATCACACCAATCACCTAACATAGTCAAAAGTACGGTGAAGAGAGCCCCATGAGGAGGTTGGACCTTATTACTAACGGTATTATTGCTCGGAGGGGTCGAGTTGCATGCTTTCTTTGGGAGGATCCAAGACTAAGGTTCGAGAGAAGGTAGCCAATCAAGCAGCCATAGTTAATACTAAGCCAACCACCGCGTACCAAAAGAGCTTGATTTCCTGGATCTCGGATCTAGCAATTTACAGAGGAGCACGGAACCGACCCGAGTGCTGCATGTCTGCAATATCAAATGGCAATGCTGGTAATTATCATGACACTCTAGACTCCCGGAGCTGAAGTCTAGACTTAAGCTCACCCACGTCGCCTGACCTTGCCACAGTAGTCGGATCCCAAAAATAGCTTATTCAAATTGTATCACGATGGATTCCAAGGCACGGAATATGTCCAAAGCTCCACAAAGCTTCTCTACAATTATTATTTTTTCGGATACTGTGATAGTGTTCCCGGAGCCTTTTCTTTGCGATGCTACCACGTAAGCAGCTCAGGCTCCGGACGACGTTGTCGTTGCGAAGCTTGGCGGCGCTGACTCGACTTAGTCAACTATGAGAAATGTCACGATATGTCGTGTGTGTAACGGGGCGATTTGAAATATGACGCTTCTGCTTGGTCTATTCGTCAGCCACCGAGCCCTCCATTTTTTGTTTTGTCGTGGAGCCGATGGATGATGATGCATCGTCGGCCTGCAGGCACGAGGTTATCCCTACAACATGGGGGTGGTTTTTTTCTTCTTATGGGTTTTGCCCCCTGTAACCCCCGTAACCGACCCCTTGGTGTCCTTTTAGGAACGATGCTATTCGCTCTGCTATAATTAATGCGGGTAGAAAAGGGAGAGAAAAAAAGCTTCGTTTTGTTTTTTTTCCCTCGCTCGCCTCTATTCGCATTTACCCCAGCTTTGATAAACACCCCCCCGTAAACCACCCCCCTAGTCCGTCAATATACGGCTAAATAGATGGCGCGTTCTCAACGTCACCTTTCTGCTACCCCAGCCGTCATTTCCTCGGCCCTTGCTACTCCAATTGATGCCTGTTACGGCCTTCCGTTTTCCGAAACGAAGTGGCTGTTCGCGGGACGGAGGCTATTTTGTCAGCGCTGGGCCAAGACTCGACGCTGCTACCGTATGTAGAATGCTTTCAAATACGCAATTCGCAATTCCACGATGATCTTGCAGTTTGGACGGCTCAAAGCGTACTCTGTCCCCCTTTTCCTTAAGCCTTGCTGGCTGGTACCTAGGTAGGTAAGGTAGGCCTTGCGGGCCCCGGCCCGCACTCCTTGTTATATCACCGCGCATCATTCTACGACGTTGGGATCCACGGGGGTCGAAACTCGCTCACGTTATAATGAGCCGCTCAATGGGTATTTAATTGCTAGATGCCTGGAATATATCTTGTGCATGTGAACTCATTCCTATCTCTGTTGCTTCCAATAGTCTTCCTAGATCAGGAGTGGCTGCTTGATACCCACGTGTAATCTGTAAGCCCCCTATAGAACTATATATATATATCCTTATCTAACATGGTGCTCAGTAGTTATTCAAGGTCACGGTAGTAAAGTACTTGTCGAAACTCGTTTATTCAGCTTCGATAGCTAGTTCCCCGAAAGCTTCAAGCTAGGACGTCAAGATGCGTTGGAACTTAGGCTTAACATGCGCAGCTGCGCTATTCGGCTTCGGTGCGTACCTATTTTGAAGCACCTTGATGATATCTGAGGATTCAGACGTCAATGGATGTGAAGCGCATTGGTTAACATTTACGGCGGAGATTTGTTTACAGTATCCGAAGCCAGCGCCGATGTATTCCGTGATCCTGACACCGGGTTCTCGTTTTCTCAGAAGGACGTTGCTATCACGACGAACAATAACTTCATCACATTCCGTATCGCGATCCCAAGCCCAGCGCCTGCAGGCCAACCGTACGATGCCGTGATCCAGATCGTCGCTCCTGTCGCTGCTGGTTGGGTCGGCGCCGCCTGGGGTGGCTCCATGACGAACAACCCCTTACTTATCGGCTGGGCTAACGGTGCAAGCGGCGTGGTGTCTATGCGCCGAGCAACGTAAGTTGAATATTTCTTACCATGGACAATGCTATACTATATAATATATAGACTGCCCCCCTCTTTCCTATTAAAAGCCACCAAAAGACTAACCCATCATAGCTCCCACACCGCCCCAACGGCATACACAGGCGCCTCAGTGCAACTCCTCAAAAAGGGCACCAAGAGCAACGGCACGCACTGGCAAGTCACAGCCAAATGCACGGGCTGCACACAATTCACCACCACGGGCACCACCACCAAGACGCTCAACCCAGCCGGCAGCAACCGCCTAGCCTTCGCGTACTCCAAGACCAAGCCCAGCCAGCCCGGGTCCGACACCTCGACCATCAACGTGCACGACCTGTTCAACTACTGGGACCACGACTTCGCGTCCGCCGGCAACCCCGAGTTCCAGGACCTGGTCGACAGGAACTTGTGAGTTTGAGTTACCCACCTGTTAATTACCTACCTACCTAGCTCGAGTGGTGAGGAGGTATTTAAGGAGGGGGGGAGAAGAAGGGGGGGTCGGATTTTCTTAGAAAGAAACATGATGACGATGATGATGATGATGAGGAAAAGAAAAGAAAAGAAAATAAACTTATTTTATCTTTATCTCTTGAGAACCCCTTCTAACACCGTCTTTGCGTTAAGAAATTCTTCGCTTGCGTACGTACCCCCGCGAACCCCGAATCTGCGGAGAAAGGGCGGCGTTTTCGAGTAGTAGGGATGCGTGTTGTTATTTTTTATGTACTTTTTCCAATATGATAAACAAGCGTAGTTTAATCCTTACGCTGCAGATGGGGGGCTTCGTTGGGTACCTATGTGTCCTTAAGATAGGTGAGGAGGAGGAAATTTGAGATGGATATGGAGGCGCTTGAGTGAGTGATTTATTCTACCTGTCCTTTCCGCCGAGGATATCGTATTCAGTGTATATAAAATAGATTATCCGGATCTGGTCTCCCTCTTACTATGGGCTTCTATCTGAGAGAATGTAATAAGTTACCCTCAAGTTCTGTTCTGTCCCTTTAAAATATGACGTCTCAGTCTGAGGCTTAAATGTGTCCCAAAGACTCATTGGGTATTGTTGTATTGACTGCAGAATCGTTATGTCCAGTGACATTGTGCTCAAGGTATTTATAGTCTACCTAAAGTATTTATAGACGCATATACTTACATATGCGTCCCAGATAGTGGGAGTCTCACTCAACTCGTTTAGTATCTCCCAATATCACTTGCACACAGAATTTCCACAGCCAGTAAATTCAAAATTGAAAGTATAAATTACGTGAAATGATGTCGATGACAACGGCTACCGTCTAACATATTTAAACAATTTCAACAAAAACAAACAAACATTGACACCAACGCGCGTCCAAATGGATGTTTCTCTATCTCGCTAGTACACAGGGTAAATCCCACCGGCGAAGCCTCGTCTCCTCGACGATGCCATCTGGACCAAGATTAACTTATTCTGCTAATAGGATGATACCCTCTGTCTAGCAAGCTTCCCGCTGAAGCGATTGATTCCGTCTAAGCCTTGATAGCCATCTCGCCCATGGGGAGAGCCGCGAGCCCTAAGATTTGTTAGTTAAGACATTCTCTTATAATTTTCGCATTTTCGATAGAAGAGGGAGAAAAAAAAACTTACATCCGTCAACGTCTTCGGGAGATTGTTGCTCCTTGGTGCAAGCGCTGTACTGGTCGGGGGTCTGGGCGTGGATACCGGCGGTGGCGCAGTCGGTGTTGAGACCGCATGAGCCGATGTTGTCCATGGCCTTCTGGAGAGTGTCGCCCTCCCAGCCGAAGAGGTAGTCACCGTGAGCGGCAGGGCCACTATAAAGAGTTAGTTAGTTAATCAGGTACTTAGGTATACAATAACAGTCTTTTAAAACCGGGAGTTCCAGCTTACCCAAGGTTCATGGAGTAGACGTAAGGGTTGGAGCCGTCAGTGGGGAAGTCGGCGGCGTTGGCGAACTCGGTGACGTTCCACATCAGCTCGTACATGATCTGGGGGAGCTTGACGGGGTGCGTAGACGGGCAAGCACCGCCTCCGGTAGCGCCAGAGCCGGAGCTGTAGGCGACGTGGCTCTGGTGGTCGGGGCTGTCCAGGTTCTTTCCATCCCAGCATCTATAAAGCAGGTTAGCAAGTTTAAACGAGAAGTGAAAAAAGGCGCTTATTAACTTACGTAGGGAAGATGATGGTCTGTCGGATCATCTTGCAGCTCTTGGAGCTGGGGATGTCAACAGTGTCGGAGCCAGTGCAAGGAGCACCGCCGACGAAGGTGTTCTCGTTAGGCGACGTCCAGCATCGGTGGCAGATGTTTGACTTCTGGACTTTGCTGGGGTCGGTGTTGGCGGCGTTACCGGCCAACATACGGAAACCCTATTGTTTCGGTTAGGCAAGCTCTATTATTAAAGGGTCTTGTTGATTCTCTCATACCTTCTTGAAAGCGGTAGTCTTTCCGCTGGGAATGTAGTAAAGGTCGAGGCCACCCTTGTTAACAAGCTTTCCTTGCGGGCCACCGTTGCCGACCTGGGGGACGCGCTTGTAGGTTCCGTTCTTGGCCTTGTAGAACATGACGGCGGTCCAGTAGTTGGACTTGTCTTCCTTGAACGTGCACGATGTGCAGGTGGAGGAGGCCAGGTCGTGGACCTCGGGGTCCATGGTAACGTTCAAGGAGTTACCACCGACCAGCTGGTGAAGATGAGGAGTGTACTTCATGCCGGGGTTGACCAAGGGGTCGATTCGGTCAACGACCAACTGGGAGCATGCGAATCGCAGCATAGAGTTTCCAAACTGAGCGGCGGCATTCTGCGCTAGGAGCGCTGCAACAGCGACAGAAGTCAGCTGCATCGTGACTGATTTTTCACCTAAGACGTTGATCGATGAGGCCTTAAGGGGGGGTGGTGGTGTGAGAATGAGTGAGACGTTGAGCGAGCAACGATGATTTGCTGAGAAGAGGCAGCGAGATGCACGGTTGCAGAAGTAGAATCCGGGGATCTGAAATCTGGGGAAGTTCGCGATGCCCGTCGTACTTGTATGCTCCGTAAGATGGCTCTCTCTCTCTCTCTTTCTCTCTCTCGCTGACTTGCGCCTACGAACTGCCGAGCGCGAAGAACTCGTTCGAAGATTTCTTTTCCTTGGGCGCAACAAAACTATTGGCTAGGATCATTTCCCAACTTGATTGGCATCGATTTCCGCATTGGGGGTCAAGGGCAGCCATGGCTCCGTGTGTTGATTGATCCCTGAGCCTTGCTTTTCACCCCCTTCTGGCTGTATCGCATTTACCCGGTTATTTACACCTCCCAATTATAGAACCGCGATAAATGGCAACGTAGTAACAAGCCGCATCTATACTCGGAAATATGGGTCTAAACAAACTCGAATTCAATATTGGATGCGTCTTAGATGCGTCTTAGATGTCTCTTTGCCACCACTGAGAGCCGTATACTAACACGTGTAGTTTAGGATCGACCTGAATTAGGCTACCGAGCATCATCTTCCATATCGCCTCGCCTGTGGAGACGTACCCATGGTTCTAGGCACGATCGAGAACCTTCACCGTCAAAAGTCTGCTATTCTGGTTATCGGGTTAGATGTTCTGGCTTCCCCATTCTGTGATTAGCTCCATGATAGATCTCCCCACGCTGCTGTTGACGACTGATCGACAACCGTGGATAGCCCCATGGCCGAACGTGCGGCGAGGGTTACCAGGGTACACAAAGAGCACCCGCTCCTCACTATATCCGGTCGAAATCTCGGCCCTAATGTAGAGAGGAGGAAGCAGTGCCAAGACATATTATAGGCCCTGGTCCGGCATCCATACCACAGATATTATTGGGAGCATATGCTAGTGTCGTCATGCCCGAAGAGAAAATAGATTCAGTTGCCTGATTGATTCGCCCTGGCGGTAAGCATACTCATTGGTGGTACGCCTAGACATTTACATTAGTCCATGGCAATTGTCGTTGGTGCCTTGTGATGGGGCCGCGGGTACGTATGTGCGTATGTGACCTGTAAGATGAAACATGTAACCAACAAATACGTTGCTTCGATATTGCGGCTGCTTGTCACCGGCCTTCTGCCTCAGTCGAAACTCCCACGTAATGATTCGGTTAACTGTGCCGTAGGGCATACTCCTGAGCGAGGACCACCGTAGCGGAGAAAAAAAGGGGAATTCCAAATCATTCCGTCGTATAGGAGAAATGGAGCAACTCTCTTAGATGACTTTGCATCCATAGCTTCCCAAGCGAAAATACCAACTCGGATGAGACATGGCCCAAAGTAAGCCCGAGAGAATAAGATCGCCGATGAATGACTGTTGGGCAAGATAGATAGTTCATAGGTTAGTCTATTGAGTCACAATGTAGTCTATAGGACTGCTTCAATCCGGGTTGACGGAATAAGAGGCTCGTAATATTTGGAATACTCGAGAATAATCGTCGGTTAGATGGAATGATATTCCTGTTCCTACTTGTCATTCGAGTGAACTTGTTACCTCATCATAAAACATCTTGTTCCACAAAGAAAGGCTCACTTACCAACTTGACTCGTATATGCTCTGGGAATAAGACACGCAACTTGTTTATCGAGTCCCCCTATGGATAGCGGCGAATCATCAAGGTCGTCCACAAGAATTTCCGAGCCTGACCCACGCATCGATAGATTTCTCTTTCAAAGCCCGAGCTTAATTGAGTCACAAGGACACTTAAGAGTTCTTCATTACTGATAGTAATGAAAAATATGCCTTCCTATCGATTGTATACGTCAATAATTTCGGTCACTTCGGAGGGCATAAAGCAATACAGCCAATTAATAAAATAGGTAAGCTTAGGCCAGACAAGCCGGTCTGTCAAACTTTGTTCTCTAATTCCCCAAGACTGACGATACTCATGAATACTTATTCCATATTTGACATCATCGTCAAGAACTATACTCTATAATACCATTTTCTATCTCAACATTCGCTATATCTGGGTATCTAATAATAGCTGTTGTTTTTATTATTAGGTAGTCTAAGAATAAGATATAGCGTACCTGGGGATCCAACACGCTGGCTAGCGATTCTGCCAAAAACCTCGTTGGTGGCTATAGTTAGCCTTTCGGGCTGGGTATGCCATGTGAGTACCTAATGCGTTGTAACCGGGCCACCCGCGTATGATATGAAAATTGATTAATTTCGCTGGGAGTTAATATATAGGCGTTAATCTATAGAAGACGAGTAGTGGTGGGAGGAAATTTGTTATTAAGGAGTAAGAACATATTAATAATATATGCGATCAATGACAAATAACTTAAATTATGTTTTGCATGTCTTCATCTACGTTACAGATTCTCCGTATCTGTTCGATGACAGTTAAGCAAAATCTATCACAAGTCGAGTGAAGTCAGTATAGTCTTGCACAATCCCCTCGCGATATCGCGACAATGATCCAACCCCATGGGGACTCCGCGGGGTTTCGCTAAATCAACAACCGAGACCAACCAGCCTGCCAGTCCAATCATATTCGAGACCTGGCATACCTATCTCTGGATTCAGAACCAGGTCGCTATCATCATGCTTGCAGCAGATCTCGGGAGATGCCTAAAACTGTCGGAATGCGACCTTGCCACGATCGGGTTGCCGATCAGGCGGGTGAGGTGAGGACGGACCTGAGGGCCGGGCGCGGAAAATACCTAACCATCTACCTATTCTGCTGGATTAGCAATTCTGATGTAAGAATTTTACGGCGAAAAGCACGAAATTAGAATGGCCATGATAAGGGGTAATAGCATTCTCGCAGGCCTCTTCTTTCATGTGACGGTCTTCACCGCAGGATGCATTGGACAACGGTTAGGACCGTCTGGATCGCAGGTATGGCGCTTTTTCATGCATTTACCACAGAAGTTCACTCCTATAAAATTAGTACAGGAGTGTAACATATCCTTATGCCACTCAGGGGCGGGAATCATTGTAGAACTAATACTGTAAAAGTCTATCCCGCTTGACCTGTCGCCATTCTACAACAATAAAGCATTTGGCACATATCCCGGGGAGGCTTCTTTCGACACTCTAGGCCAATCTTATCCGGTGCCGGATCTAGATGAGCCCTACTATATCTCAAGCGATACAAGCATAGTATACTCGTTTCCGGGATATACCGGACCTAGCAAGCCTGACAATATCATATGCGATAGCCAAGCTATAACTGTACCCCCCGGGTCGTACTTCTCAGCCTCGTTCCTAGTCTCCGAAGACAAGGAAGGGGAAATAGTTTCTGGAAATGTGACCTTTACGTATACCGACAACAGCACGTCGGTGTATGAACTGCGCTCTCTGGACTGGTATAGCTTCTTGACTATTAACCGCGGAGAACTGATATTCCCTAATCGCTTTACCGCGACCGGCGTGGATTACAACACCAGCCATATATTTGAGCGAACTGCGCATTTGGACCCCGGAAAGCAACTTCGCGGCGTCACGTTACCGGAAGCAACCAGCGCTGACGATGGCCGATTACATGTATTCGCCATTTCTCTGTGGAAATCCACTGCGGGAGTAGACGTGCAATCTATCCGTCCAACTCAAAAATGGCTTAGCAGCGGTTCGCAAGCAGTTGAAGTCACGGTTAACAATGCCGGACTCGATTGCGTTGCAGGAGATGGATTAACTCTATCAATATCTGGTGAACCCCTTCGAACCACCGAAAAAGGGCATCTTAAGCGGCTATGCCCAGGAGACCAGAAGATCGTGACAATCGGTGTAGAATCCAACTCCACCAAACCACTCAATGTCTCAGTAATCATTAACGACGGCGTTGCTCAACGGTCCCTTGAATTCGAGAATATCCAATTTGGTCTAACCGAATGGACCACCGACCTAGACAACCTCGCAAGACACGAAAGCCCAGAATGGTTCAACAATGCCAAATACGGGATATTCATCCACTGGGGGCCATATTCCGTAACAGGATGGGGCAACTCATCGCCGCACGAGAGCTACGCGGAATGGTTCTGGTAAGAAACCCCCCCCCCATGAATCCCTCCATTAGGTATGTAAGCACAGCTTCTAACCAAGACACTCAGGTGGTACTCAACGCACCACCCCCAATCCGACCCCTCCGACTTCTACAACTACCGCCTGCGCACCTACGGCAAAGACTGGGCCTACGACGACACCTTCGCCAACTTCACCGCGTCCAACTACGACCCGAAAGCATGGGTCGACCTGATCGCCTCCGCCGGAGCCAAGTACTTCGTCCTAACCTCCAAGCACCACGACGGCTTCGCGCTCTTCGACACCGGCGACACCAGCAACCGCTCCGCGCTACACCACGGTCCGCAGCGGGACTTACTCGGCGAGCTCTTCGACGCCGCGGCGCAGCACCAACCGCACCTCAAGCGCGGCACGTACTTCTCGCTGCCGGAGTGGTTCAACCCGTCGTACGGCCCCTACGGCATCGACACCTGGCCCGGCATCCTCGCCGCGAACCCGTACACCGGCGTTCCGGAGGCGTACACCGGCCACACGCCCGTATCCGACTTCCTCTCGGACGTCATGCTGCCGCAGATGGAAGCCCTAGCATATACCTACGGCACCGACATCCTGTGGTGCGACTGCGGCGCGGCCAACGCCACCGCCGCCTTCGCCGCGCCCTGGTACAACGCCGCGCGCGCCGCCAACCGCCAAGTCACGACCAACAGCCGCTGCGGCGTCCCGCAAGCCGCCGACTTCGACACCCCCGAATACCAGCAATTCGCGTCCGCGCAGCGGCGCAAGTGGGAAAGCAACCGCGGCTTGGACCCCTACAGCTACGGGTACAACCGGGCTACGCCCGACTCGGCGTACATGAACGCCAGCAGTATAATATACACGCTCGTCGACATCGTGTCGAAGAACGGCAATCTGCTGCTGGATATCGGGCCTCGGGCGGATGGGACGCTGGTACAGGCCGAGGTGGATTCGTTGCTGGAAGCTGGGAGGTGGATTAGCGGGCATGGCGAGGCGATATATGATACGACGTATTGGTTTGTGCAGAGCGAGGTTGCTGGGGGGGCGGATGTTAGGTTTACGCAGACGGATGAGGCGTTTTATATGCTTTTCTTGGAACGGCCGGTGCTTGAAGACGGCGTTGTTGATATTGCGGCGCCGGTGCCGGTGGTGGAAGGCGATGAGGTGAGTTTGCTGACCGTTGAGGGTGGTGAGAGCTTAACATGGAGAGTGATGGGGCACGGTAGCGGGACGATACTTAAGATCGAGGTTACTGAGACACTGTTGGATAAAGAGGAGTACTGCTGGGTGTTTAAGATCAAGTATACATGATAACGCCATAGTCTATACCAGTTTAGAAACTACCTGTCTATGCTAAGATGCTATAATCCGAACATGCGTTCGTTTGGGTATTGAAAAGGATGCAATCTACTAAAATCAGCGAACGCCATAGTTGGTCCTAAATAACAATCGTTGTCTCCGAAACTCATTTCTATTCGAACAATATCATGACTCTTCGTTATTCCATCGTCATCCTTCTTAGATCCCTAGGAAGATCAGGTGGACTCTTTCCATTCCGGTATTGCCACAATCGACTTAGATCCTTCACTCTGACCTTTCCGTCGTCAATCTCGTCTTTATTTTCGTAAAAGCTGCCGTGTACTACAACTTCGCCCTGAGCAATACCCCCCTTTCGTCCAGCAAGCTCGATCAAGGACCAGCTATTCTCGACAGCTTCGCGCAGGTCATCCTTTTCTGTGCCCTTTTCAGCCACTTCTATAACGCTGCTCATAAAATCATTGCGGTCAGCACAGCCCATAAATTCCCCCTTGGCATCTCGTTTGAGCGGAAACATCCCGTTCAGATAATGCTGGGAGAACTGATGTCCGCCCCGCGGAGAAGTGTGTTTGAAAACACGTCCAATATATCGAGGCATTTCCGGAGATGCGCGCTCATTTGTTACGAAATGAAGAATTCCCCATAGAGCGACAAAATCGGTCGTATGGGCGTAATGCTCGACGTGAGCAATCGCGCGATCGGATGCCGGCACGGTATAAGCCGTCGCATGCGAGGCGCTTGACTCTTTTGAGAGCGAGGTGAGCGTCGGGACCCGTCTATTGACATCAAACGAAGCTCCACTACCGTTTGACGGTCTCCTCCTCAACGATAATGACTGGGCCTCTACTGGAGAGTCGGTGAGCGGAATTTCGGCAATGTTGGTGTGGATCTGACTGCCTTCTTTTGAACTTTTCTTTTCCATATCCAGAGAGAGGATATGTCGATGCGGATTATTAAAATGATTAGAGGCATTCCCAAAGGTATATACCTCGAGCTTCGATAAGAGATTTTGTGGTAACTCTTGAAGTAGCCAGTCAAGGACTAAACCGCCTTCTATTCCACCCTGTGAGTGCAAGATGAAAACCACTTTGGTGTATTGTGGGTTATATAGCTTTTCCCTGATAATCTTATAAGCTGCACGAATGTCGCTTGTAGCGTATCCGAAATTACGTTGTACTAGACACTCGACAACGTCAAATATGATACCCGTAGTCCGGTTGTGAACACCAATAACTGGTCTCTTGAAAGTGAGAGCCAAGCGATTGATATTGCTCTTAAGCCAAGCTTCTCTAGTTCTTGGGGTTAGCGAAAAATGTCACACACACCGGATTGTCATGGGGTCACACATACCCGACAGCAACGCCATTTAGGAAAATCCATTGCTCATGCGCATGCTCTTCTAGAGCTGGTGCATATTTCGGATCCGAAGTGAAGGTAATAGTTTTACCATTTAAACCGAGACATAAAAGCCAGTTTAAAGTAAAGAAGGCCGCCAATCCTACTGCCACCATCCAGACCGGAAATAAGACAGCCAAAGGCAGCGTTAATATGAATAACAACTGAAGGACCACAAGAATCGCATGAATGATCATACACCATATATTCTCCCAAGTAAACGAAAGCTCGTCAAAATGTTCTCCGTCGCAGGGTCGAAGAGGCCAAATTACCCAAGGTAAAGCCCAAGCAAAGGTGAAGAAGTATCTCACATCCCACATCATCAACCGCCAAGGCATATCGGTATAGCTATAGTTAATAACGGACTCGCCGCCGACCTGCGAGCCGACAAACTCTGTGCGATCCATGATGGGTCCTGATTTCGCTCCATTTGATTTCGTGAAGATTTTTGAAAAGTAGAGAAGACCACCAACCATAGCAACGAGAACGGTGCCAAAGTAGACAGAAAAATCCATAGAAGAAAAGAGTGACTCCGGATGGGGAGTGCAGCATTCTTTTATAACTCCCAGGATGCCCATATTCGTATCTTTTCAGCTACACTAACTAAGCCTTGCCCCCCAAACGTCGGTAGCACAGGGAAGAGATAAAGTGCAAGGTAGTACCCATGGTGTCGGCAACGGCACGAAGTGGCTACTAGACCGTGACATCGTGGCTAAGGCCCTAGGTAGCGACATCTTACAGGGCTGATGAACTTCGCTTCTTGGCGTCCATAATTATAATTATAACCAATAAGCAGTAGTATACGATTTTGTGAGTTGGTCATAATTCGGGTCATCTGAGCTCAGACGCTGGAGCATTTTGAGTTGTGGAGGGTTGGAGACATAAAATAAGAGGGAGTTCTTCTATAAAGGTGCCCATTCTATTCTTACTAGGCTCTTGATTCGTTAACAATCCCGAGGGGCTGTAATTAAGCTCTATGTTAAGTGCCTAAACTTTTACTCATAGCAGGCAGCCACTACTATAAAATCTAAGGCTTAGGGATGTGTTACAAAGTTAGGTCGCACTACATGGACAAACGAAGTGCCATGTGACTCGTTTCGGCCCGTGCAGTATTAGCGCTACTACTCAGTTAGGTAGGTGCCCTACGTATGTAGGTCTCTATGTAAGTCTCTAAGCTTAGCTTGTGGTTACGTCAATTCTCTTTCGTCAACTTCAAACTGACTTGTTTAATCTCTTGACTCGTATCTCTCGACTTGTAAAATTCAACCGAAGCAAAGTCGACATAAACTCGGAGAAATGGACGAGATAATTGAAGAGCCGCAGATTACCTCACCGGGGACCTCGGTCGCAACACCGAAGGTTCTCATCATGATGGCCGACTATGGTCATGACCCCACGGGTACGCCACCTTTGAGATATCTATATCTTGCGCATGCATAGTTCGATCTCTCACTAAACCCTTTAGAAACCGCCGTACCTTACACCGCATTCAAGAACGCAGGCTATAAAGTCCAGTTCGCGACCGAGAACGGAAATCATCCGCGATGCGACAAGAAAATGCTGGAGGGGTTTACTCAAAAGCTACTCGTACGCCATGACGGCTCGTGACGACTTACCAGACGTTTGAGCTAGCTATCCTAATATCCTAGCAGGGCGCAAACAAGGAGGTTGTCCACCTGTACAAGAAGATGGCTGTGAGCGACGAGATGCGCCATCCGCTATCATGGTCTACTCCTGGCTTCTCCCTCGATCCCTTTGATCTCGTCGTCTTCCCAGGCGGTCACGACAAGGGAATGAGGCAGATCATCGAGTCACCTATCGTGCATAAACTTGTAGTAGACTATTTCCCCAAGACTAAGAAGCCGAGTAAGAAGGTTATTGCTGCCGTGTGCCATGGCGTCATGGTACTATCCGAGTCGAAAGATGCCAATGGCAACAGTGTTATACGAGATTGCATCACGACAGCATTGCCAGCGAAATTCGAACAAGCCGCATACTGGAGTACCAGGGCAGTCCTCGGTGATTACTATAAGACGTATGGCCATGGAAGCGAAGACGTTGAGCAATCAGTATGAAAACCAATCCTCTACGAAATGGCGTCGACGTAAATACCTATCTAACTAAATCAATCAATTCGCAGATTAAAAAGGTTCTTGCCGACCCAGCCCAGTTCAAGGCCAGCTTAAACCCCGGCCCGTAAGTTTTCATTCGACTCTCAATCTTTAAGGCTATAATCATATCATAGCCTAGTCTTTTTCGCTCACTGTTTGTTTCTAGGTTTACTGTTGAGGATGAGCAGTACAATTACATCAGTGCTCGGTATCCTGGCGACGCGGAACTATTCGCTGAGGAGATCATCAAGCTCTTTGAGAGCTTCCATAAGATTGTGTAGATGCTCATATTACTGCGTTAGCGCGGTCTCGTAATACCAGATTGTCGATACCCTTTTCAGCGGATATATAAGAGTTATATTTCACGAGAATGACCTAGCTACATATATGTAATTTAATACACTAATCCTCTAGGATTGAGTTGATTGCTTTATCAACACTCAATGCTATCACTTCCGGTGCGCGCTCTTCATCCAGGCGGTCTATCCAACCTTTGCCAGATCGGTCGATATATGCTGCTTTTAGCCCAGCCGCCCTTGAACCGACGATATCGAACGGGTTGGCGCTTACAACCCAAACATCACTTTCTTTCCCCTGTTTTCCAGCTTGTTCGACTAGATGCTCATACGTCCTCCTATCCGGTTTGAAGCACTTTAAGCTGTCAGCCGTAATTATCGATTTAAACCTCTCTGCGTGCGGTCCTAGGTCTGGCGAGGTCTTGATCGAATTTCCAACCATCTCATCAGTGCCATTAGAAAAGACGTAGGCTTCCACCGAATCTTTATTATTTTCCAAAAGCCTCAGCGCAGCGGGAATATCGAGGAAGACAGGTAATGCGTCATACGACTTCATAAGGGTGTCCGCGTCGTTCTCCGAGAGTGTTAACCTATACTCTGCCACTGCGTGACTTAACGCATTGCGCGTTATCTGGCTGAATGACTTATATTGACCTAATACCCCTAGTTAGAGAATATTCGGCGTCGCTGTCAAGACTTAAACGAAACAGCCCTACCCATGCTATTAATCCTCCATGTATATTCCAGCTGGTACCGCCGCCACGATGCAGCTAATTGTTTAGCATTCCTCTCATTGTAGATCTTAGCTAGCGTGCGATTTATCGACCTGGTGGACAGTAGCGTCCCGTATAAGTCAAACGCGATAACTTTCTTGCTAGCCGCCATTTAGAACCGTAAAGTTTCCCGAGGAATGAGTCAATTGGCGAAAGAAGACGGCGCTATTATCCCAAATATTCGCGCGAGGTTTGTTGATGAGATCTCATACAATTTGTCATCGTCATGAGTTGACATGGGTTATACATTCGCCGATTTATGCGGGGTAGCTAGATACTTGATTGGGATAGGTATGTTTATTATATCTTCATAGGTATTCATTAATTCGAAGTAAGTATAGGAGTTAATCAGTTAGACATCGCAGTGTGTATACTTCGGTTTCACTATACTAGGATTCTCTTATACCACTTATATAGATAGGTACCTATGTATTTCTATTCTATAATTTATTACACATGTATACAGATCTCGGGCTGATAAGTACAACATACCGATTAAGCTCAAATAAAATGTCAAAATGACATCACTACCAGAAAACCAGCAAAGAAACTACGCGATCTTCCGGGACTATCTCTCAACCGCACTTATAGAAAAGATCTCACGTCCCGAGCCAAAACCAAAACGGAGATCCAAGTCCAAGAAAGCCACTTCTTCTTCTTCTTCTCCAAAGTCAACGCAAGACACCTCCTCAGACGCAGACCTCAACAACGCAGACGATTTAGCCGATTTTGCAGACTACATCGCCACCGAGACCTTCCGCGCCCTCCCCGAACAACTCAAAACCGTCGATTACCACGAATACACCCAAGACGCGACGCTCCAAGCCCGCTTCGCCCAGCGCCTGCCTCTCACCGGCGCCTCCACCCCCACCATCCTGCCTACCCTCGACCCCACCGTCGCCGACTCCCTCTCCGCGTACAGCATAACCAGCGAGTCCACGCAAGGCGCCGACGAATTCCTCGCCCCGATCCTAACCGCGTTCCTGACCGCCCTCGGGACTGCTCCCCGCGCCCCCCGCGCCACCCTCCCCGACGCAGACGGGTGCGAGCTCTGCGGGCGCGACTGGGTCCCGCTGTCGTACCACCACTTGATCCCGCGGTTCGTGCACGGCAAGGCGGTTAAGCGTAAGTGGCATCGGGCGGCGGACCTGGAGAATGTGGCGTGGCTGTGCGGGGCGTGTCATCGCTTCGTGCACCGGTTTGCGGGGCACGAGGAGTTGGCGCGGCGGTATTATACGGTGGAGTTGCTGATGGGGGAGGAGGCGGTTAGGAGGTGGGTGGAGTGGGTGGGGAGGTTGAGGTGGAAGGGGCGGTGATTTATGGCTGGGGAGGATGGGTTGGGATGTTGTGAGGTATGTTGTATGGGGGAGCTATGAGTAGTAAGTGGGATGCTTTGTTGTATATATGGTAGTGATGATGATGATGATGGTGCTGTTGCTAGGGGCTCGTCAAGATCTTGATGGGGGCCGGGGTGAAGGTAGAAGTAGGATCTGGTCTACGGCTTGTATATAATAGCTTCGATCGCTGAACATATCCAATATATTACTTTATAATAAAGAAAAATGCATTTATAGTCGTGGCGAAATAAGATTCGAGAAGTTAGAGTAATGGGATATATATGATATACTTGCTACTCGGGCAATATTGAATACTTATACGGCATACACGTAGCCTAGATGATATATTAAGAGAAAGCTTACCTTAATCGCGCTTAATTACTTACCCTCACCCGTAAAATTATGGTATCATCTACGATGTGATTATCCCCGTACTGGCATACTACGACCTACGTAGATACCGGGAACACATCTTGAAAAAGAGACCCTATAGCACCATATAAGACCAAAAATAGCCAGATAAACTTCATGAATAATTATCTGATCACCACCTCTTCGGTGCTTCCGCAGTACCCGACGAAAACGTCCGACTCATAACATTCGCTCTCGATCTCTCCTTCTCAAGCCTCGCCAGCCCTGTCCTATCCGTGACGGGCGTAGCGTCGATAATATCGTCGAAAGCATCATCTCCTTCGTTATCCGATCCGTTATCCGAGTCCGGTTCCGCGTCGGAGTCGACTTTATATCTTTGCTGTTGGAGAGGGGGCGGTATTGCCTGCGGCTTCGGCTTTCGGTCCGTCTCATCTGCATTGGCAAACGGCTTTGACGCGAGGACCTTGCGTCGGATCTCCTCCATTTCAGCATCGTCGTCGGTGTCGTCTGAAATATCAAACGGGTCCCTACTAGTCCCTCCCTCTTGCTCATCCTTTGCGCCTTCCCCTAGTTTTGGCCATTGAGTCGGCTTCTTACCTAGATATATCCCATTGACACTATCGTTATCTCCGTCTTCACCTTCTTCCTCGTCATCATCGCCTTCCTCTTCATCCGAGTCGTCCGAGTCAACGATAACCCGCCGATTAACGTTGCCACCTTTCCATAAATCGTCGTCGTCAGCATTCTCTCTGCTTTCGGCGTGTTCCCGCTCTAATCTTTCCATCCATTCCTTTTCGGTCTTCACGATCTCGTCCTCGTCTGCGCAAGCTGCATATTTCTTCAACAGCTTCGAGTTGATAGCCAGAAAAGATTCGCCATAGTTGAATGGTCGTAGAACCTCCTCCGCCCAATCGGAATGTCCACATATGTAAAATGAAGCAGCCAGGGCCTCTACGCAGTTTAATCGTAAAGGCTTTCCGTAATTGACGGTATTTGCAGCGACTAAGTATGGCAGCAGGCGCTCGCATTTGCCGCCAACCTTGTTCCATTGAACTTCCTGCGTTCGCGCCCAAGAGCACTCTACTACTGCGGCGCCGTACTGGTCCATGAGCTCCTTGTCGGCGGGAGAGAGCTTGTGCTTTCCGTTAGGTGTGATAATGACACCATTATGTCTTTGGCCTAGGTGAAGGTCTCGCATGAGGCCGAGTCGTATTAATTTCTTCCCTGAGCATCGTTTCGGATCGCAATGATTCAAATCCCAACAAGCAGCTTTAAATGCAGGTTTAGAAGAATCTGATCCCTGTTCGGGATCCTCTTCGGTAGTGCGCGGTCGAGGTCGGGCGTTTCCATGACCTTTTCCACCTCGAGATGAGAATTTGTCTTTCTTGTGGCGAACCATGTCTTTGTGATAGTTGCTTTTAGAATAATAGCGGGAAGTAGATGGGTAATAATCGTGTATTGTAGTCTCGTAGTGTATGGACACGGACTATGAAATTCTTCGAAATGATGTTGAATGACGAAGCGTGGGGCAGATATCTACCCTGGACCCCGAAATTGAACCTGGCTCTTGGCGGGGTTTACAGGAGTGGATCCGTGAATTGGATGTGGATCTAAAATACCTATACATATACAACGGATAAACGTGATAGTCCGGCCGTACCTTTTTCTCGGGTTAGGTACGGAAAGATACAATTCTACAGGTACCTAAGGTTCCTTCGTCTTCTTCGCCGCCGCGCTGCCACAGCTCTGTGCCACAAGCCAAGGATAAACCAAGGTTCAAATGGGAAGTGGGATGCGACTCGGAAGTTTATAGCCAGCGCTTCCAATTACATAGGTGGGTTTAATGAATTTAGTGAGTTTAGTTTAATGGACGCCGCATTAACACCGTAACATCTTAACTTAAGCATCTTAGTGAATGAACCCTTTTTGAGCTTCATCACTCAGCAAAACATCATCGTTGCCAATGAATAAAAATACCAATCGTCGATCTCGCGCCAACTTATATCTATGGATGAGCTTATGGCCTTAAGCGCATTACAATAAACCCAATTATATCGTCTTATATCAGTTCCCGCTTGTGATAACCCCGATTTGAACCCGTCAAGATGGAGGCCGCCTCCGCTCGAGCGGCAGCCAGAGATCGTTGGAGCGAGATGGGTTTCCCGAGACCATCTCAGCTTCAACGATTTATAGCGAGCGCCTGCAGTCCCGAGAACTACGAACCGAACCTTGCGCTAAACCTCGAAATCTCAGATCTGATTAATAGCAAGAAAGGCAGCGCTCCACGCGAGGCAGCAGTCGCTATAGTCAACTATATCAACTCCCGCAATCCGAACGTTAGCCTCCTAGCCATCAGCCTTCTTGATATCTGCGTCAAAAACTGCGGATACCCCTTTCATCTTCAGATCAGTACTAAGGAATTCTTGAACGAGCTTGTGAGAAGGTTTCCCGAGAGGCCTCCTATCCGTTATACCAAAGTCCAATCTAAGATCTTGGAAGCTATTGAAGAATGGAGGAGCACGATATGCGAAACCAGCCGGTACAAGGAAGACTTGGGCTTCATTCGGGATATGCACCGTTTGTTAAGTTACAAAGGCTACCATTTTCCAGAGGTCCGGAGGGATGATGCTGCCGTCTTGAATCCGAGTGACGTGAGTAGACCACGACACATTTTTGTTGTGTCGACTGATCTAGCTAACCATCTTAGAATCTTAAATCGGCCGAGGAAATGGAGGAAGAAGAGCGAGAAGCACAATCCGCCAAGCTACAAGAACTAATACGGAGAGGCGCCCCAGAAGACTTACAAGAAGCAAACCGACTTATGAAGATTATGGCCGGCTACGACACGAGGTCCAAGACAGACTATCGCGCAAAGGCAGCTGAGGAAGTTGGCAAGATCCAAGCCAAGGCACGCCTGTTGGAGGAAAGGTTAGCAGCGTTCAAACCGGGCGATTCTATGAAGGATGGCGACGTCTTCGAAGAATTAGCTTCGTCGCTCCAAAGCGCGCAGCCCAAGATCCAGAAGATGTGCGAAGAGGAGTCCGATGACCACGAGGCAGTAGCAAAGTTGTTCGAGATTAACGACAGTATACACAGGACAGTCGAACGGTGGAAGCTCCTCAAGAAGGGCGATATAGAAGGCGCTAACAAGATAGCCGCGGGCGCACCCATCGCCATACCATCCGCGGCAGCTGGAAAGTCTACGTCGGCCGCAGGCGAGCTGTCGTTAATCGACTTTGATGGGGATGCTGCAGCGAATGGTTCTGGCAACAATGCTGCCGGATCGAGCTCGCAAGCTGGCGATCTCGAGAACGATCTTTTAGGTCTCTCCCTAGGAGGTAACAGTGGCAGTTTCGGCCAAGGTGGTGGAATATCACTTGGATTTGGGACAAATCAGAGTATGTCAGATGTACTTTCTATTAAAATAAAGGGTATCGCTAATCTTCATCTAGATGTTCCCGGGCCTGCTTTGCTATCATCAGTAACCCAAAATAACAGCGCAAGAGCGTCATCCCCTACTCCTCCACCCTTTTCTCCCTTTTCAGGATTTACGTCGAATCCCGCGGGATCCCAGTCTAACACTCCGCAACTAAATCTATCGCAACAATCTTCATTCTCCAGACCACCACCCCAGAAGGCACCGGCTGCCAGCGATCCTTTCGCAGCTCTCGCTTCTCCCCAGTTCTCATCTAAGCCAGCTACCCCCAAACCTGCAGCGCCTCCTGCGACAGCTGACGATGATGAATGGTCATTTTCTTCCGCGTTACCGCTCGAACCTTCTCTTCCTAAAGAACTTCGAGTAGATGTCAAGGACGGACCCTTGCAAATCCATCTCAACGCAGCGAGATCACGGACGCCAAGCGCCCTTTTGCTGGTTTTCCTCTTCTCCAACACCACCGCCGCGCCTATAAGCAATCTTCACTTCCAATTAGCCGTAACAAAGGTAAATTAGCTTCCATTGCCCCTATTTCAATAAAAAAAGGCAGCTAACAATCTCAGGGCTTTGAACTCCAGCTCCAACCGCAGACGGGCCGCGCCCTGCAGCCCAGGCAGACGGATGGCGTGTCCCAGTCTGTCGAGGTGTTCCACGCGGGAGACCGGGCTAAAAAGGTCGACAGCATCAAGCTCAGGTGGCGCGTTAGCTACACGCTGGGCGCTGATAATAAGGCCGAGATGGGCGAGATACCCGAGTTTAGCATTGCATGAGTTGGTGGATATGATTCAGCGGCGATGAGGATTGTTGGTTGGGGGGATATGGGGTATGGAGGAGAGAGAGTGTGTGTGTGTAGGAAGAAGTGCAAATGCAAGTCGGAGTGGAATGGAAATAAATGTGGGGTTAATAGTAGATTCGAATGAACAATTCCGCGTTGACGCCCCTTCTACGTATTATTCTACGTTTTCTTCTCTGCGTCTTTACTTAACTTGGTGGATCATACGGCACGTAGATAGGTAGGTAGGTTGACCCATAGCCTTAGCTCTTCGAGACTTCGGGTACTCCGTTGCTGGCTCTATTCTCTACGCCATCGCCGCCCTCGTTATAGAGGAAGAGTACCTAACCTAACTCACATCCCGTTTCTATTGCTCGATTAACCAACCTACCAAACTCTAGATCAGACGACTGGAAAATGATACTTTACTTCATAGAAGTGTGTAGTTACCAAATGTAAAGAAATTCTACGTCTACCAATCACAGGATTAACTTGTATCAAAATCAAAGTCAAAGTCAAGACCTCCTAAAACTAACTAGAAGAATACCTAGTTAACATAAGTTACTTGTAACTATATAGCATTCCACATTTCATCAAGGCCATCTATTGTGAAGAGTTGACTGGTGTATATATATACACGACAATACCACGTATAAGATCTATATGTACAAGACAAGGCATCCGAGTGGGTAATATCCGAATACGCGCTCCTCAGTCCAGTAGGTCTATACGCAAACCCAGGGTGCGGCCGACACCATCGTCCCTTATCATCCTATCTATATGCTCTTTTCTTCTACCGATGCATATAAATATATATATGAACGTGACCAGCCTCCGATATGCAGTGCACCGTCTATCCATGTTCATATACACCCATATCATACATACAAGTCGTTCTATAGTCTACTTCCAAGGTTAGGTAGTTAACCCACTCTCTCTCTCTCATGCAACCTCCCTCTTCCCCCCTAATAATCGTCGCTATAGCCGACTAAGTTAACCCACCTACAAGCTGCGCTCAGTCCTAACTTCCTCATAAGCCTGAATCTGGTCGCCGACCTGGAAGTCCTGGAACTCGTCGAAGCCGATACCGCACTCGGTGCCCCTGCGCACCTCCGCCACGTCCTTCTTGAGATGCTTTAGGGTTTCGAGTTTGCCTACGTGGGGCGTTAGTACAATAACTGAAAGAAAGGTATATATCCACATGAAAAGAACTGAGAGGAGATATTGAAGGAAAAGGGTTAGAAAAGGAGAGGACTCACCGCCATAGATCTTCTTCCCACCCCTGATAATACGGAAGAGATTATTCCTCGCCACCTGCCCGTTGCGCACCCTACACCCGGCAATATTCTTATACGTGCGTCCCTTAATATTAATCGGGAAGACTTGCAGCACCTCCGCTTCGCCTAGCACGCGGCTAGTGATCTCAGGCTCTAGATACTTGCTTAGAGTGGCCTTGACATCGTCCACTAGGTGATAAATAACGGTATGATCCATGATCTTCACGCCCTTCTCCTCCGCCATCTGTTCGATGTATCCCGGCGTCGTCGTTGCGAAGTTAACAATCACCGAACTCGATGCTGCCGCGTGCTCTACATCGAACTCGCGGATGGGACCCGTGCCTGACCGTAGGATCCGCGGTTGCACCTCGTGATTGCCTAGTTCCTGGATCGCGGCGCATACTGCTTCCACGGAGCCGTGGAGATCGCCCTTGACTACGAAGTTGATTATCTTCGGGCCGTTATCTTCTTCGGGTAGGGGTTCGACAACCGCTTCGTCGGCTGCGGCAGCCTTCTCGCGAGCACGTTTTTCTTGGAGTGCTTTGCGAGCCTCAGATATACCTGCCTGAGCAACGGCGTCCTTCTCCCGCTCGAGAAGACCCTCCCGGTACTCTACCGCTATTTTAGCGCGGCCCTCGTCGGGTGACTGGAGAACTTGGTCGCCTGCAGCAGGAAGATCTTTCCAACCTAAGATTTCGACCGGAGTGCCAGGCGGCGCCTCGTCTATTTCGAGACCAGCCTCGTTACGCAGGTGTCGGATCTTTGCCCACGTGATACCAGCAGCAATATAGTCGCCCGGTCTCAGAGTACCTCGCTTAACGAGAACGGTGGCGGCTTTCCCTAAGGGCTTAAGGCTACTCTCGAGAACCCAACCTTCTGCAGGACCGTCGATTTCAGCTCGATGGTCCAAGATTTCAGAGAGCAGAAGGATGTTCTCTTCCAAGTCTTCCATACCCTGGCCCGTCTTGCCACTCACGCAGACAACCTGGACGTCTCCACCAAAGTCTTCAATCTCGACTCCTTCACGCGCAAGATCATGCTTAACCTGATCTATACGGGCACCATCCGTATCAATTTTGCTTATAGCCACAATCATCGGCACCTTGGCCGCGCGTGCATGTTTAATAGCCTCAATAGTCTGCGGCTTAACACTGTCGTCCGCGGCTACGACTAAGACGACAATGTCCGTCACGTAGGCACCTCGTTGACGCATCGTAAGGAAAGCAGCGTGTCCGGGGGTGTCAAGAAAGGTGATGGGCATGCCAGAGGAGAGCTTCACAGAGAAGGCACCGATTCGCTGCGTGATACCGCCGTGCTCCTGAGCTGCTATAGATGATTTGCGCAGATAATCAAGCAAGGTCGTTTTTCCGTGATCAACGTGACCCATAATTGTCACGACCGGCGGTCGTAGTGGTAGAACTGATGGATCTGCAGGTGGAGGGCGAGGTTTGAGGTCATGTTCTGCACCAGAATCGACTGTCGGCTCGTAGCCATATTCCTGCGCAACAAGTGCAGCTGTCTCTCCTGCCATAAGGCTGTCCAGTGTTACGCCCTCGAAACCTAACTCGCCAAGTTGAGTCAAGAATAGGTTGGGTTCTACTTTCAACGCTTGAGCCAATGCTGGGATGCTGATTAATTCTGGCAGCAAGATAGGTACGGAACCGGCTATTTCAGCTTCGCGGTCAGCTCTACGTTGTGCCTTTTGTCGACGCTTCTCTTGGTATTGATCGTAGTCAAAGCCCCCCTCATCATCTCCATCGTTTCCGCGCCTATAGCTGCGCCGTGAACGCCTATCCCGACCTCCGCCTCGCCTCTCCTCATCGAATCCGTCAAATCCATCCAATCGATTATCACGGCCACGGTTTCGATCTTGGCCCTGGAAACTAATACTGAATTCAGGTATAGCCTGTGATTTTTTCCCTTCATCTTCTTCGACCGAGGGTTCTTCCGCCTTAGCTCTCCTTTTGGGTCTCGCATTATCAAATTCTTTCCCCCAGTCATCCATATCGGATAATTTCTCCTGTATAACAGGGTTACTTTTCATAGCAGCCCAAGGGTCCTTTTTGGGAGGCTGCGTCGAATCTAAATCATTTTTGTCATCGGACGATTTCGAAGCTTGCTCTGGAGCCGTTGGATCCTGAGACTTCGGCCCTAGAAAGCCACCAGAACTCTTATTCATAACAGCCCAAAAGTCCTCACCATCAGATTTACTAGGCGTTTGCTTTCTTGCTAATAAGCCCCATCCTGAATTATTGCCCGGTTTAGGAGATGGTTTAATAGTATTATCTGGGGCGGCTTGAGACGTCGGTTCTGTCGGCGGCTGTTGATTCTGCTCTTTACTAGGTATTCCCGACTCCTGGCTCGTTGCCTGTGATGGCTCGGGCACATTATCACGAGATATAGATAGGAATTTTTCCCCCGGCAATGGTCCCCATTTGAATGTAGTATTCGGTTGGGAGTCGTACTTTATTTTCGTTATTATGTTTCCTAGAGGTCTAGAATTTGACCCTCTGTCTCCCTCCCTCCTAGAATAGTTAGACTCCAACGAACGGGATGAATTAGGCCCTGAAGTTTTAGGGAAGTTGGCCGGTAAGGGGATAATAGGGGTGGTTGAATTGAACCCCGAAGATAAAGGACGCCTAGGAATTACACCCGGCCTTGCGCGGTTCTCACTGGGTCTGGTGTCTCTCGTGAGGACGGGGGGTTTATTTATAGTCATGCCATCTCTATGAAGACTCTCCTCAATCGCCTCTTGCTTTTGTGCGTTCCATATATATCTCGCCCGGGGGCCATTATTAGCTGGGTTCGGCTTCGCGGCTTCGGTAGCCTGCTGGGTTTGCTGTTTCGTAAGTAGCTGCTGGCGTGCTAGGAGTTCATGCGGGGAGAGAAAGTCATCCGGCTTAGACTCCGTCTGAGACTTAACCTGACCTCCCCATCCGCTACCCCATCCGTCATCGCCTCTCAAAATCGTTGTGTTTGAAAAGTACTTTTCGATCCGCGGGGTCGCTGACCGTAGCGAAAGACGATGTCGACAGAAAGCGCATATTGAAGACTCCCGCTATGTAACATATTAGTTAGCTCAGAATCAGACTTCAAGTAAATAAATATAATTAGAATAAATAATAAAGTCAAACTGAGTAAACTAACCCCTGATACTCTCGCTCTCAACATGGTGAAAGTGGCTGCTTCATATCGTCATGCGACTTTTTGAAGCTAGAATAATCCTAGTCAAAGGTTTATCGAGATTTAAAAAAAAAAAGTTCCGTATCGCGACGCACGCCAAATCGGATACGGTACCAAAAACTTTTTAGTGGGACCAAAAGGATGAAGCCGCGGGGCCGTCAATGCCGAGAAAACGGATCTGTCAGCCACGAGAAATGGAATGCAGGGGCAAACCTTAGGCCAACAGGGGTAGCTTCAGCCACATTCCCTTGTCATCTCGAGTTTTTGACAACTTTCATCCCCTATCTGACCTATCATTCATTTCTAATCATTAACTTAATTTTCCTATTTTCCTATACTTCTCACTACTATGGCCCGCCAAAGAGGCTCGGGGAAGACATCTTCCAGCAAGAAGAAGGATACCGGTCCTCCGGCCCCCTTCAAGAAGCCCCCTGAGGTCCTGCAGCCTTTCATCGAGACGCTTGATGAGAAGTGCGTATACATCACACACATCGACAGCCACCAACGGGATTTCAAGCGCAAGATCTTTGTTGTCCCCGTGCTCATGAATATTGCCCTAACAGCTGCCCTGCTATATCGTATATGGTACATTGCGCCTTACTACCTACGGATCTTCGTCTCTATTCTAGGCTATTTTAACGAGACCACCATGGTTGTCGATGAGATGGAATGGGATGAGATCATCCCCGAAGTCGCCAAGCGTGCCTTTTCTTTCATGCTGGACTTCCTGCTCTTCGTATTTGTCTGGTCCTGGCCTATCGATTTTGTTATAGGCAACGAGCATGGAAGCCCCGTCATGTGGCGGTGGAACGTCGGATTCAGAAACCAAGAGGTTGTCGTGCGAAGAAGTAGGAAATGGGTCGAAACTGCTGGCGACTTTGTCAACGATGAAGGGGCAAAGAGCCTCTTCATGTCGCGTATCAGTATGGCGACATCACCCATGCTTATCAACGAGAAGACGGGCTACCTCCTTATGACTGCTGACTGGGACCTCGACTGGGCTGCCATGGTTGACACCACTATGATGGTAGACGAGAAAATGGCTGCAATCGAGGCGTTTAAGACAGCCATCCTGCTTTTTCACGAGGATTACGGATGGCTCTGCGTGGACACGACAGTTGGTGAGAACGATGTGGAAGACGAGAGGAGACGTCAGGTTTTCGCTTTTAGAGATGCACTTGCTGCCGTTGGCAAGGAGGCTCTATTTTACCGATGGATTGAAATAATACAGTTTGAATCAACACGACCTGGTGGTTTCACAACAGATAGACAGGAAAAGACTGCACAGGAAATCAGAGATTTGTTCAGCAAGGAGGGCATCGACTTTGATAAATTCTGGGAGGAGAGTGTAGGCCAGAGTGGTCTGGCTACCCCTGGGATGTAATTAATATAGACAGGAGGGTTTAGAATAGACAGGTATAGTATACTATCATGCACATTATGGCGATATTCGGTTTAGTTTAATGATCAACAAGCTCATCCATACCAACTGATTGATTCATTATCAGGGTGATAGCGTATGTACAGCATCACACAGAGAGCAAGACATGCGAATGCTCAAGTAGACAAGCTCGACTGCATAGTCCTGCAACATATGAAAATAAAAAACATAAGTGTTCATCAGGTTAATAGACATCGTACAGATGCTTTCCACAAAACGAGTAAAACCGAAATACTAGGAAAAACAGAGTATATTAATATCAAGGAATCAGCATAGTGGATCATTCACAACTGCGCGCACACAACTATCAGAGACAGTAACCTGCAAGGCAACGCAAGAGTGTTTGATTGACATGCAATGTTAGGTGCCCCGAGTGATTCGAGGCCATGCAGACTACGCTAACCGCAGTCCATCATAAATGGTTACGTTCATTTAGTTGACTTCTTCTTCCCTGCAGCACTCTTGCCTAAGGCAGCCTCGCGTTTCTTTGCTTCCTTAGCCTCGATCTCAGTTCTTCGGGCTTTCTCCTGTGCCTCTCTCTCTTCCTTCTCAGCCTAAATTCACATGTTAGTAGACTATAATTGTATGGGTTAAACACTTATTATTACGAACCTGCTTTCTCGCAGCCTCGGCTTCTCTCTTCTCTCGGATGAGTCGTAAACGCGCCAGGTCAGCCTTAGCCTCGTCCGTCTTGCCAGCCTCGTGAAGTTTGCGGTACCTCTCCTTAGCTTGTTGGGCTTCTAGGGTTTCACGCTCCTTTCGGCTCATAGTCGACAAGTTCTTGACACCCTCGGTAGCCTCCTCAACATCGTTAGCTGACAACGGAGCCTTGGCCATATTTCGTGCAGCTTTGGAGTGGTTCGGGTTGGCAGGCATGTCGTCATCTTCCTCTTCAGATTCAGAATCAGTAGGCAGGTCGCCAACTTGAACAGTCTTATTCTTTCTGGCAATAGCCGCCTCCTTTTGGGCCTTCTTAGCCTGTTTGCGCTCCTCTCGAGTTAACTCGGCTGTCTGTTGAGAAGGACCAGCATCATCGTCATCCTCCGAGTCTTCCTCTTCGGAGCTCTCTTCCTCGTCGTCATCTTCTTCATTCTTTTTGTTATTTGCGCTCCACATGCTGATCTCATTACCATCAGCATCAAGGGGTCGAAGGTCACGAGAGAAGTGCTTCCCGCCTAGAGAAAGAAATATTAGTAACCGAAAGCTTGTAAATTAAAAGGGAATTTTACTAAGGACATACCTCCTCGAGTGAACTTCCTAAACTTGCCTCCACGGCCACGCGAATTGCCACCGGGTGCTCCTCGTCCAGACATGATGATAACGTTGAAGTGTAGTAGTAAGTATGGTAGTAGGTATGGTAATAAGAGTGATGATTAGTGGGATGGCGGGGTAAATAAACTAGAATCGCGACTGGAAATAAATACTGTATGGCGCAAAACAATCCAGATCAATTTGATTGTAAAATTGGAAGGATCCAAAGATTTAGTTCTATCGTTCTCAATCAGTTAATAAATAGAAACAAGAAAAGCAAAAGAACAAGTTTTAAAATAAAAAAGAAGGGTTGTTGAGATGAGTAAAAGACGTACCTGGGTCAAACGGCGTTGGTGGATGAGGGGCAAAAAAATCACACGAAGGTGGTACTCCAACACATGCGATAAAGCCTGGTTCTTGTCGTAGTAGTCACTGCAGTCATAGCTGCACAGGGGAGTCAGAAGTCCCTAAAAACAAGACCTAAATGGTGGGGTACCTAAACTGTTAGCACGGCATGTACGTCGACAGTCAATTATAATGTCATTGATTGGTCAGTGTCCGATTAGCTTTAGATACCAGCACATGGCTGGCATGTAAGCAAGTTACCTTCACGCTTATTCGATAAGATCTAATCCAGTCCAAATCCAATGGAAAAAGGTTATGCCGCTAAAACATAGGTAGACCAAGCGTCTAGCCCCACTTTGCCAATCCAATAAAAATGAAATTTCTTGCGACAGCATTTTCCTCTTTTCTTCTTTTTCTTTTCCTCATCATAAAACTATAATCCTTCATATTCACTCTGGCTTTCGTCGCTCTTCGGAGCTTTTCAATGGCAGGTCTTGGAGGGGAAATTGGAGGAGAGAGGGAATTATATTCGATCACTTACCCTCTGGCCCGTTGTGGTTCCTTTGGAGCTGCCGTTGGGTACCAGAGAAATTTTTTGCATCGATACATACGTCTATACCTACCCAGATAGGTTGAAATTTTGTAACACTTGTGACTGTTAAAAACTTGTTATGAAATGAGTAGACGATGTTTGAAGGGTATGGTGGTGGTCAAATGAAAGAGGATGCCACTCGGCGTACATGTTCACATTTTCTAGCGTTCAAGACTTCGAGATTGATGTGTGGCACTAAGGTTGAATCCTATATCAAGCGACATTAGCAATTTTTATAAGAAATCTACTTCGTATCATATTCCCCTCTATCTGACCAACCCAGTTGATTTATGTTAACAATAGACTAAGGAGTGGCCTCGATATTAAGGAGACTAGTCAGTCTGATGCTTGATCGTTCACACTGCACCATGAATCAAAAATATCCTTCTAGACTATTATTTCAAGTCATACGCATATCCTTATAGTATAAACGTACAATCCAAGTGTTAAAGGATCTTCTAATAGGTCAACTCGGAAAGTACTGAGACTTAAATCCTCGTTAAGCTAAATAGCTACCTGCTATGGAGGTTGAATAATCATTAGAGAAACAGTAGAATTATGTTCGTTTCAATCCTCTCCCTTCTAGGTGGTATATATTCTACGTTGTTTTTCTTATGCATAACCGGTCAATATAGCAGGGCGAGATATAGCCACTTACGATTCAGAAAGTAATTGTTTAAAACGCATCAATTGTTTTCTACAAGCTTAACAGGTAGGTACTTAAGCTATATGTGAGAGCCTCCTCTAAAAACTTCCCTTAAGATGGCCCGACTGCTAGTTCTAACCTAGCAGAAACGCAAAGGAATTCCCGTATGCCACACGTCGTCAGTCGACTGACTGCTGTTTTAGATAGCTAAAAGCAAGCCACTTAGAGTTCTTCAATCAATTACCGACCGCCTTCAAAATGTTGTTACGGAAGGTCTCGTGTACGTAGATTCCAGCCTCCTTCTTCAATTCTATAGCCATAGAGAGTCGGATCCCATGACAAGGGTTATATAAGATAGTAGACAAGGGATTATGAAAATCCGAAGGGGTCAGCTTCTGGTCGCGGGCGAGCTCCTGTAAGAGTAGATAGTGAAAGTACAATTCAAGTACCTGTCAGGATTCTAGATGAGACATCTAGAACAAAGAGCTTGTTCAGTATATAGACGTAGAACCTTCTAGGTAGTTAGAGTTCCTTGCGGAACAACGAAGTTGTTTCCATGCTGTTTGGTTCCACCTCGTGACAGTACCTGCGTAGAACTGCATGTAAATATGGGCTCATTAAGTCTATCTCCGAGGATGCGGAGGTTTGTCATGGAGAAAATGGTGTATTTGGTGATTGGTACGCAGAATCTTGAAAGTGCTTTCGAGGCCAGGATTTGATCTGGCTGGTTGGTGCTTTGAGCAGACGTAATACACTTCATAAGTGGAATCCCTAGGAGGTTATGGAGGTCCGCTTCTCCATAAAGTTCGAGGAGGTCGTCTTTTAGATTAAGAGCCTCTACGAGGTTAAGGCCTCTACATTTATTCAGCAATGGACCTTCTGCCGTGTAATTGCCATCTTTGTTCTTATGCACTTCCCAGCCCTCAAGATTACGTGGCGGTGCACGTCCCGCTATGATTAGCACGGCAGTGTTCACCTTATTGATCAACTTCCGGAGCCTAGAAATAGGAACCCACAGTTCCGCTAAAGAGTGGTACCGGCTCATTTTATTCATCTTCAAAAGGGGGGCCATCGGCTTCGGCAGCGGTGTACAAGCATTAGTGATTGCGGTGATCCAAGTTAGAAAAGGGATCTCAACTTTTTCAGCTTCTAAGTGCGAAGAAGAGGACGGAAGGGGAGGCTGGATATATGGTAGACTCTGTGTTCTCGTAGAGCAAAGAGAACCTATGAAATTGGTGAATTCATTATGGTTTAGTTGGTTAACCCCTATTAGAGGAGCGACATCCTCGAGCAACTGGAGAACTCTCTCTGTAATACCACTAGGTGGAAGTAGCGAGCTGGTTGGTCCTGGAGACTCACTCTTTACCGTAGAATATTGAGCCTCCGTAGATAATTGAGTGTCATCCGCCGAGAGTCCAGTTTGTAATGAACGCCGGGCCTTCTTTGCAGATGAGGGACCTGCGTCTTCGGATGTCTCCTCGGAATGCTTTCCTTCTGCAGAGCCCATCAACTGCACGACTGGGCTGCGGCTTCGTTTTCGTGGGGTCATCATCTTCTTAGTTAGAGTTGCACCCCAGAAAGGCAGTAGATAGTGAAGTGTGGGATGAGATGAAATGGAAGGTTGTGTGGTTAATTGGAAGAAGCTTAGGGTGTGAGGAGGGAGAATGTTTATTGAATAAATGCCTAGGTAGGCGAATTAGGAAAGTGTAAACGGGGAGTGAGCATAAGGAGGAAGTTGACTTGTTGCTACCTTGTTATAACTCTAGTGAGTGCTTCGGCTAATATCTTGATGAACTCGAAGTCTTGAGTATAAGGTTTTGATATATTCCAGTCAGTATGTAGTACAGACTAACAGTTTGGGCACCTCTATCGCATGAAGATACCTAAATTTCCGAATAATACTGGCTGCGGGCAGATATGTTCGAAACTATTGGTAATGTGAGATGATGAAACATTACCCGTTGTTGTTGTATCAGGTTAGATGTGTGCAAAGGGTAAGACCTATCCGAATCCTAGGTTTTAGATACATACATTTACCTAAGATAAAGTATGTATTGCAACTTCTTCAATCGTCCGTCATATTCTTGTGTGACTTCCTATGCATTTATTCATCATCGTAGCTTCCCCCATCCTCAACATCTATGTAACACTTATATCTTTATGTACCTTCTTCATTCGTTTAATATTTCTAGTAATCATTAGCCACCCTATATTCTAGTGGCAATAACTACCTAGATTATGGGATCCGTAGTGGATAGCACTTTCAAGTCAAGAAGCATTACCCAGGCAGTTCGGAAATAGCCATTGGCTGCCATGTAATTTACATATAAGCGAAAGCCAATTTCTTTTCCTTATTCAGATGGTATAACATTAGTAACCTCTTAATTATGATCTTCCAGTTTTGATAAGGCCATCTATTTATAGGCATCCTCGGTCCTTAGTATAAGTTAAGCACTAATAGGCTACCCCTTTCGTCTCCCGTAAGCTAGTCTACCTATTATCTACTAATATAGCCACAAAAATTCAATGTAACATCTCGTAGCACTTTCTTTTTGTAAAATTATACACTTGGATTACAACACGCTTTTCCCCGCTGCTCCCAAGAATCTACTAGAAAAGCTAGGTTAAGGATCAAATGCTGAGTCAATCGAATCTTGTGCACCCGACAGTGACATGTCATAAATAGTTTGAAGGAGAGCCCGCTCGAAGACAAGCTGTCGTGTACAAGGGCAGATCACCTAACTAACCCTCCAGTACGGTGTTATTACCGCCGTTCGAATTACCGCTCCGTTTTTTCTGCTGTTTCCGCCGTGTGCTTACGATAATCGTAGTCGTTGCGTTATAGATAATTAGACACTACCAACATGATAACTCATGCCACAGAACGAATGTCCATTGGCATTGGCAGTAAAAACCATTGAATTCGGTGAATATTATGACTCCTTTAACAGAAATATACGGTGGCGAGCAACATATCATGAGAGGTGATATATGTATATCTATGGTATTAATTAAAGAAAGCGTTGCAGAGTATAGAAGAGGATATTAAGGTGAAGCTGAAATCAACGTGCTGTCATATAGAAGTGTTATTTGCGAACCTACCAGTGTATATATTTGTAGTCTCCAGAAGCTCTCTCAGGTTAACAGCGTTCTGTGTTAGTATTCCCACTGAAATTTAATTCATAGAGCATCAAGAGTTCTAAGACCGTCCTAGAAAGGTTATGTATATATGTATCCCCCCTTTTTCGAATATGCTGATTTTCTCGTAGGTGTAAATGATCATTCATCATCCCTATATCAATATTAACCTATCTATACTCGGTACCTGTTGTGTATTCCGATAGTTATGTAGTGCTAAATCCAAGATGATGAAACCTCTATCTGTTAACCATCTGACTTCCTAATATCGTCTTCTTATCTTCTTGGCCATGGCTCTCTAACTAATATTCGGCTCACCACATAATTCCTCACCATCACCTTAGTGATGCGGTAGTATCAACAGATAGCAAAAACCAATCACTATAACAAAACTATTAATTGCAATTGCAATATGCCAATGTCACAGGGATTAAAAATCCTTCACATGCTAATCAAGCACATATATACAAACAGCCAACATAAAGCCAAGGTACGTACCCCACCTAGCCCCACCCGATCATAAAAACAATGGGGCCCAAGCGTCCAACCAGGAACACCCCCGCCAACGCAGACAAAAGAGCCAAAATAGCAAGCCAGTCTTCCACAGCAAGGCGAGTTCTCCAGTCTGAAATTCAGACAAGGATTATGGTCCCTGGTGAAATCGGCTCAATGGTCTAGTCGTATGATTCTCGCTTCGGGCCACCGAAGTCCCTTCGCTTCCAAGCGCAGATGCGAGAGGTCCCGGGTTCAATTCCCGGTTGAGCCCATCTTTTTTTGCTTTTATTCTATTTTAACCTTTTTTTTTACATTGTCTTTCCTGCAAGAAGACCTTTTTTTTTCATCTGAATCCAACAGCAGCCCAATACTCATGGTTGATTACCTAATACACGACTACATAGATCAACCTTATGTAACATGACATGTAGTTTATACCTCTTCCTGTTTTTTTTTATATGCGTCTGATTTTTGTACTCTATAGATGATTTCTATTCTTAGTCGCTGTTAAATACTTCTGTCTAATAACTTTGAACTGATTAGGCGTTCGCGACTAAAATTGACCACATCTTTAAGCCCTAGGGCTTGAAATCTAATGGATGTATATCATGTAAGTAACTACAACTCCAATATATAATCCCCATTATTCCTACCATTCTTTCCATTCCAGTATGTTCCTATAAGTATGAGGCTACTCATATCCCAACTTGAACTGATTACTTTTGAAATTCTATAAATTAGCCTAGATATATTAGGTAGTTTTACTGAACTAGAATGCACGCAGGCTACTACAAACCTCCAATAATGTCCTTACCAATTATCGTAACCATAATAGCAACAATTATTTCGCCACCAGATTCTACGAGATCTCAAAGTAATATCGAGAATGGTACACATGTCTCTTCGATTGTAGAAAATTATCTAATATGCTGCTGATATCAACGCAAATTGCTGCAAATTTAATGCAGATCCAGCAGCACCATCCTGCGCATCATGCCTGCCAACCGTAGTGGCCACTGTAAGTTGCTCCCAGTCAACGCCGCGTAGTTGCAAATCCGAGATTTCATGCCAGCTGAAACGTAATTCCCCCATTAGAATAGACCCAAATCTAAGAAGACTGCTGCCGATATCAAGTCTCTTGAAATGACCGAAGTGAAATAAACGCCTAGATATCACCGATGAAGAAATCCCATCCCTAAGAGCACATCTAAACCTCGCCATCGGCCAGTTCCTCGTCGATGTCCTCCTCTTCGATGTCCTCCTTCTTGAGTGCGACCTTGGAAGCCTTCCTGCCGCGGGGCTTCTTGGTGGGAGTGCCTCCGCCAGCCTCGCCGTCGGCCTTGCGCTTCCTTGGGGTACCCCTGCCTTTGGTAGAAGGAGTGGCTATGAAGGAAGAGCCGTCTCCTTCACCGCTGGTATGGGCCATGAGCTTCTTCTGGATGGGTTTCCAGATGTGGCGAGCCGAGTCAGCGCTGGCGTAGTTGCCGACCTTGGCGAGCTTCTTAGCATCCACCTACACGCATTATATGATTAGTATGCTAGCCATCAGTATGTATCGATAAGCAATATCACGTGGTGTAGTGTAAGTGTAGCTTGCTCCAGTCTTAATTAAGGACGAGCGTTATATTTAGTAAATGTGTACGAGGAGACGTATATTTCAAGGGATTGACGATGACATCACTGGGGGTGGAAGAAGATGGTGAAATGGTGTGCGATAGGTACTAATGAGGTGAAGGGTCTTCCTTACCTGGGGCACGCCCTCTTTGATCTCGCTGATGCATATGAATGCCATGGCTATGACCTCGATCTCGCGCTGGTTGAGCTGGAGCTTTTCGCCGGAGCCATTTCCGGCGGACTTAGTAGGAGTAGACATGATAATGAGATACGAAAAGAAAGTAGTGGTAGTATTGTTTCGTGAATCGTGATAGTGTCGAGAAGACTTGTTGCGCTGATGGGTTATATGTGTGTATGAAGATATTAGGTGTTGATAAAAATTAAAGAAGTGAGCAGATCTCCTCAGTAGAATAAGAAATGGGGAGAGTTTTGAAATAGGGAACCCTGAAGAGGGGGTGCAGCTGCTTATAGCAAGAAGGAGGCGTGAATTTCTGTGAATAGATACTTCTTCGGAAGCAGGAGCATAGATACGCGCTGTCACGTGGCAGGGTGTTTCTATCTTAATTGATCTTAATTGACAGTAAGGTGGAACCCACGCATTTAAGATGAGAAGGAACTAGGAAACACCCTACTATGTGTTTGGAAGTTGTACTAAATGTTGCTATTACCATTGCAGGTTATAATTGAGAATGCAATTGCTAAATACATGTAAGCAGCATCGTTTTCATCACTTTACTTTTTGGTTGCTTACCTGTTTGCTCCTTCTAATTTAAACTTTCAACAAACAATTGGGGGATTTGAAAAAAAAAAAATCTCCAAGTATTTATCGGAGATCCGAGCTCGGACACTTATAAAGCTTGGGTCATGTATAAAGTGAAGCATTTAGCATTCTTGCGTATATCTTCTTAGTATAATTATATGCTAAGTTGCTGACGATGCTAATCAATTCTTAACCTCTTCTCCGACTTGGTTGACATTGTGTAGAAATATATTTACTATTATCTTTCGGTGCCTATTACGGGCAACCAACTTTTTTATCATAGTCAAGAATGGGACCCCACTCATAACATATCGAAAACGAAATAAGTCGAAATAGGATGCTCTTTGAGCACCCTGTTCAGTAATTGAAATTGTATGGATGAATAATATTGGATCTTCTGAATTCGGAGCTTTCCCACAAAGATACCAGGTTCTTCATATTGCTTATGGCATCGTCCCAGCCTTCCCTGAACCTATTTTTTGCGGTCTGAGCCTTACATGCACAGGCATACCATCTTTTGGATGTGCCTAAGAAAGAAGGTCCAATGGATTAGTTTTATTTAATTAGATTGGCAATGAAAAGGCTTCCAAATAACACATATCTAGACCTTGTATTACCATATATAGGTACCTAAGGTAGGCAAGATAGTCTAGGGTCTCGTGGGTTTTATGAGAAGTTTGCGGATTTGATGCAGTATGATAATGGGAAGGAAATTATAAATGATAGAAGAGAAGAGTACCTACAGCACCATCCCCAACTGGATATAATCGTTGACCATTGACGGTGTGAAAAGGCGTTGCCCTATTTCCCCTAGGCGAGAACCCGTTAACGTGTGTGTCCACAATAGTAAGTCGTATATATGAAGGGGAGAAGGTTGTATAGACCATCCTTGTCCAGGCTTCATATTGATGCTCACCTTTTCTGGTCCCATTCCTCCCATGCTTCTTCAATATCAAAACTCCTAGCAATTAAAACAGCAACAAGTTTGAGTTGAGTTAATGCAAGTTCCATACCGATACAATGACGAGGACCTAAAACTGCGTTAGCCAAGGTTGATCCTGAGAAATAAAGAATCGCTATGCCTGTTAATACGAACCAACCGAAAAGGGTATCCATGTATCTCGTAGAGGTCGCATAGGATGGCCCTCTACTACGATCCAACGTTCCGGCAGAAATTCACCCGGGTTAACCCAATAGTTAGGGTCGCTATGCATCCCGTGGGCTGATAGCCAAACGCCTGTTCCTTCAGTTGGCCACCTAGTTTTTACGCCGGCTGTCGCTAAGTAAAAGCCTGCCGCACCTTCACGCATGGTGGAAGCAAGAGGGTATAGCCTTAATGTTTCTTTTATCACAGCGAGCGTGTAGCTTAAAGAGTTTAAAACGTGGGGAGATTTCCGCAGGATATTTGGGGCGTCATTAACCGTCATCCCCAGCACCGAATCGTGTTCATCGCGTAATTTAGTGAGACAATCGGGGTTGTCTTGGAGACATTTCATCATGAAACATATAGTTGATGCGATAGTATCGTGTCCAGCGAATATAAATGACTTGAGATTACTGATAAGCACTGCGATGAAGTCAGAATCCGGTTCGGACTTATTAACCGCCAAAGACTCGACAGCGGCATCCACTATGGTTAGCACTTGGTTACTCTGGACATCTACTTCAAGATTAAGCCTGCTTCGCATGTGTGGTTCTAAAGACTCGTTGATTATCCGGTTATTCCGGGCAACTTTGGCTCGGTGCCAAGGTAGCATGCCGAAAAGAAATCCGCGAATTGGCTGGTTCATCATGCCCATGAACCACATCTGCTCAAGAAAAGCATTCTTTAGTTGGCTTCCACACTCTCTAGACTGTTCCATAAGGTTCATATCTCTGTATTGCGTAAGCACCGGATCGAAATTGTGTGCTGATTGAACTTACAATGTTGCTTTCGCAATCACGTCAAGTGCCAGGTCCGTTGTTTTTTCTTCAAGCTGGAAAACCGAACCCCACTCCCCATTACTGCCACATTCATCCTTTAATCTGTTCACAAAAACTAGGACTTCATCAACGAGGTCAGGAAGTAAGGCGGTGATATTTCGCTGGCTGAAACAAGGATTCAACCTTGTGCGCCAGGTCTTCCAATTTTGACCCTCCGTGGATAGTATATCCAGGTTCTGTGTAAGGGGTATCAGGTACTTGGTCAAGAAGGAAATCTTGGGTAGGCTATGAATCTGGGTAAATTGGGTTCCTGCCGTAGCGTCATATACCAGTGTAAATATTCCCGAGAACGGCCATAGATCTAGATAAACCACGGGTGGGAGCTCTTCTTGGTCCGGGAAATACTTCTTAAAGTTCTCGCGAATCCAAGTATGAAAAACGTAGATGTTGACATCTGGAGGGTGTTGCCGACGGAAGTCATTTAAAATACCGAGATGTCCAAATAACAGGGAGTGTGGTGCGATAGGCTATCTGAAGTCAACAAGTAATCACCTTGACTCTCTAGAAATCGTAGATAGTCGAGCCGTAAAGAAGATACGACGTGGTAAGGATCGTAATTACGGGAAACTTACAAGCCCTTGGTCCTTGAATCTTCTTATTCTTAGTCGATGTGTAAATCCTTGGTAGAGAAAACCAGCCACCAAAGCGACTGTAAATACGATGCTACTAGAAAGCAGAAGCGCCATGATGTCTAATAGGAGTCTCTTGCGAATATGTTTAGGGGTGTATAACTATGTTAAGTGATAGTTAGGGTTAGTTTATATAAGATAGTGATATGAAAATACCACCGCGATTTTAGCCTCGTCTTAGGACGGAGTTCGTAGTTAATGTTTGCATATAGATATATTCTAGTTCCCAAGGAACTTCGTAGTCGAAGAGTCGTGAGGTGATTTTGTATATACTAAGAATTTATTGAAGCGCACGCCTTGTGGTCTCGGAATCATACCGTATCCCGTATCCGCTGCAGTGCTGCCGTAAGACCTCTGAATCCGTAGGTAGTAGATTATAATGTAAACCTACATGTTGTCATACCAATGTGCGGTATAGATTTGAATCTAATGATTACACAGGTAGCTACCTCCAAAGTACCTATGTTGGTTTCATTTGCGACCCCAAGGTGGCGTGGGATTAATGTCCAACACATGCAACCTAGGGGTACACAGTGGTACTGCTGATCAACGAAACCAGCCCATGAGAACCGGCGTGCGAATAACTGAACCCTGGTATCTAGTAATGCTATCTTTGCTCACTTATTTCCATAGTTCAAGCATTCAGGTACCTTAGGTACCCAATTTGGTGTCCCCAAATGTAACGTAAAAGGCACATAAGAGTATGCATATCTTATACCCTCTTCCCATATGAATATCGGCTCCAAGGACCTACTTAGCAGCCCAATCCTTGATTACCTCCACGCAGTCGGGTTAGGAGGACTCCCTAGTAATGTAGTTATCGATCCCAAATTTAGGCCCTAATTATCCACACACGTAACTATGGGTATAATCATGTATGTCTCATCCCAATTAATTAATGTACAGAGTACTGGGTATAGAACCTTTGCTAATATTTATGAGTAGGGACAATCCGCTCAAATCTTTGATAAGCCAGCTTACACCTCTACCTTACCCCGTTGGCGACTGTACCGGAAAAACAGTTATCATAACTGGTGCGAGTTCCGGTCTAGGACTTGAAGCAGCGCGGCATTTTGTCCGGCTTAATGCTAGAAAGGTTATCCTAGGATGCAGAAATATAAAAAGGGGCGAGAGAGCCAAGGCTGTTATCGTCTCTTCAGAGGGAGTTGAGAAAACACATGTGATCGATATATGGCAAATAGACCTAGAGTCATTCGACAGTGTCAAATGCTTCTGCCATCGTGCCGCCAGACTTGACCAGCTCGACATTCTTGTTGAGAATGCGGGGATTCAGACCGCATACTTTCATATGGCAGAGGGCCACGAGCGGCAGATCACTATCAACGTTATATCTACCTTCCTTATAGCGTTCCTATTACTTCCGACCCTTGAAAGAAGCTTTACGGTAACTCAAGAATTGCCACGCCTAGTCATCGTCGCCTCGAATGCTCATAAGGCTGTTTCGCTTAAACAAAGAACCGATGAACCGGTATTTGAAAGTTTTCGGAAACCTGGCATTATGGGCCTACGCTATGCCTACAGTAAACTCTTGGTGGTATTGATTGGCCGGGAGTTAGCAAAGCGTATCGATGCGAAAGATGGAGGACCCCGGGTAATTTTGAACCTGGTAGATACGGGGCTCTGCAACACCAATCTATTTCGTGACGCCCGGTTCCCCCTATCGCGGTTTTTGTCTACAATGTTGTGGTTGTTAGGGCGGTCCTCCGAGATGGGATCCCGGTGTCTCGTTGCTGCAGCTCTAGCTGGTCCGGAAACACACGGAAAATATATGGAGGACTGCCGGATTAGCAAAGAAAGTAGGTTTGTTTATAGTTCCAAGGGAGCACAGATTCAGACGAGGGTTTTTGATGAATTTCTTGAGATTCTGCATAGTATCGAGCCGGGGCTATCAGGAAGAGCGTAGTTTCTATATTAGCATAGCCGACAATATAATTATTTACAAGACTTCGGTATAGCATAAGAGGATTCAATGCATAATAGTACGTCTCACCGTTGTCTTGAGGCACGTATTATCTATACTCAACGTAGTCTTCGCCAGTTCAAGTATGGATATGGAATGTTTCTTATAGATAAAGCGGAGACGAATGTATCATAAAATAACCTATAGCTTCCTCTCAAATAACAATCAATAGAGACTTCTAATATTCTAGTCTACCTATCTCTCCAAGCCTCTTTCACGAAATCTGCGCAACGCTCGGCAATCATATACACGGGTGCCATCGTATGTGCAGCTGGGATGACAGGAAACACACTTGCATCGGCCACCCGAAGGTTGGAAAATCCATGAACTCTCAACTCCCCATCCACTACTGAATTAATTCCATTGCTTCCCATGCGGCAAGAACATGCTAAATGTAGGACTGATTGGATATTCCTGCGTGCAAAATTATCCAATTCTTCATCGGTTAAATCCGCTTTAACAGGCTCTTGTTCTGTTCCAGGAGCAAGGTATAACTTTGCTGGTTGAGGAAAGCCTAACTCTTTTGATAGGTACCTTGTTAGATTCAAAGAGAACCTCAGAGCATTCCGCACAACCTGAAGATCCTCAGCTTGGTCAAGGAAGTTCAGGTGTATTGTCGGATTTGCTTCTGGGTCCATAGATGATATTTCGATGCAGCCTTCGGACCGCGGCTGTAGGAGGCATGTGTAGATTGATGCTAATGATATGACCTCCTCGGTGTCTATCAGCGTACTGGCAGGGACTATCATCACTTCAACGTCGGGTATATTTCCTGGGTTCGTCGGGTCAGAGTCAATGTTTTTCCTCGGCAAGTGAGTCAGAGGATCTAGATGAGAGGTATTCAAAAATATGGAAGATTGCGTTGGGCCATTCTTCAACAGACCAGTCCCATTGTATTGGAAGCGGAGAAGCTGCCAGAAAGCCTGCAGATAGCTTTTCTGAATGATATGGAACGTCTGATCGAAGGGTAGTTCTAGACATATTGGGATACCTTGGTGGTCACTGAGGTGCTTGCCTACAGGCAAATCGCAGTGTAAAGGGATGCCGTGTGCTTCCAATAAAGTCGCCGGTCCTATGCCACTAAGCTGTAAGAGTTTGGGAGACCCTACGGTACCGCAGCACAGAATAACTTCACGTCGGGCTCGAATTTGTACCATCTTTCCAGTTTTAACTCCCTTCACTCGGACACCTGTAGCAATGCCGTTTTCTGCGTTAAGGTCGATGCTTGTGACCACACCACCAGTACAGACAGTGAGGTGATCCTGACGCTCGGCTACCAGCACTTTGGGGAGGTAGGACTTAAATGCCGAATGCCTGTAGCCTTGGGAATCAATCGTTAAATCGAAATGGAAGAACCCCATTGGGAGTGCCTCCGGTCTATTGATATGATGTTCTATAGGAAAACCGAGTGCTGAAGCAGCTTTTTCCACCAAGTTGGAGAACTGAAATTGAGGTCCATACTGCAAAGTTTGAACAGGTCCCAAAATATCATTTTTATCATTTTTCGAAGAGCTCTCATTGTGTCTGTTTTCAATTTTGAGGAAATAAGGTTCTACGGCAGCCCAACTCCAGTGCGTATATCCTGTCTGTAGTGCCCATTGATTATATATTGCCGGCCACCCTCTCGTGTATATCATACCATTCGCTCTGGAGTTTCCTCCAAGAGACTCCGAGCGGTACATTGGAATTTTGCGATTATTGCATCCCCTGTTCGGCATAGAATCCTGATATACCATTCCGGGAATCGAAGTCAATGCACACGATATCAATGGTACCCGAGTTTGCCAAGTATCTTGAATTGGGCCTTTTTCAATGATTAGAACTGTTACATCCACGCCTTCGCTAAGGCGAGATGCAAGAGCACACCCAGCCGTGCCAGCTCCGACAATGATGTAATCATACACATGATCGACAATCTCCTCGACGGTCCGTTCAGGGTAGGGAGTAGAGAATGGCCACATGTTTAGTACAGATGTCGGAGTTAAAATCAGCTTAGCTGCATTTGTGGTACGCCAATCCGTTTATGATGGTATGGCAGACCTAAGCTAGAGTCTACTAAAGAGGGTATTAAACAGCGTGCGAGAAGAAGGGGGCGGGGGGGGCTGATGAATAGCCAATAGTTAATATCAGTAATAAATAACAATTATCACGAGTTATCATAAGGGCATTGGGATGCTAACTAAAGCAGGCGTCATCCCATGGATCGGCATTTAGACTACGTACGTATCATCATAACTCACCGTATCTAAGAAATTATTTATTATAAGGCCTGGGTGATAGGACTTGCATCTGCGGTTAGCAAGATTAACACTGTCGTACAATGCGGTACAGTGAGACGACAGGGTGGTAACGTACAGGTAACTTGTGTTGTCCATAAGAGAGGTACCTAGGTAGTATCCTATGTATATGTTTGTATGATATTTCCTCCGCGGCGCATTGCATACATGAAAGTGATCTTATATACTACCTACCTAAGTAGGTAGGTAGTACAGTTAATTAAAATAGGTAGGAATTTTGTAGATGTTGGTGAAAGGTTGCAACAGCCGCAATAATTGCACATATATCCTGGAGAAGACCCCGTCTATCCATTCAGCCTCACACAGACTCAGTTGACACTTGGAGCCACGTAAGAATAGTGACATGCATATATTTGGCCCCCAAAAGCCTTGCATGGTAGCGGTGAGGTCTTAGATATAAACCTACCTTGTGTAAAGGTAAGAAAGTGAGAAGCGTTCCGATTGGGCAACTTATATTAACAAATTATAACTCCAATTACCAGCTCAGCAAATCAGATTTATATAAGCCATGCGCTTTGTTAGGGGATCTAACCAATTATGTAGGTATAGAGCCTATCTACCTCGATTGTAACAGTTTCCAGCCCCTTTTTACTATAATGTTCTTCATGCTTTGTAACATGGATCTGGTACTTGTTTATATGGGGTAAAAATAACCATGGTTTTCGGTTTCGGCAACGTGCTCGATCGCCATGTCAACCACCGTGCATCCTTTGGCTTAGCAAGTTTACAATCGTAGTTCATGATAACCTGCCCTAAAATTACCTTCATCACAGCAGCGGCGTAATACCGCCCGGGGCTTTGTCAGTTAACACCTGGGTTGAAAACGCAAAACACAAGGGGAAGAAGTGGGAATGTTAGATGAAGAGGTACCTACCACGCCATACGACCAGTTCCCCATACATCCCATCCTTGATCTACTTCGGTCAATTGGGATGGAACTGGTTGTAAGAACTTAAAGTTTGAAGTAACCATATTCTCGATAAGTTTTGGATCAACGAATCGAAACCCATTAAATTGCAATGGTTCGGGGTAGTATTGTGAACTCTGTATTATCGCGCGGACTGGAGTACATACCCAATCCCCAGGTTGAAGTTGAGTTCCATCTGAGAAAGCGAATGGCCGAAGGGCAGAGCGACGAGTACTCACTATAAAACCATTCAGACATGGACGAGAGCAGATAAAACATTAATGATCGTCAGAGGTAGATATTCAAGGGCTTACTTGACTCAACAGGGGTTAAGCGTGCAGACTCTTTGATAAAGCTATCCAAAAGAGGCAAACCTCTACCGGTACGCTCAAACTCCGTATAATGATTTTGGAGTTCTTGGCGTAGGGGTAGAACATACTCAGGGTGGATACAAATATCGTGGATCGCAAATGTGATGGTCTGCAGGTAAGTATAGGTAAATATACAAATCTAGATTGCACTCGGAGATGCAGGGGTCCTTTCTAAATACAACTCACAGTTGATAAGGCATGAACCGACCCGAACCAAATAGCCATTAGTTCATGAACCACACGCTTAGCTGACCATGGGTCCCGTTTTGGGGAAGTCTCCATGATCCATTGTATACAATCATGCTATCGAAACGTAATTAGATGCGCCCTCAGGTAATAACGAAACTGGTTAGAAATATAGGAGATGCTCTCACATGATCTGGGACTTTCTGACCTGAGAATTTCAGATCCCGTTCGAGACACCGTTGCTCAGCAATTGGGAGCAATGTGTTGAAAATGATTTCGTGCGACTTCAAGCGTGAGGAAATAATCCCCCCTATAATTCTAAAAAACATAATGAGCGTGAGATATATACGCATATTATATCAAGCGATGTGCAAAGAGACTTACGGGGCTAAAAGCCGGGGCACTAGTCGAACTATTTCGGCGCATATCAAAGTCTCCTCGATATAAGCCAAGGCAGACTCCATAAAACTCTCGTTTTTGGCTGTAGATGCTCAGTTCAGAGATCACTCATGTTTGACAATAAAACGAGGGAATATTTTTAAACTCACCTAGATCTTTTCCAAAGAATGACACGGCATTGGACAGGACGACAAGTTTCACTACCATAGGATATGCCGGAGAGAGTGGGATTCCTAATAATAATTTAGTTCTCTAGGGAAATTTATATTCAAGAAGATATGTATAGTATGTTGACCTACCATTATCTTTGATACAGGTTGAATGCATCTCTTGAAAGCGGGTTCTTATGATTATACTCAAATCTGGAAGTATCATAGGTAGGTTTCTGGTTAACAACGTGCGAAGGGCGCGTACGAAGCCAACCCCTTCAGTTCCGCGGCGGTCAAACCAATTAAAACCATGCATAGTATAAACAGGTTGCAACATCTATCATGTAAAACGGGTTAGCATATAGCGCACCTTGGGCGCCTAGGCGACGTCGAGGGAGTTATTAGACTCACCTGCTTCGATGCGGCCTGTAGAGATAAGACGGTATCGGGCGCGGTATCAAGCTCCTTTATATGCTTGGCCGACGACACAAACACGTACCGATTATCAGGGGCATACACTTCATAAGGTTTACCGTGAGACTTAGAACCCATTATTAGCAGTAGATATATATTTATGGCTTGAGAACGCTAAATTCTACGTTCTCTACGTACTCTGTCGAAGCCTTCCTGGATAATCTGAGGACCATGGAAAAGGTATTTCCATGCGGATACTCTTTTTAACAGCAAGGTTGATATCTTCTTAAAGACGTATACCGGGTTAATCTAGTCCCACATATTAGTTCACATTAATGCAATTTATTCCAGCCACTTTGATAGGCATCGATGCTCACCAATTTTTCAATTTTTGCCATCCTGTAAATGAGGATTGCCCAGATGACAGCAACTACCAAGCTAATATACATGGCTAATGATACCACAGGTCTCGGCGATAATTTCCTAAAAGCCAACGCTATGCAGATAGGTTTATACTAGGTTATAAGGAAGATGGGATTGCGTGCTTATCAGACATGTAGCCTTACTTATATCATATATGTACACGGTGATAATAAGTAAGACAGCTATTCATCAATGTATTACTATATAGGACTACGCCTCTTCTCTTTCTTAAAATAGGCGGTGGTAATTAGAATCCTCACACGCGGTAGTAGTATTCTAATTAGAGAAATCCTTATGGAATCTGGGTGGTCAACAATGCGGCGTGTGATGTTGACAGTTCAATTCTTATGGCCAATTCTAAAAGATGTCAAGGTCATTGAAGTATCCTATAAATTTGGGGTAGTACTTAAGTGTCGGAAGTGACTCCAATGCTGTAACCTAAGCTGTATTGATGGTGCGGTATAATCCTTAGGTTACAGTCTAATAAATACGACAGCCGCCACTTTCTATCACCAACATCTGATATGCTCTAACGGTTAAGGACACACTACCCACACCGACATCTGATATGCATGTCAAGTTGTACAGATGTTGGTTGAATCTTATGTGAAGTGTTGTGTGAGGTATCACCCGTATCACGATAATTGAAGAACAAACATATAGCTAGCTACCTTGCCGCGGGCTATGTTTACAGCCTTTAGTTCTCTACATTTTCCTATATAGTGTTCTTGCAAAGGGGTACCTAACCTAGTATTTTCTAGTTCATAAGAAAATTCTTTTTTTTTTTTTACTCATCACGTCAGAATGCCGTCTCTCGATGAATCGGGCGCAAACGCACTATCAAAGGAAGAATACCTCGCCGTCGGCATAGTTCCAATTATTATCTCCAGCTTAATTATTGGGATCCGGTTAGTTGCAAGTATCAAGCAGGTTCACAAATTATACGTCGATGATTGTATACTAACACCGACACTGACACCGGGCCCTATAAGTCCTATCCAACTAACAGTTATCCAGATACCAGTATCATTGGAATGGCCCTACTGATAGCGACTTTCGCTGTAGCTTATCAACAGCAGGCAGGTAGGCAAACCACCCCTTCCCCCCCGTGAAGAGTGCTCGTATTTTTCATGCCATCCGCTGATCTCATTACAGTGTACGAAGACTACCTCCTCAACCCAACGGAAGAAAATACTACAAGCTTTCTACTCACTTCACACCAGGTATTCCCACCAGAGTAGAGATTTGTATTATTACTAAGGCTCACATATTATTGACAGATGGGAGAAGCAACTCTGATCATCTCGAATCTTGCCACTTGGTTCACTAAGACACCAGTTCTTCTCTTACTCATGCGTATTTTTGCCGTCAAGACATGGCTGACCCGCACCTCCTGTTTTACACTTCTTGCGTCACTCCTTATCATACTGTCTGCAACGGCTTACGGAGGCGCCATCTGCAACCCAAAGGGAACTTGGTCCCAAGCCTTCAGTGCAAGATGCACAGTAGCGGGTTCAATCTCAAGCCTCATAGCTGGCTTTACAGGTCTTGCAGTCGATTTAGTAATGTTTATCCTTCCGCTTCCTATAATTGTCAAATTACATCTTCCACTACGGAAGAAGATCGGCCTAGTACTTGTCTTCATGGCAGGCCTTGCGTCAGTTTACCCAAGTCCAAAATCCCAATATGAAGCCAAAAAAGAAATTTTTTATTTCTAACATAATACTCAGCGGTATTGTTGCTAGTATAGTTGGAAATTACTCTAGAGTTTTAACTCTGTCCGGAAGTCAAAAGGATCGCCAGATATCACAAATATTAGTGTACGTAGGTATCGTTACAGAGTGCCACCAAATGACCAATCAGCTAACTTTACCGCAGGATCTATGAGTGTGCCATTGTGCTCGCGGTTGGGTGCGTGCCTGCCATCCATTTCCTATGGCGCACAGTGATCGTTGGGTCTTTTGTGTATACAAGGGTTCAGTCAATTATCTCGATGGTATCTCAGATGCAGCTGAGCAGATCCAAACAGTCAGAGATCTCCCGAAGTCATGAAAGTAGTGGGAAGTTTTCCGACGGATATATAAGAATGGAAACCACTCGCCGCAGCGACATCGCAAGAGATTCCACAAATTGAAGACCAGGTACCTATCCGCAGCTTTATATTTAATAAGCGAAGTGCCATAGCTAGTGCAATAGGGGAGACCTGCATTTGTATACAGCTAGAGTTTTCTAGTCTATATATAAATATAAGTATTGGATAATCCTTGGGGGCAGAGAGACAACGAATCGTGAGATAGGATTGTACGCATGATATCCAGACATGTTATATTACGAAGTATATAATACCAAAGATTTCACGATCAACCAATTCTACTTTAACGAGACTTGCGAGCCAAAGGCTTCCTTAAAAAATAAATTAGCACCTAAGTATTATTATTCTATGATTTTGAATTACCATAGTATTTGAAATAGATATTAATTAAAAGCGTGTATGTGGTGATACTAAGACTTGGATTTGACTTCTGCAAATAATGAGCCGAGAGATTGCTAGAAAATGAATCCAATGAATCTCATTTGGCGCCTAAATTTGCTGTATGGGAGTCCGACTTACCCTTCTTGTGTTCGGGCTTGCTCTCCGCCTTTGCTCTGCCGCATAAGTGACAAACCTGGGGGCGTAATCCGCGCATATTAGACCGAGCCTAGGTGTGTTATACATAATAATAAGCGTACCTGATGTACACTAGGTATATCTTGGCTTGTAGAGCTGGAGCCTTGGTATCTTCGGCTCGATCAGGGGGCTAGGTACCCAGGTAAGTTAGGTGGTATCTATGTAATGTAGGTACCTAGGGTGAGTAGGTAGGCGGTTTTCCTAAATCCCGCTCATATGACTTGGTGAAACTTATGTTTACAGAGGCGGGGTGGTTGTTGGAAATGAGCACAAGCCGACAGTAATATTGTATATGGCGTTACATCAATAATACTACCCGGTCACCTTCACGTAAGACGCGAACTACCGTCCCATCGCCTATAGCCTAGCCGGGCAGACGGACACAAGAGGCATTAATCGGAATCGAAAATGTTCGAATCCATTGTATTTAAAGAATTCCGAGTCTTGGTAGTGTTCCAGGCGACATTGATCACTATTTAGGTCCTTAGGATTCATCGTTGAGATTCCATAGCTTATAGTCGTAGAATAGGCACTGATATCGATGTTAAGCATTATAGGGGAAATGGAAACACTTCTATTTTCGCCACGAGCCCTAGCAATACTCCTTTTTGCGCTACTTTTTCTATTTCTTCGCCACCGCTGGGGTTGTGCTAATGGTTCCGAAGATTGGAAGTTACAAAATTTTACTATTGGTCTTCGGAATCGATGGTTTCCTTGGGCACTGGCTACAATACGCTCGCTTTCTGAGTCTAGACAGTGGGCATCTGAAGGGTATACAAAGGTAGCGCCCCTAAATCATTCAATCACTATCACCAAGCACTAACTCTTGACCAAGTATTCGAAATCCAAAACACCTTTTGTCGTTCCTACTCTTGACCGTGGCCCTGTGGTAGTAATACCCCCAAACCAGTTCAAGCAGGTATACGGATACCCAACAAACATTGTCGACGTTCATATGACATCACACGACACCATCCAGACCAAGTACACCATTGGAGACCCAAAGGTTATGATTGACAGCATTCATATTAACGTTATTCGTCACCAATTGACCCGAAATTTGGGGCCTATCACTCCGAGGATCGCAGCCGAATTGAAAAGGGGCTTCGAGAGGTGCTGGGGTCAAAAAACAGAATGGCAGAAGTTCCGGATCTGGGACAGTTGTCTAACGATCATCGCAGGGGCAGCAAATGGTGCATTTTTCGGTCCCCCTCTTTGTATGTTGCGCCTGATTCCTATAGTATGTCAAGGTAATCGGAAAACTAATACAAAAACAATAATATAGGCCGGAATGTGGAGTTCTTAGGACACCTACAAGATCATGCCTCAGCTGTACTAATGGGTGGTATGTTGATTAACCATACACCCAAGCTGTTTAGGCCTATTATTGGCACTTTGATTGGGATTCTATGCCAGTTTAGGTTTCAGAAGGCTTTAGGGTTATGTATACATATCGTTAAGGGACGGTTGGATAATACGGCAAGATTAATGGATGGTTCTATCCGTAACTGGACACCTCCGGTAATAACCCTAACTGCCTATATAACATCATATAAGTTCTTCTTACTTTTGACTTCTTCCTTCTTCCTTAATCGAATCTTGATCTCTAAGATATTCCTAAATACTAAGGCTGACGAAATGAGATATGTAGCAAGATGGCCTACAATGGATTATTGAAGAATGCTTCAATTCAGGGGATCCATCCGAACTCGATCCCGTCCGTATTGCTCGACGTCTAATATATATCAACGATGTTTCGCTTCATACGACAAGCTATACGATGCAAAATATGATACTAGACCTCTATGGTCCAGATACTTCCGCAGACACCATCCGAGAGTTGCGTGAAGAAGCAGCACGAGTACTCGAGGAGTCAGGTGGTTCCTGGACACGAGAAGCAGTACAAAATCTCAAGCTAATTGACTCCGCAATCCGGGAAGCAATGAGGATTACACCGTTTGCTTGTATTGGCTTGCCTCGGACGGTCCGTTTTCTTACCGACCATGATATTGCCTAACATATAAAAAAGACTAGGTACTAATAGTATGAATAGGTTATTCACCCCGATGGAATTACTATCGAAGCTGCAGATGACAAAGTACACATCCCTTGCGGAATGGTCTTTGCAGCTCCTCTCGAAGGCGTACATCACGACGAAGACATCTATCCAGATTCGCGCCGCTACAAGCCATTTCGGTTTGTAGGCCGGGAGGCATCACACCATACTTCAGGACCAAAAAAAGAAGCCGTCGGTGCAGCAGATAATAGAACAGATAGGAGCGGGTCGCAGAATGACAGGTCGTCTGTGACGCTTGATGAGGACTTTCTCAGCTTCGGGATAGGCAAGCATGCATGCCCCGGACGGTTTTTTGCCGTAAACGAAATGAAGCTGTTCGTGGCACATATGCTACTTAATTATGATGTTGAGTGTTTGAGTAGGCGGCCTAAAGCAAGAACTTTTGGTTGGATCAGACTCCCATATAATGACGGTCAAGTGCGTGTACGCAAGAGAAGTGCAGGCTTCAAAGAGGAGAGCGAGGTTATGAGTAATGGTAGGACTTAATGTATAGACCATCTCAGAACACCTTAGTTTCTCCAGTATGTTTCTACATAGATTCTTAATGTCCGATGCTATTTACTATCAAATCATCTGTAGTGCTTTCGGTTGTTACATTTTGGTCATCTAAATGGAGTAAGACTTGCAAACCGTGTGTGTTCTCTCTGAGATACATACTTTCTTCGAATAATACATACCGAAATATAATATTCTATTTACGAAATGATCTATCCCCAACTATGCTGCCAAGCTTGATACTGATATACAAGCCTGAGATTGTAGCCTTCCAACACGTACTACTCATCAGACAATGGGATGCTGGCTATGCATAATAGAGTGTTGCCAAGATTAAATAAATAAAAAATTTACACCGCATATACGAGGAAACATTGTTACACATGTCCGACCATGCTGCCTTGTCGACTATAAGACAATGACACAACGAACGGTAGTCTAGAGGCAGGCTGGCTGCCAGGCTTATCTATCACTCCGTAGGGGGACCAATTAGATTTATGACAGGTAGGTACCTAACCTACATGCGTTTGTTTAAAACGTAAGGCTGAGACATTGTTACATTCGGTAATACCAGCTACGGAGGTGCAGAGGGAACACATTAAAAAAACGCTAAAATTATTGGACTGACCCCAAGGGTAAAGGGGGTAAATCAAAATAAGACCGATTAGAACTATATTATTTATTACATATAAGCTTTTAAATAAATAGGGTAAGTTTATAGCCATGATATGCATTAAATAATAGGTTTTTAATTGCATAAAATTTAATAATAAAAAAACTTTTTTATAAACATTTATTATAAATATTATAAATATTATAAATATTATAAATAAAATAAATAAAATAAATAAAATAAATAAAATAAATAAAATAAATAAAATAAATAAAATAAATAAAATAAATAAAATTTATTAATTTTTATAATAATTTTTTAATTTATTTAATATAAATAATAAATTTTATTTTAAATTAAAAAATTAATATAAAAAATTAATAAACGTATAAATTAAAAAAGTTTATACTATTATATTATTTTAATTTATTAAAATAATTTATTAAATTTAAATTTAATTTAAAATAAAATTTATTATTTATATTAAATAAATAAAAAAAATTTTATAAAAAATTAATAAAAAAATAAAAAATAATTAATAAATATTACGTAAGTAATTAATAAACGTATAAATTAAAAAAGTTTATATTATTATATTATTTTAATTTATTAAAATGATTTATTAATTTTATAAATAATAAATTTTATTTTTAAAAATAAATAAAATAAATATAATATAATATAAAAACATTTATATTTTTAAAAAATTTATATAAATAATTTAAAATTATATATAAATTTTACCATATCACGTTTATTTTTATCGATTTATTTCATTAAGTTATATCATATATTCGCTTATCGAATTTTAAAAAAAATATGGTTATACGTGGGGGTGGGTATAATGACAAATTTTGGGTTTCTTTAATGTGTTCCCTCTGCACCTCCGTAACCAGCTTAATTTTCGCTAATCGTTTATGTATATCAAGACACTACCTGTGCTCCCTTACTTTGCTTCGCTTCACCCCCACCCCTAGACTCTAATACTACATGTGCACATAAAAAAAAAAAAAAAAGATACACAGCGATACAAATTCAGATGACCCCTCTATGTATATGGTACATTTGAAGAGCCGCTACTTACCTGGGGGTTTCCATAGCGACGCGGGTAGATGCATATCCTTAGATTTCAGCACATTCACAATATAATGAGGCAACTCTACCATGTACTATCTCTTCTCCTTATCACACCCAGGTTCTTTGAATGGACAATATTACGCCCAAAATTCCAAGTCGCAACGACTTTCAAGCAAGCTTGTCGCTAGTTACATGTTTAGTTCCCTTCCCTTCCCGCTTCAGCGCCGCCACATTCTCCGACACCAGTCATGGCAACCGAAAATCCAAACTCGCAACATGACGGTCTGCGTGTTATTCACGTAGCTCTCTTTCGCATGGCCACTAGGTCCTCAGCCGAAGCTTATAGGATCCTTGGATACAAAACCCACCACGGCTTGGATGATGTCTTCGGCATGCCCTGGCCTCTTCTCGAGAAGGCGGCAGAGGCCACCTGGCCGACCGTACCCGGAGCACGCCCAAGACCTCCGTTGACAAGATCCGACTGGGATGAGCTCTGGGGGTCCCAGTATGACATAGCGACTGATATGGCATCGCCGTTTGCGGACCAGCTCATTCAAGCATACCCAGACGCAAAAGTTGTCATCGTCCAGCGAGACTTCGAATCCTGGTGGCCTAGCTACAGGTCCGAGCTACTAGATACCTTATTTTCTCCTCTAGCACGAGTCTCTGTTTTTCTCTTGGAGCATGTCATGGGCATACGATCGGGCCCCACCATGCAGAAGGTCCATTTTGGCTTTTTCGGCGCCAAGGATAGGGCCGGTGTGGAAGCTAACGCGCGCGTGGCCTACGACGCCTATTACAAGAGAATAAGGGAGATGGTCCCCCTCGAGAGACGATTGGAATACAGTATGGGGGATGGTTGGGAGCCGCTATGCGCTTTTCTGGGGAAAGAGGTTCCTGATGTGCCTTTCCCGCGCTTGAACGAGCGGAAGTCTCACAGAGCAAGTGATACTAAGAGGAAATTAACGATAGCATTGGCTACGGTGCGAAAGGCAGGAATGTTCCTACTCCCTGTTACGATACTCGGAGCTGCGCTATGGTATTCCGGAACAAGTGTAAACTATCTCGGGCTTTGAGGCTTTGCACTAATGGATATTACGGCTTGGCACATCGATGTCAAATAGTTCTATCATACCTCTTTTGTTAGAGACAACCAGCCAGTATGGCTATCAACTTCCTCGCAAGGCTGATGGAACAGGCTGATCCATGCCACTCTTTTAACCTAGGTAGCCTCTGAATACAACCATTACTATCTAAATTATAGGCGTCAACATCAAGTTCAGCTACACTAATTATAGAGAGTATGGTGTTGTTTGTTGCCGTTATAATATCATTTGACTGGTAAGATCTATATGCCATGCCTATCAACCTCTCATACGAACCATGGCTATTCAAGCCGAGCATATCTTAGGTAAGTACCTGACTCACATAATGTAGTACTTAAGTACCTAGGAGTGCATTTGCTTCAAGGAACTAATATAAATACTTAGGTGGGTTCAAATCTTTTTATAAGCAACTATTGTTTACCTAGGTAGTTACCCCTATTTCAGTTTAGGTATTTGTTTAATGTTATGATACTATACAATGACAATAGGAATTAATACTAGGTAGGTTACGGGATGTTATCTTGTGGGCAACATAAAAACCTGAAGTTTATGTACGTCCGGGTGCGCTCCTATCTCACTCATAGCTTGTCCTTCACATCTATCCAACGACTAATTTCCAAGAAATATGATTTAAAAATTTTGAGTTAAAGGCTGATGCCATGAGCTAGATGGTCGAGACGTCGTGAACTTAAACAGAGGTATATCATTATCTGGGTCTACCACTGGTGTGGTATATTAATATTACAATTGTATCCGTTTTATAGAAAACACTCGTACATATTGCTAAATACTTAAGTGGTAGCACTCTTGCATAATGCAAAAGCTTACATCTTTACGCCTGATTTATAACAGATGAGCTACCTAGGTAGGTATTAATTATACGATTCTATTTATCTAAACCTTTGAGTCTTTTAAACAAGCCCCACGAGGTATATGCATGTCTATTCCCATTCCGTTAAGTACCTTATAATCTAGCATTCAAATGTACCCTACCTTACGCCTACCAGAACCGCTGACCTCTTTGAGTAAGGTATAAGGTAGAATAGAAAACATATTAAAAAAATTGAAAAGTACAGATATTTGAGATCTACATTCAAGGCCTTCTTAAAAACAACCGCCGGCAACACAGCTTATTAAAGCTTTGTTTTCAATCTCTACCTAGTTTATAGCTTCAGCATTTTTCATAACTACACGCCGCAGTACCAAACAGAGCAAGCAAAATAATAAACACCCGATGCACGAGCCTTATAAGGTTAGGTACCTAGGTACGCAGCGCAGCATACATGTAAATTCCAACGAGCAAGTAAACCTCATATACCGTAGCAACAAAAGCACTGTTAATCTATTCCGCCATCTACTACAATTTAGCTCAACTGATCATCTCTCAAATTTACCATCTACCATCTATTTATTGGATATACTTCACCATATATATACATTCGCATCTATCTCGGGATAATGTTTGAGCTATTTAGCAACTTCGCAACTACTATATGACTGACCATTTTGTCATTTTGACCAACTTTTCTTTTTCTTTTTTTCGTCTTTATCTCAAGCCTATTTTTCTTTTTCGACTTTATCTATCTATAAATAGTTCGCCATTCTACTTCTTGGCTCAACTACTACCTAACTACCACTTATAGTTATGTATAAAAATGCTTACCTAACTTTGAGCCTCATTGCTGGGCATAAGCACCCATTTTTACTTCAACCTCGTCACAGATGCCGCGATACCCGGTACCGCCGTCCACTCCATTTAACTACCTCCTAATGCCCCTACTGGTAGCAAACATACCTAAATCATAAAATAAATAAATAAATGCAAAGCAACATGACCTATCATTTAAATACTTACTTACCTAACCTACCTACCTACCTATAAATCACCCCAACCTCGGACCCCCATCCGGCACCTCAACCCATCCTGTGCGACGAACCCCACCCCCCCGGAGCCGCATCAAGGGCCTATTTGCTGTAAGAGAACACAACAAACGCTCTTATCTACCTACAGCGATAGGCGTCTCGACTTGCTTTATCCTTGCATATGTTCGCCGGGTCCTTACATGACGAATTTTCCATCTATCATGTCTCTCAACCTATGGACCTAACTTATATAAACCCGGACGCGGCGCCGGGAATTATTACTCAAGACCTTCCTATTCGTAATCCATAACCTATAAATTCTCCTCGCTTAGACCTCCCCTTTCTTAAACCTCCAATCATGCCACCGACGCCCCCTACATAAATCCACCCCTGCGAGCGAACGCAACAAGGTTTAGGAATGGGGTCCGACAGCTCGGGACGCGCGTACCACCAACATTTAAATACTTTATATACTCTTCTTTTCACCGAGCGGGATTTTTAAAAAAAGGGCTACTGAAAAACACACATTTCTTACAATGTTATTTTACTTATTTAATCCGCGGCGTGACCAAGATGACCTAACCTATCTCCTAGGTAGGTAGTCAGTCATCTATATACAAGAGGAACGCATGCATGCGAAGATTTCACGATATTTCTACGCCTTCCCGTCCTCTCATGAGACCTCCCGTATGTATAAAACTCCCAAATGCAGCGCATCATCAATTCAATTCCCATTTACGACGACCAGCTCCCCTTAAAACGTCTCATAGTACAGTATGGAACAGGCCGGTCTCGTTTCGTATGCAAGAACCCAGGAACGCCACGCAAAATGTCATGGAACATCAGGTGAGGAAATATTACCACCGCTAGATTTGACCTTTTTTCGATTCCTCGTTGAAACTTCTACTACCGTCCCATACCACCCTCGGCTTTGAAGTCCGGACACATCAGATCCCACGGCTTCTTCTGGTTTTTTGCGGTGCAGACCGCTTCGTTCGCGAATGCTCGCCATCGATCTAGAAGATCGCTCTTATTGATACCATCCTTCTGGGTAAAGAAGCTAAAATGGCCTACTACGGAGCGGGTGTCGATTACGAATGGCCGTCCAATGCGTCTAGGAATATCCGCAGTGATATCTTGCTCGTCATCGTCGGCAATGGGTAGTTGATCCCTGATATCGGAACCCCATACGGCGCAGAAGTTCAAGTTGTATCGGTTGTACCCGGTATCATATGTCTGCTCACCACCGGGGCCGTCCCCGTTAGGGAAGACTACTGCGGAAGCATTGGGTCCCAAAGCGCTTTCCGGGTATCGGATATTTCGGCCGAAGAAATAGCGTTGCATCTTATTCTGCTCAAGATTGTACAAGAGAGAATATTGTTGCTGCGCGCCGATAGCCCACGACTTCCACGCCAAACCGAATGCAATTGGGTCGGAACCACGGTTCTGGTCGTATTTTCCCATGGGTGTTTTCAGTAGGTCATAGTGGTCGTCAGATATAAGGAGCCAAGGGTGGCCGCGGTACGACGGTTCCATGTCCATGATCTTATATTCGTCCACCAGTTGGTCTTTAGGATATTTCTTCTTTTCGGAAGCGCGCCACGTCTCCGCAGCATGAAACGAAGGCTTGCTGCTCGGGTCCGGGAGAAAGGGGTGGATCGCACCGTAGTGATATTGCTCCATTCCCGTGACGGGACTGTTAACTAGGTTTGACGAGATGGCATACGGATGAGGTAGGGCAATGCGAGTATGGACAAGTTGAGGGATGGCGTCGGGGTGGATATAAACCTGCATAATTAGGTCAGTCAACAAACTCGTCTCAGTCTCCTGATACCATCCAGCTGGATGGAAGGGTTTACTCACAATATCGTCATCTATTTTGACATAGATAGTTTTGTCCTCGACGGCGTAAGTCCACATGCACTTATATTTTTCGCCTTCACATTTTCCCTTGCCGACAATCTTATAACCGGGAGTCTTTTGGACAAGATCTTCTATCCAGCTAACATCGTCTTTTTCCTTGGTGTGGGCCATAAACCACACCTCGTCAAAGTAGCCGCCATTCGATGCCAGATTCTGCTGGAGGTAACAATCCAAGAGGTCCACATATCTCTTACGGCCATAAAAGACCATACCGATGACTTTGATACCCGCTGGTTTTTTCCATCCACCTTTAGGAGCAATGCTATCTATCTTGATCTTGTTGGCTCGGCTAGCTCCCTTGGGTTCGTATCGGCCATCTTCGCCCACGGGCCATGTGGTGCAATATTTGTCGTTGGCCTCGAGTTTTGGTGGTTTGTATGCAGGTGTTGAACTCTCGGTGGGCTTTGCGGCTTTTGTAGAGGATGCGATAGTACTTGTTGGGGTTCCGGGAGACACGTCGACGTCTGTCTGATGCTGGGTAGGTATTGTCGGGGAATAGGGGTTAAAGATGAACAGCGTGATGAGTAAGGATACGACAATGGCGAAGACGTAGTATTTAGGGCTGAATTTGCGACAAGGCGCCCAGATAGGTAACGTGAACGACTGGATACGGCGCCATAAAGGATTCTGTTCTATCCGACGTCTACGGCGTGATGACTGATTTTGGTGACTGTTTTCGGGTTCGTCGTAGTCAAATTCTTCGCTCGATGGTGACTGACTCTCCTTAGAAAGTAGCTGAGCTTGGGACTCGACATCCTCTTCTCGTTGCTTCATTTTGATCTTGCGACTCGTGCAAAACGCGCTCAAGAATATCGAGATATTCGTATTGCCAAGATAAAATGTTGATAGGATTATGCACCTCGATCCTATAAGTCTACAGGTTTATGTAGATGTGATAGGATACTTAACGCCGATACATATAGGCGCTTCTATCAAAGTCAAGTCCACAACGACGACTGCGGCGACAATGATGTTGACGAAGGGGTCATATTATGGAAAAGGAAATTAAAAAAACGATAGACTAGGGTATGAAGGAAAGGGGAGGGGAGAGAGAAAAGAAAAGATGGCGACAATTCAGGCAGTTAATAATTATTTTCCGTTATTAGAATGCGTAGGACTTCGTTGGCGCAATCTACACGGTACCTAAGCTGCTATGGTAAAAGATATTCCTTCGTATGCATGGGCTGGTTATGGACTTTGCATGGGCAAAATACAAAATGGGCGAAAGGTTGAGGTGGCTTAGGCAGTTTACGGGATACTACTTTACGAAGTGTTGCTAAGTGTTGCTTAGCTGCTTCTAAAGTAAATTTATTTAAGTTAGGGGATCCTTAAGCAGCTCACAGTTCTTTCCTTTCCCACGAGTAACTCTAACCACACAGTAAAATTCTCCTAAAAAAACAGCAAAATCATTTTCACGTGAGATACGCCACTACGAGCCACCACACGCCACCACGCACGGCCATTTGAAAAGAATGGCCCGTTTACCTAACCCCAGGATATACACGGGCAGGGGAACCAGAAAGAGGGAAACAAAAAAAGAAAGGGGGGGAAGAGAGGAGGGGAAAGGGGAAGAGAAAAGAAAAAGAAAAGAGAGAAAAGGAGGGGGAAAAGAAAAGGAAAAGAGGGAAAAAGGGGGGAGGGGGAGGGAGGGGGAGGGAGGGGGGGGACAGGGGGGGAGAAGGGAGGAAAGGGGGAAAAAAGAAAGAAAAGAAAGAAAAGAAAGAAAAGAAAGAAAAGAAAGAAAAGAAAGAAAAGAGGAGAAAGAGAAGGAAGAAAGGGGAGGGGGAGGGAGGGGAGGGAGGGGGAGGGAGGGGGAGGAGGGGGGGAGGGAGGGGGAGGGAGGGGGAGGGAGGGGAGGGAGGGGGAGGGAGGGGGAGGGTGGGAGGGAGGGGGAGGAGTGGGAGGGGGGGAGGGAGGGGGGGGAGAGAAGAGAAAGAGAAAGAGAAAGAGAGGAAAGGGAGGAAAAGGGGAAAATTAATTTTATGATTATTTTTATTATTTTATTTATGTTTATTTTTTTATTTTATTTATATTTTTTTAAATTTTAAAAAAAATTAAAAATTATGAAAAATATATTTGGTTACAATGCAAGTGGAGCATAAGCATGGGGTTAAGTAAACCAGCCATTTTTTAAATGGCCGTGCATGGTGGTTTGTGGTGGCTTGTGGTGGCTTATAGTGGCTTTTCTCACGTGATTGATTTTGCTGTTTTTTTAGGA